CCCCCCCCCCCCCCCCCCCTAGAACTCAGAGCTATCACACTTTTCACTTGTGAAACTGAAGAGTGAAGCGTATTAAAAACATTAATTTACTGTTTTATTTTTGCTAGTTTTGTTTGATGAAGAGATAAAGTATGTATGGTAATTGGACTGTATGTATAGTGTCTGTGTATCTTTAAAGTATCCAAATGTTTTGAATTTGCGGTTAAAATATTGCCCCCCCCCCCTCGAAGCTCTTAGGGGGGGGGAATTTTTTTTGCGATTCGCGCATATTTTTTTGCCCCCCCCCCCTAGATTTATTGCTATATACTCCCTTGGCAAAAGGTCATACACAGGATACAATCAGGAGCGGATTCAGGGGGTGGACTAAACCCCCCTCACTTGAAAAATTAGAAAAGGTTTCAGCCCCCAGACATATTTTTATTTGTCCCTGCCTGAATACTATTTACCGTTTCGCATTATTTTTTTGGTTTAAAGTTTGCATGAAATACTGTTTACATGTATAGCGGTAATCGAAAATGTGACATGTTGTAAATATATAAATATTAAATATATGTGTACATTGTACAATTAATATTATTCATTGTATACTCTAAATAATATATAAGTTTCATGATATAAATAATTTTTATGGATTAAAGGGACTGTATTTGTAATTTCAAGTGAACCTCATTGATAGGGTGGCATGTCCGATTCGTAATGGTACCCTTGAAGGCTTTGTCTGATCAAGTTTGATTAGATATCCATGTTTTTGTTTTTAAAAACTGTTTATTTTTATTTGCGGTTTTTCTAGAAAAGTGGCAAAAACGACGGTTATCTTTCACATTATTGATCAGATTAAGGTTTTAAGGGTACCGTTGTGAATCGGGCATGTCCCTCTTTAAATGAAAGGCCACTTAAAATCGCAACAGTCGCTCAATTTTCCTCAATGAATCGTTAGTTTTTGAATAGTTCTTAATATACTCAACTCATTGAGACTCAATCTCATTCAAAAGTTTTCACAACTGAATGAAATTTTACTATTTGATTTTTTAACGGTTTTTTAAAAAGTTTTTTTGTGATTGTTTACATGAAGACGACTAGGATTGAAATAAATTTATCTACAGATTTTTAATTTTTTTTCTCATCATATTTTACAACTTTTCACTATTTGTGATTTTTTATCAAGGCAAAAATTAGGCCCCGTTTTTTTCAGGGGAGTACTTAATGACATTCATGGCCTTTGAAGGTAATCTATAAAACGACTTCCTCCCAGCCTTGTTTCAGTTTTTAAGCGGAAATAACTAAATAAAATCAGATTATAAGTTGAACACATTTATGCAAACTTAATAATTGATAAACAATTTTTCTTTCATTCAGGGAAATTTTAAAGCTTTAAAATCTATTTTTAAAAAAAACTCAATGTCTATATTGTCCAAAACTCAAATTTTAGNACTTTCTGAACTCAAATTTTTCAGATTTTAGTTTTTTTAGAATAGCATTTTTTTAAACAATAAAAGGAAGAAAGAAAAAATTTCTCCAGACAGAATACAATCAATGCACATGAAGAGATTAATGATCCAAAGAATGTTTTATCATTTATAAATATTATCCATTTTTAATTTCAGAATTTTGATCTAAAAATGTAAAACTTGAAAATTTTATCTTGAACAATACCAGAGAACAAACTGAAGAAGAAAATTGTTTTATGTAGAGAACAGTAATGAATGATACATAAAGAGATCGAATCAATGACTAAGCTGAATCCAGAAGAGACGGAAATTAGATAATACCATTCAAGGTACTAATGCAAGGAAAGTTAATTGCGGTCGTGGATACTCTGCGTACATATTGAAACCAGTTCTCTCTGAACGGAATTTGTAAACAAGAATAGATGCATCAGTATTCGTTTAGTATCCGAGGAGGTTTAAAGCATTTAATTTTGATAATTTTGATAATTCATATAATAGTTTCCTGACCAGAATATTTCATAGATTATTTTTTGTGAAAATGGATGCCATGTCAGGCTGTGTCATCCGTCTTGTGTTTACTTTTCCGCCCAAAGACAGTACACTGCAGTACAAAAAAATGCGTACACCCCCAAAAATAACTTTTCTTGCATTAGTACCTTGATACCATCAAGTTCACGCGTGATCCAATTTTGTACTCAGTGATCCCTCCAACCCGGAGGAGAAATAAGCCGAACCTGACCTATGTAAGATCTATCCCGGAGAGGGTGGATCCAGTATCCGCCCCTGTATCTCTGGGAGAGGGTGGAAGAAAGCTCCGCCCTGCCCTGATGTTCAACTAGGAATGGTGGTGAGTATTTATAATTTCTCAAGGAAATATTTTTTACAAGAAAGCGTTAAAAATTATAAAAAAACTCTGTCGAAAGTCTAAAAAAAATTACAAACACTGTAATAAAATGACGGGGGGGAGGGATTTTTTTAATAGAACATTTTCCCTCTGGTTTATATCTGAATACTTATTTCTCGTGACCACAGCTTGGTTTTGTTGCATGTTTGTGCATGATGATAACACTGACAACAAGAATTATTATCCATCATCACGTATTGTATACTTGGACCCATAAAACTGTGGAATATTTAAATACAGGGTTACCCACAAAAGATGAGATTGTAAAGACGACATAAAACTCTTCCAATATGACTATTTCAAGTTTAACTTAAGTCTTCTGCCTTCAATGTGGTCTTTATATGACTTGTTTAATGATTTGGCAAAGAAAGAAATACGTTTACAGTTGCTGGGAATCAGCAAACAGACAGTATAAATTACTTAGAGTCGTCTCTGAAGTCTCATTCTTTGTGGGTAACCCTGTGGTCCAATGTTTATGAAACACAGCTATTTTTTTATTTTAAAAGTTGATTACAAGCTACTAGTAAAACTATTAGTTTTATATAACATAAAATGCATATGCATTCAAATAGATTATTAAATACAATAGATGGCAACAGAGAAATGGACCAATTAAACACGATTTCACAAGTTTCTAATATAATAAGGAAAACCAAATTTTCTCACATTAGTTGACATGTTTTCCAAGATTAAATAAAAAGTGTAAAAACAGAAAATAAGGAAAACATAAAATTGGACTTATTTTACTGTAAGATAAGCACTTTATTCTAAAATTATTTCTATTATTGACAATTTTGTCGGACACAAAAACTGTACTTAGCTGTGTACAAACTCTACGTTGCCATCTATTGTACTAGAATCTATTTCTATTTATTAAATGTCATCTCACCTTCCTTTATATTTGTTTTCCACTTTATTTACTAGACAAATTTTCAGAACTTAAAATGAAATGTTTGTACAAAGACTTAATTTCTAGGACAGGTGCACTTGACTCCAGCATGATCATGATTGTGAACCATCTTTTATCAAATTTTGTCAATGAAGAGAAAAAAGAAAAAAAAATTCATTTTTAATAGAATTACTAACTATTTTCTCGTTTTCGACTTAAAGAAAGTGCAGTCATTCTTAATATATCCTTTCTAAAAAACATGTTTATATGTTACTTCTTATGAATATTACAATACATATACCATTTAGGGTTACACAAAACCTGAATACCTATGAAGAATAACAAGAAATATAATAAGAATTATATCAGACTATTAGGAATTTTGAAGACTATAAGATGAAAACGGGATAAGTTCCTTACTGGCAAACAAGGACAGAGGGACTTAGATCAGAAATACTATTATGGCTTAAGGACAGACGAAATATATAGTCAAGTACTGTCAGGGACTACTTAATACTTAAGAATACTTAAGACTGCAGAGACCTAGGATTAAGGTACTATACAGTGGACAAATATGACTAGTGGATGAATTACAAAAAAACTGCTGTAGACTGTAATACTTATAACTAAGCCAGGGACTAACAGACACTAAGAAATACAGGAAAAGACACAAGAAGAACCACATTTTTTGGCGCTTCGCGTACATGCTTAATTTAGTAATGCCGTTCATTTTAAAGCTGTTGGAAGTATATCTTTTAAACACAAGAAAAAAGCTATGGTTTATGCGTACAATTACTGTACTTCATGTTCAATGTACTATTTAAAATAAAAACTTAATTCTAAAAGTCGTCTTCCTATTCCACAGTTTTTTGGTTCTCACGGTATGATATTTAACAAAAAAATTATTCAGCAATTATTTTTAAAATATCTTGCAGTTCCACAACCACATTATTTGGTTCTTATATTGTTGTCTCATGCTTATTGACGAAAAAGTTTTTATTACCTCATGAAATGTTAATTTCCACTTTTTTATTTTCTATTTTCAATTCAATATTTTATTATATTTAATCATTTATAATTCACCAATCAATTTGAAACCTTTATTATAAATACAGCAAAATTCATGAAAATTAGATAAAAAGTTAAAAATGTCAAAGCCAAAATTTAAATTCATGGCCGGATTTACGAATATTTAAAGCGAAATTTCAAGTGACCCTTCATGCAAACATGAGAATTCTCGAGTCACATCTGAAAAAATTGCCCTGAACAGCGTTGTTCAATCAAATATGAATTAGAAATCAATGTTAACAAAGAAATTGAGTCTTTGCCGTAAACTCAAACTTTCTATTTCATGTATCTATGCAACCCGAAGATGTAAACCTTTGATATTTCAAACTTAGATTATTTGATCTAACAGAATTCATAGTTTGATAAATCCAAGTTCTGCGACATTGGATTGCGAAGATATAGGGATTGGAAAATCAGAGTTTGTGACAAAGAATCAATTCCTTAAAGATTTATTATCATCTCTAGATTCTCTTAAAAATTGATCTAGCGCATTTCTAGTGCAGATAAAACATCTAGGAATTATCAGAATTAAGTTAGAAAAACAACAATTTCTTCCACATTATTGATCAGATTAAGGTTTCAAGGGCACCGTTGTGAATATGGCATTGTCATCTTTGTATGGAGGGTCATTTGAAATAACGTCGCTCAAAAAGAATAAAATCTTAGAAATGTTCAGAATACTTTGGCTTTGTCTTATTTAAATAAAATGACGACATTTCTGAAATCTTCTGTGTATTTGATGTTATAATAAAGAAAATAGATTTGAAGTCAACAAACATATTTATTGAAATGGTTCTCTACACTACTCTGCTGTGCTTCTTGTTTTAGTAGAGGTCCTTTCTATTCAACTGTTATATGAGGCTAATTGTACGATAATTCCACCACTTTTTGAAAATATCATAATCTAAAGGTGTTCAAAAACAAATGCTGCGTAAATAAAAGACGAGTTTTAAATGTTTATTTTATACTCCCACACAGTAGATCTAACTGATTCCTTCCTTGACGTATCCTCGATTAATGTTTAATCAAGGATTGGATCCTTTATATCCCTCATAGTCTTCTGCATAAATATTTAATTAACTTTTTACATTACATCTTTCCTTATATCTGAAAAGGGGGGATCTGTAATCACCCCAACAGGGATGGGGGGGGGGGATTTTCACTCTTTTTATAAATCTTACCCTAATAACAATCCTGTACAGTTTAAAAGTTTTAGTTAATTACAAAACTTTTATTGTATATTAACACGTAATAAAGAATGTTAAGGAGTAGTAAGATACAGAAGGACTCATGAAATTGTGAGTTAAAAAGACGAGTGATAGATTCAAGTTATTATTTAATAGTCCAAACGATATGAAATAGAGAAATGTTGTCCGTCACGCCCATTTAGAGACACAACTAAGTGGGGGGGGGAGGGGGTGGAGGTAGGGAAATCAATTTTATCCTGGGATTTACAAATCCTAGATTTATGTCTAAACTTGAAAAAAACGTTTTAAAATGCATTTTAAATGATATAGTTATAAACCTGCATCATTATAATTATCCTGGGATTTACAAATCCTAGATTTATGTCTAAACTTGAAAAAAACGTTTTAAAATGCATTTTAAATGAAATCGGAATAGACGGCGGCAGCAGAAGAAAATTATTTATTTTAGAAAAGTACAATATAAATCCGTGATCCAGCCTATAGAGACCCCAGAGCCCGAAATTTAAAAGAGTATCGTTAAACGAAACTCCCGAGTTTCCTTTTTGGGGTCTTAACACATTTGTGTAGATTTTGATTTAAGCGATTAAAAAAATGATTAAAAAATAAGTAGAAACTAAATAAAATAATATTTCGCAACAAAAATATTGATATCTACAAACTGCCTTACCCCATTCGCGGGTTTCAAAACTGGTTTTAATAACGATAGGCCCTGTCTTAAGCTTTGGGCTCACCCCCAATCCGCTTTAGCAGCCTTCTTCTGGGTTTAAAACTTTTGTATTTCGAATCCGTATAATTTGAGTTCCTACGGATTAAGCCAGGTTCTTTATCATGTCTCAAAAATTCAAATAATCAGAAGCAACAAAAAAATCTGCCTGTACGGGATGATCACAAAAAAAAGTAATGAAACTGTATTTCATTGATAAAGCAATTAATTGCTCCGAATTTCCGAGTTATGGCATTGTTAAAAAGTTATTCAAAAGTTATTCAAAAGTTCGGACCCCTGGTGATCATAAAAATGTCTTATGGACATCATTTATTTCAATTATACTATTTGATTGCAGATTGTATATAGTGTACTTTCATTATACATTCTACATATTATATTTTTACATCAATATAAAAGAACAAACTTTCTAGAGATAAAAAGTATAAGAGGAAAATATAGAGTAGAACTTTTTTTCTAGAAGAGAGTTATGCAATATCATTTTGAACCACTATCATAAATTCACAACTCTAAAAATAGCAAAATGTTTTGATTTATCAAAATGATTCGAATCTTTTGTCTTGAGTTTTGGCCGGAAACTCTGATTTTTTAATCCCTTTATTTTTCCAACCCAATGTCGTAGACCTTAGGTATTTAAAACTATGAATTCTGATCAAATAATCAAAGTTTGAAATATAAAACGTTTACACCATTAAAGTAATTTTGAGATTGAGTATTAATCTGAAAAAATATTTGCTCCTTATAATACAGAGTGACCTACAAAGGACGATACTTCAGAGACGACTGTACGGAATTTATTCAGACCTTCCTTCCATGGTTTGCGGCAAGTTTATACGTAATTGTTTCTTAGCCAAACCAAAACTCAACCTTCAAATATAAGTAGCAAACGAATTTCAGGCCGTCAATAAAGTTTCATCCATTGTGGGAAGATATAGAAAATAATAATGTGTATTGTAAAGTTATATAAAAAGGTTTAAATTAAAATAATGTAAACTGACTGGTGTTTAGAGCTTATATCGTCTCCAGTTAGAACTAATTGTAGTTTTCAATCAGAACAAAGAATTTTTTATAGTTTATTAATAACAATGTTCGTAAATGGATTGAATTTTTTCAATGAAACAAAAATAAGGGATTTTTTCCGGATTTTTTTAAAATAAACTTGTGCCATTTAAAGGGACTGTAAAGGAAAAATGAAATGGGGTATAGGCTAAAACCAAAGAACTTCAGGGGTTGGTCAAGACCTAAAAGAGTTCTATCTGATGTTCCTGTCTCGAGAAATTGATATAAAACTGTTTCAAAATTATACTAAAAACTTGTATATATAAGACGAGATAGAACCCATAGGACTCGATTAACTCCTGAAGTTACAACTACAGTTGACATTTATAGCTTGTTGAAATTGGGCCCGAACTGTGTTACCTGAATAAGTCCTAACTTGCTTCAAAATTCTTGTTCTGCACGAAAAAAAAATATTCAACTTCAAAATTTTAGAATTTTAAAATTTTATAAATATTCAGCTCATCAGTTTCAGTTTCTATGCTCCTTACAAACAAACTGGAAAAAGAAATTGTGTAATTCAGAAATGGAACCGGGTAAAAATCTAGCTTTTGTCATTTTAAAATTAGTTTTCCCTCGGAACTTGTGAACACTGATTTAACGCGGTTTTTATTTTATTCAATTTTTACTTTTATTTCATAATACTATGACAATGAGAAGGATTTAATGTACAGGGTGACCCAATAAACATGAGAATTCAGATCGTCTTTGATTTTGAATGAGAGGGGGTATAGACTTACGGCGAAAAATAATCTATCTGTTGCGTCTATAAGGAGAAAATTGTTAAAAACGACTCATACTAAAGAACGTAGCGTCCATACAAATTCTGAAAATATACAACTCGTATATATATTCGTCGATTATTTTTCGACGCATTCGTATATAGTTAATATTTCATAAAATTTGTTATTTGTTTTATATACAATGCACTTAAAACGACTTTTTTCTGCTAGGTGTCTCTGCCCAATGTAATCATTCAAAGCTTCGAGTGCAGAGCCATCTGGCGGTCAACTATTTTAGCATTTTAAGTGCATTGTATACAAAACGAATCAAAAATATTATGAAATATTAATATATTAATATAATTGAAAAATAATCGATTACTATAGGTTGTAATATCTGAATGATTTGTTTGAAAATAAATTGATTTTTTTACGGCACGAGTCGTACATTGCAACTTTCTGAATTTGTATGAACGTTACGTTCTTCAGCATGAGTCGTTTTTAACAATTTTCTCCTTATAGACGCAACAGATAGAAGAAAGATTAGTAGCGATAAAAAGCGCTTATTTTTCGCTGTAAGCCTATACCCCCTTTCATTTTTACAAACACTTACTTTAAGCGTTGTAGGAGTCGTAAGTTTATTCCCATGTTTTTTTTAGAATAATTTGCCAAAATAAAAAGACAAAGGATAAATCTCAAAATTGAAAACCAAACTTCTATTCAACAAAAAATGTGGTTTATTTTCAGCATATTTTAAATTTTATCAAAAATATTATGCATTATGAATTATGCAAAACATTTTTCTATTTAAGTATTCATAACAAGGGTTAATATCTCTATCTTTTTTTAGTTTAAAAAGAAAATTTAAAGAGCCAAAATTTGACTTTTTGGCTTTCATGAATAAATGCAGGACGACCCAAAAAAACAAGGATTAGGATTTTTCAGCCCTTTTTAATCGTTAAAAAGGCTCGAAAATGTGCTTAGCCATTTAGTTTTTAATTTTAGAAGGGGTCCTTCAGTTTTTGTCGTCCTATCCTTCCATTTGGTGTTAAATTCTGTCAAATATTTGAAAATATTTAGAAAATCTCTCCGTTAACTTTAGCTAACCAATATTACAAAAATAAAATCATTTACATATATCTGAACCCCCCCTTATGTTTATCTGAAATCCAAGGTGTATACGTATCACGCAGTCATAAACTCAGAATAGCAACCTAAAAAAGAGACGCCTTCTAAAATTGAAATTTTTTTATAGATTATTGGGCCTTTAAAACGTAAATCCCTGTTTTTTGGTCCCCCTATATTTCTAACTTTTCAGGACAAAATTTAATTTTTAAAAATCGAAATCTTATGAATTTTTGTTCAATGACACGTCTTGCCAAAATAATAGTGTTATAGATAATTTTATGAAATTTTTGTGTGCTTGTCTCAATACTTATTCAGATCAAAAAGTTTTTCTAGAAATATCCTATTTTTTGGGTGGAAAATCCACTTTTTTAGCAAAGCTATATAAATACATGTAATTTAATATTATAGCACGATGGTTTTTTTTATAGAGCTGCTATTATAAAATTTGCCACGAACTAAGCATCTACACATGTATATAAACTTGTAATCTCTGTTTGTCTGTTTGTTTGTATGTCCGATCATAACTCATTTGCCTCAACTTTTGATTAGGGAACTCGGGAATAACAAGTAAATGTTCATAGCATGGTTTAAAGATTCTGAGTAGATTCTTTGAGTAGTCCTTTAAATAGTCCAATGAGCATGGGAAACACTTTATTTAGTCGTATTCACAGACTATACACAGACTGCTTATCTCCTTTCACAAGGTGGGCTACGTAGGCCTAATTCTACCCAGCACGACATGCTACGTTTTTACGATAGGTTTTTAGAGTGCCATCTCACGGCCACTTGATGAACATAATACCCATTCAGGGGTTAAGTTTTACAACTTTTAACGAAATTCTTCAATTTTAAACATAACATTTATGAATTCAGTCTTTTTTTGGAGATTTTTTGTTTCGTATCCAAAGGATTCTTAAATATCCCTGAATTGTTTGCTGATTGGTCGTGTAGTGGTATAGTACTTGTATACAATAGAACATGCTGTGGAAAATATCGCATATTTTAACTGATAATCGATCTCTATAACTCTTTTATCTCTGGTCGTATTCATATTTCAGAGTTTTCTGGTTATCACTGGTATATTTCAGTTGCAGTGTGACTGGGCAGTCGTTCAAATAATTCAACTAACTAACGACGGAACTGGGTTTGGGTTCGGGATATCAGGTATACTATCTATATATTTATTTTGCTTAGATGTCTGTTAGGGTGTTTTTGTCCAATAAACGTCAAAACGGCTGAACCGACTGGGTCCAAATTTTGTGTGGGATCTAATGCGGCCACAGGGAAATTACAAAAATTAGCCTTCAACAAAATTTGATTTCCATTAAATTTAAAAAATCCACGAAATTTTTAAATGGAGGGTCATTGACATTACGACTACAGTCCACACACTTATAAATATATCTTTTGCAACATTTGTATTTGAAAATGCTTTTAAAATGAATGTAATACATTGTCCTCAATAATCTTAGGGAGATTTTTGAAGATTTACTTTTTTAACTTAAACTTGATTCTCTTGGAAACTAAATAAATTTTTTCTTGTGTCTTTTATTTGTATGATATGATTAAAACGTTAAAGATGAATCCTTTATTTGAATGAAACTCGTTCACAATAACACTGAGGCAGAAGCCCAGAGAAGTTTTGCGCAGTCGGTGTAGAACAGGCTCTCTCTGTCTAGTTATTCTACGCCGACTGCGCGTAACTCCTCTGGGCTTCTGCCTCAAAGTTATTTTGAACGAGCTTTCATCCAAATCTTGAAAAGACGACATCTTGTGTCATATTTGTTATCTTAATTAATCCATGAATAACTCTTTATAGTTTTAATTGCACAGAATAAATAAAACCAATTACCCCAAACAATAATGTATTGCTTTATGTTCACAATATTACACCAAAACAGACCCGGATATTTAAAAGAGTTATCTCTGCAGGATATAACCATTACGGGATACCGAATAGGAATTAGATTAACCCCTGGATTAGATGGAGATCAATACTTTAATTCACAGCTCTTTCTCAAACAACGAAGCTCTATATAAAACGTTATTTATGAAATTAATTATTTGAATTTTTTCGCCTGATTTTTAACTAGTTGTTTATCCAAAATTTTAATTTTCGGATTATTTTACTTTTTGTGCCGCAACCTGCCTGGGTGCGAGCGCCAGGAGGATTTAAAGGTCGATTTTGCGCTCTTATCTAGCAATTATACGCAGTACAAATGTCTAAAAGGTCTCAAATGATTTCTAAAATATTTCTCTACAAAACTACACTCTCATCTCGAATACCATATCTAGTCAGACACTCTCTTTCATCCGAAAATACGACTTTTAAGGAAAACGACAGAAAACAAGAAAATGTCAATTCTGATTATTATATAATTCTCCATTATAGGAAGCAGAAATAGTGGAGCAGTGGTGAGAAATATATTCCCCGGTGGTGCAGCAGACAGGGTCAGTACTTTTTTAGTTAAAGGGACTGTTTAGGTTATTCAATTGACTCTTTATTTTTAAAAAAGAATTACATGGCTGATTCATAACGATGTTTAAAATCTAAATCTGAGTAACCATGAGAAAGATATTGTCGTTTCTCTAGCTTGAAAAGCTGTCCTCATCTTACGTCTTAGGGAGGTTTAATGGGTAGCGATGGTTAACTCTTTGAATGTAGGGTCACTTAAAATTTCGTCAAGAGTCCCTTTAATAAGAGACTTACTCACATTACTTCAGACAAATACAAAGATTAAAAGAATTTACCTAATATTTATTATTACGTATTATTATTATTTCTTTTTAACCAACAAAATACAAGCGTCATACTCTAGAAAACCCACGGACAGTATTTCTTAATTTTTAAATAAAAACGGAAAATACAGGATTACCCGCGAAACATGACAATAAGAAGATGACTTGAAGGTCGTCTTTGATCTTTGAAATAATTTGCGGCAATGTATTCTTAATTCTAATTTTAGAAGTATTATTCTAGAGAGAACAGTAAAAAAACCTAGTCCTGGCGTTTCGTTCCTAAAATTTGGTCTCTCTTTTGTGTGCTTTCAATATTAGCGGAGATATAAAGAATTTTGTTCATATTTTAACAATTTTGGTTTTATACAATACTAGCTGAAGTGCCTGGCGTTTCCCGTGGAAACATACGTAAAAAACTTGGTAAAAAATGCAAAAAAAGAATTTTGAGCAAAAATTAGCTTGTCAAAAAAAAGTAATATCAGGCAGTTCAGCAGTTATGTAAAGAGTAGAACCAAGTCCAAAACAGGGATTGGTCCTCTCAGGAATGACAATGGTGACTTAGTAACAAATGAAAATTTTGAATTCCTGCTTTTCAAGGGTTTTCACTCAGGATAATGGTGATGATGGTCCACCTGTTAAACCTGTACTCTGTAATCAGCTAAACTCACTTATATGTACAAAGGAGGATATCATAGAAAAAATTATAAAATTGAAACCTACTTCAGTTCCAGGAAATGATGAAGTAACTGTTAAACAAATTCAAGTAATGAGCCACCTGATATGTAAACCATTGGAAATTATCTTCAACAAATCGATTGAATCTGGAATAGTTCCTTTAAGCTGGCGGGAGGCTAATGTCACCCCAATATTTAAAAAAGGTGATAAATCAATTGCATCCAATTACAGACCTATATTACATGAATAGTTCAAAGGTGACAAATGTTAGCCAGGAAAAAGACATCGGTGTTATAACCCACGAATCACTCAAGTCGTCAACCCAGTGTTTATCTGCTGCAAAAAATGCTAATTTTGTTCTTGGACAAATATCCAGGGCATTCCACTTCAGAGATAAAATCACATTTCTCAACTTGTGCCAGTCTTATGTCCGACCTCACTTAGAATTTTCTGTGTCAGCTTGGTGTCCCTGGACACTTGAGGACATCCGAGTCCTAGAAAATGTACAAAAGCGAGCCATAAATATGATCTCAAACCTGCAAAGTGTTTAATATGAGGACAAAATAAAGGAAGTTGGTATCCAAACCTTGGAAGCTAGGAGGTTAAGGTTTGACATGATACATACATACAAAACTCTGAACCATAAGATAGCTGTTAATCCAGATATATGGTTTACCAGGGTCCAAGACATCAGCCTAAGAACCACTCGTCAATCTGACAACTATATGAATCTACAAATAAAACAGTGCAAAGGTGACATTCGAAGGAAATTTTTCAGCAACCGAGTTGTCCAACCATGGAATAATTTACCTACAACAATTCAGAATGCCAAGAATGTAGACAGTTTCAAAAGAATGTGAAAATGTGAATGATATGAACAATAATGGCCAGAACTATAGTGAACTAAAATCATTTACAGTTAAATCAAGAAATTCTCATTATACTCCAATAGGAGTCCTGAGAATCAACACCACATAAACATAAACATAAACATAAACAAACATACCCCCTGGATACCCTTGGGTTCGCTCAAAAAATGTCAGCCCATTCGGTCCAGCCGTTTGGCCGGCTATAGGGAACATATATACGAAATACGAATGTCTTGATTTATTATATAGGTATCAAATTCTGAACCAAACTCCTGATATCTCTCCGGGAATATTGACAGAACAAAAAAAGGCAGACCACATTTTGTAAATGCCAGAGTTACAAGATTACAAGATCATTGTTTCAAGAATCATATATTTAAGAGTACATTCACGACAGTCCAGTTTTGTGGGACACCCTGTATCATCTTTTAGACAGTAGGTTCATAGGACACCCTTGTGAACTGTTTACGGAACTATTTAGACGACGACTCCCTTAAATTTACGATAACAGTCCCTTTAATAATTCCTGGTCTAAGCCCTGATACTTTATCAGAGCTGATCTTTATAGAAAGCCAGGGTTGAATAGAATGCATTAGAAAGGTTAAGATGCTAAGAAAAATTAATATGAAATTTAAAGGGAGAATAAGGGAATAAAGACAATAAAGAAAATAACCAATCTTAAAGGGAGTGTTAAACTGAAAGTTCGAGATCGATCCCTTCCAGTTTTTCTTTTATCTGTTATGTATTAGGAGAAAATAGTTAAAAACGTCTTATAACTCAAGAGCGTATAGGCCCTATACAAATACATAGTTATGCATTTTTCAATTCAACTTGATGCTTTCGTTATAGATGAAATTTCATCATATTTTTTTTATACGATGTACTTTAAAAGACGATTTTTTGGCCGCTATGTGGCTCTTCCACCTGGCCCTCTAATTTTTCGTGAACCCTCCATTTAAGATAAACAATATAAATGAAGGATTACTTGAAATTACGTTTACGTTTAATGACAATAAACACATTTAAGATAAATGATTAGGAGGATCTGCAAAGTTAGGTTCAAGTAGAGAGGGAGTTTGGTGGATTAATTATTCAAGAGAACCCCCATATAATCAGAAATGAGATTAAAAATTATCATAAAAAAGGATTTGAATTAACATAAATGGGAATTTAATTTAACATAAATGGGAATTTAAATGAACATAAATGGGAATTTAAATTAACATAAATGAAAATTTGAATGAATGTAAATGGGAATTGATGAACAAATATATGAATTTGGATGAACAAATATGGAAATTTGGATGAACAAATATATGAATTTGGATGAACAAATATGGGAATTTGGATGAACAAATATGGGAATTTGGATGAACAAATATGGAAATTTGGATGAACAAATAAATTTGGATGAACAAATATGGGAATTGGGATGAACAAATATGGAAATTTGAATGAAATTATATGTGAATTTGAATGAAAATATATGTGAATTTGAACGAACAATAATGGGAATTTGAATGTACATAAATGGGACTTAAGATGAAAATGGGAGGGAAGGGGGGGGGGCTTCGATTGTAACAAGAATCATTTATGTAATGTATATTTTATTGGCAAAAATAAAAACAAAGATAAAAATGAATTTAAACTCAAACTTAGTCCTAAAAATTTTACATTTTTAGGGATTAAAGGGGTTAAAGGGGTTAAAGGGATTAAAGGGATTAAAGGGATTAAAGGGATTAAAGGGATTAAAGGGATTAAAGGGATCAAAGGGATAAAAGGGATAAAAGGGATAAAAGGGATCAAAGGGATTAAAGGGATAAAAAAGGATTAAAGGGATTAAAGGGATTAAAGGGATTAAAGGGATCAAAGGGATCAAAGGGATAAAAGGGATAAAAGGGATTAAAGGGATTAAAGGGATTAAAGGGATTAAAAAGGGATCAATGGGATAAAAGGGATAAAAGGGATTAACGGGATTAAAGGGATTAAAGGGATTAAAGGGATTAAAGGGATCAAAGGGATTAAAGGGATTATCGACGTAATTTCAAGGACTCTTTAATTAAAATTGGAACTTTAAAATACCCATCTAAAATTAGTCAAATTTCTCGTACATTCTTTAAGATCCATTGGTACAAATTATCAAAGCATCAAAATTTCTATGAGACAAAGGAACTATGTTAAATTTATTCTCTATATCTTTGCAATCCGATGTCGTAGACGTATAATATTTCAAATTATAAAATAGTCCAAGTTTGAATTATCAAAAGTTTACACTATCAGGTTGCTAAGATATAGGGATTAGAAAACCTAAGCATGTGGTAAGAACTCAGTTCTTTTCTGAAATTTTCTTATTTTTCTTTTGTTCATTCTGTAAAGATTAATTGGTGCAAATTAATATCAAAGAATCAAAAATTTAATTTATTGAGACAAAGGAACTGAGTTCTTGCCACATACTCTGATTTTTATTCTCTATAGCTTTTCATTCTGTCGTAGACTATTGATATTTCAAATTATGACTTATGTTAGATCAAATAGTCTAAATTTGAATTATTTAATTGGGGAAATTACCAAATCATCAAAAATTTTCTAAAAATAGTTTTTGTTCGAGTTTGTTGAGATTTAAAGGGTGCCGTCGCGAATCGTTTTATTCAACTGTTAAATTGGAAGTAACCATAAAAGAAGAAATTAACATAAGAGATCGTTGCTGATTTATTGAAAAGATGAAGGATCACTTTAATTATGTTAACAGTCCCTTTAATATTTGTGTAGGAGGGACATTTACAAAATGGTGATCATCTGCTCCAGGTGGGAGAAGTACGGCTCTGGGGTATGGGAGCAGAGCAGGTACAATCCAATCAATTCATACAGAGGAACCCATAAAACTGTGGAAAAGGAAGACAAGGCACCTAATGTGTATTTAATGTTGATAAAAATCAAATAGTTTACCAGTAAAACTTGAAACTCAACTTGGTTTTGTCTACACTGTACAATTGTTGGGTTTCACGTTAATTTGACTTTTTAAAATCATAGTTTGATTCTAACAGTCATCTTCCTATTCCACATTTTTACAAGTCCCAGTGTAAAAATAAAAAATCTGATGAAAAGAATATTTTCCAAGATGGTTTTTATTGTTTTCAGGTTGCATCAATTCTCCGGCAGGCGGGTCAAGATAGTATCAGGGTTGTGGTCGCTAGACCTGTTGATCCCAACACTCAGAACCTCATGGTTAGTAAATATTTACTTTTAAACATTCTTTAAAGGGACGGACCGTCTCGACCGAGCGGAAAGTGCATTATTATTAAAAAATAATTCATTATTGCCAAAAAGACGTTCATACGGTGTATAATTACTAAGTAAGAGCTCAAAATCAATCTTTAAAATTTTTAGGATGCATTTCAAGACTAGTTTATTTCAATATTGTTGCATTTCAAGACTAGTTTATTTTAGTATTGATGCATTTCAAGACTAGTTTATTTCAATATTGATGCATTTCAAGACTAGCTTATTTCAATATTGATGACGAAAATTGTAACAAAAATTTCACAGTAAACTTCTTAGTTCTTTAGGAACAGGTTGATACAATTAAAATTAACTTAAATTTTCGAAATAAGTTTGATTTTCATAAAAATTTTCCGTAGATTTTGTGGAATTTTTATTGAAAAGACGATATTTGAAGACTTTGAACAAATCTGCAATCAAAGTTATGAAGAAAAAGAAATTCAAAATAATGATTTTTTGATTTTTTCACAACAAAATTGAGTTTTTGCCGCAAACATAAATTTTCTAATTGCCATATCTATGCAACCAAATGTTGTAAACCTTTGAAATTTTAAACTTAGACTATTTGATCAAACAAAATGTATAGTTTGAAATATCAAAGGTTGCAGAGATATAGGAAATAGAAAATTAGAGTTTGTGACAAAAACTCGATTCCTTTTTTAGTAAGAAATATGTTCCCAAACAACAAATTTTATAATACTGCACTCTGAGCTCAAAGATCATGTCTAGCCGGTCACTCCCTTTATAGAGTGAATATATTACATCATGATCTGAGTTCCTTTCCATTTTTCATCTGACAATCTTTTCTAAAAAGTTTTTTTATTCGATATTTTCTAGTGATTTTTTTACATTATTATTTATTCAAATTTTTATTGTATCGTTCAAAAAAAATGTTGAACTAACACCTACTATATTTACTCTATTGCAGTGCCCGGCATTGCCCATGGAATTCAAAAAAACTTTGGGGAAAAAATATAATTTTGAAAAAAATCTGAATTTTTACCCCGTGACCCCTAGAGTACCCATGGCTTTCCTAAAAAAATTTCTGCCAGTTTGTTCCAGCCGTTTGGCAAGCTTTAGCCTTATAATATGGATATAGAAGGGTATATGAAGGAGCAATTATATCTGTATGGTAGGATGAATACAAGGGTTCTGTTTTGGACAGGTTATTTGGCCAAACTATACTTCTCTGTATAGGGGCTAAAACTAATATTATAACTCCCCCCCCCCCTATCATATATATAGGGTAAGGTCATGGAGTTTTGCAACTTTCAGAATATTGAGATGACATAAAAATAGTTTATAAAATATGAAAAATATATATAAAATATGAAAAATATATATAAAATGTAATCAGCTGTTCAGCGTACAAACAGTCAGTTTATCAGCTGTTCAGCGTACAAACAGTCAGTTTATCAGCTGATCAGCGTAAAAACAGTCAGTTTATCAACTGTTCAGCGTACACACAGTCAGTTTATTAGCTGTTCAGCGTAGACACAGTCAGTTTATCAGCTGTTCAGCGTACAAAATGTCAGTTTATCAGCTGTTCAGCGTACAAACAGTTAGTTTATCAGCTGCTCAGCCAATTATCAGTGAAAAGTCCCAATTGTGTCAAATAATTAGTGTGCTTTTAGCTTATATACAGGGTGTCCCATTAAACATGGGAATTAAATGACGACTTCTATATCGTCTTTGTTCCAAGCAGGATTACTTCTTAAATATAATTTTGAAGTATCACAGTTAAAACATTTAGTCTCGTGATTTCCAAAATGTGGTCTACCATAAGGAAATTTTTCCAGATTCCAGATAATTAAAAATTAACAAAACTGTTAAAATGTTTAATATCTCCGTCAATTTTTAAGATACAAAGAAGGTAGACCACATTTTGAAAAGCTCAATAGACGTTCAATCTTTTCTTAATGCACATTATGCCATTTATCAATTATCGGAAATCAAAGACGATATTTAAGTCGTCTCTCAATTCTCATGTTTTTGGGACACCCTGTACGTTCAACATTACTTAGTTTCACGAACGGGGTTAGGCAGTTTTGTGGATATCAATATTTTGTTATGAAATATTATTTTATTTAGTTTCTTCATATTCTCAAGTTTTGTCGAATCTTTTAAATCAAAATCTACAAAATGTTAAGACCCCAAAAAAGGAAACTCGGGAGTTTTGTTCAACGATACTCTTTTAAATTTCGGACTCAGGACTGAAAGTAACCAAATATGTTATTAACTAAAGAATGTTTTAAAGAATATTTTTAGTTCAATTTTTTATCAAATTTGACGATGGAAAATTGGTGGAAAATATTCATAACATTTAATTTTACTAATGATTATAAAACAAAACTTTTGTTTTTTATTAATATTTGCCTGGTGTGTTCAGGCGAACTGTGCTTTGGTCCCGACAAAATCCTTATCTGATCCATTAGAACTAAATCGAGCTCTAGCCGCCAGCCTCGCCCCACAGGTCAACCTAGTTTTAAAGGGACTGTCAGCTTATTTCCAAGTGACCCTCCGTGCAAAAATGGCTAATCTTAACAACCTTTATCTGATCTAAAAGGTGGAAGATTTGTCTTTTTTTTAAGGTTTAAAAGTGTTAAATTCTGATAATTCAGTTTTCAAAATTATAAACAGTCATATCTAAATAATTAATACTTGATCAGACAAAGTTTTTAAGGGTTCTGTTGTAAGTCAGGAATTTCCATTTTTGCAGAAAGGGTCACTTGAAATTACACGTACAGTCCGTTTAATGTGAAAATATTTTACTAACATACAGGGTGTTTCTTAATCTTGTCAATTCAAATATTATATTAATACAAGGTGTCCCAATAAACATGAGCAGGGGCGGATACAGGATTTAAGTGAGGGGGGGGGGTGCTAGATTAATTAAGGTACAAAATAATCCCGAGTTAGGAACAAAAAGACGCGCTGCAGGGGAAAATTTTGTTTGATTTAAAAGAGTCAAAGTTAATGAATAAAGACTAGAAAACTAGGTTTTTAACTTATCCCACATTTTAGTTTATCAAGGGACTGTATGTTGACCTAACTCTTGGGAAAATTAAAGGGACTGTATGTTGACCTAACTTTTGGGAAATTAAAGGGACTGTATGTAAACCTAACTCTTGGGAAATTAAAGGGACTGTATGTAAACCTAACTCTTGGGAAATTACAGGGACTGTATGTAGACCTAACTAAAAATTACAAAGACAGTCCCTTTAGTAAAATATTTATATGTAGGTTGTGAATATGATTGCCGGGGTTCCATCTCTTCAACCGCATCAGGTCCCGGTAACAATAACAGTCACGAACGGGTCCGAACCTACTCCTGCTCCGTCCTGTGCTAAAGTAGAGGCTGAGATGGTGAAAACCCAAGATCCTCTGCAACCCAACCCTGCTCCAAAGGTTTTAACGAACATTACAAACTCATTGCCAAAGCCACAAGATTTCACGAGGAGCGTATCTTTTCAAAATGATCCTGATCTCACAAGACTTGTTAAATCCTGCTCTCCCTCGGGACTCTCTGGTTCTACACCTGCTCTAGGTAAAAAACTGAAAATTTCTATTCAACTTTTAGGTTAAATTTTACGACCTAGAGTTTTTCATAATCATCTCAATCTCACTTAAGTGCTTATTTTATAATATCATAAACCTAGATATTTTCTCATTATCACGATTACTCTTCCTAAACTAAACCCATGTATTTACTGTTGTCCTAGATCCTTTACTTTCATCCTAGATCCTTTACTCTCATCCTAGATCCTTTATTCTCCTTTCTTCTCATCTTAGATTCTTTCGTCCTAGAGTTTTTCTTACAATATTTTGTTAATTTTTTATCTTGAACCTTGATAAAGCGAGATTCTATGATCAATATTCATGTTCACTATCTAATATCTGTTTATGATGATGCAGGTTTGGAACCTCTAGGAATTCCGAAAAGTGCCTCAAACCCAATATCCCTGAATCCAACCTTGCAAAAAGATATGTATCCGTCTTCAAACAGATCTGAGGAGAAACCCAATCCAACATCCTCTTCCGGTAAGATTTATTTTAATTAAACTTTGCAGATTTAACCTGGGTTGAGTTGAGATATTATGAATGTTGTTTAGCTCTAACTACTGGTTCAAGCTCGAAAGTGCAATGAAAGTGTATTTATTCTTCTTTTTTTAACTACTTTAATTGGAAAATGTTTGTTTTGACCCATAAGATTGATAAACTAAATAAACGAGTAACAGCTGTTTAACAACCCGTTCCTAGTTCAACCATTTCTCACTACTCATAAATTTTCATCTTTGTCTTAATTTTAGTTAGGATAAGAATTCTTTTTTACAAATAGAAAACTGTATTTAATGAACTGATGATTACAGGACTAGTTGATGAAGCTCAACCCTCTTCTACTTTCATCGAACCCGGAGCAGAGAAGGAAAAACCCTTGACTGATCCTCATACTAACCTGGAGACTGATACCATCTCTGCAGTCAAGGTTTGATTATTAAATTATTTAAGAACTGATTTCTGTAAATATTGTCAAACTTTGCTCGCACTCCTTGAAGTGAGAAGATTAGAGTAAGATTATGGAACTACAAGTTAGATGAGTGGATTGGGCAAGAAGGAGGAGGGGAGGGGGCTCCCCCTGTCTCCCCCCTTCTCCTTCCGGACTAATGGTTTCATTATGTTTCATAATATAAAGAAATAGATGCTACAGTAAGCTGTATATTTAATCTTGTTTAGAATTTGTTAACTTGTTAAATCTCCAGACATGCGACCATAATTAAATAAAACATTTTCTACAGAATAAGAAAAAACAGAATAACTTTTTAATCTAGTTGAGTTTGCATGTTATCAACAACATGGAGAGAGTACAGAGGGACGTTGGACTTCAAACTATTCTATCTCCGGTCTATGAAGAGTCTAGAAGTGAGTCGAACCCAGGATCTGAACGGTTGAGTTCTAACTCCGGGACAACAACATTTACTCCGGGTCCTCTCGTAGAACACCAGGTTAACTAAACTATCCATAAGTATTTTTAGATTTAGATTCCTCTTATGTTCAGGTTCTGGTTCTAGCTTTGTTTAGGTTCTTGTTTTGGTTCTATTTATAGTCCTTCACTGGTTCTTGTTCTACTATAGTCCTGTTCTGGTTCAGGTTCTAATTTTGATTAAGTTCCGATTCTGTTTCTAGTTCTATTCCTTCAATGGTTCTAGTTCTACTATAGTCCTGTTCTGGTTCAGGTTCTAGTTTTGATTAAGTTCCGATTCTTTTTCTAGTTCTAGTCCTTCACTGGTTCTAGTTCTACTATAGTCCTGTTCTGGTTCAGATTATAGTTTTGTTTGAGTTCCGATTCTGGTTCTAGTTCTAGTTCTGTAAACAGGTTCTGGTTCTAGGTTTAGTCCTGTTCTGGTTCAGGTTCTTGTTTTGTTTAAGTTCCGATTCTGGTTCTGTTTAAGTTCCGATTCTGGTTCTAGTTCTAGTCCTGTAAACAGGTTCTGGTTCTAGTTTTAGTCCTGTTCTGGTTATGCTTTAGTTCTATAGTTCTAGTTTTAATATAAGTTTCGGTTCTGGTTCTAGTCCTGTTTTGGTTAAGGTTTGGAGTCTATAGATCTAGTTATAGTTCTAATTTTCATTTCAGTCCTATTTCTGGTTTTTATTCTATTTCAAGATCTGGTTTTGGGTCTGATGTTGGTTCAGATTTCTAGTTGTTTTAGATCAACATTTAACTATTACTGGTTCTAGTTTAAGTTCTGGTGTTAGCTCTGGTCTTGTTGGTCTTATTGATTAAGATTTCTAAGTTTTATCGGAAAATTTAATAAGACAACTGTTGCACTGTCTTTTTTACGCATTTAGATTTTCATCTTTAGGAAAGAGCGGGAGGAGGAGAAGTAGGAGGAGCAGAAGAAGGAGTAAGAGGAGAAGCCCATAAACCTGACCAAAGTTTAGAGACAGAGGAGAGAGAAATAGTTGAGATTAGACTGGAGAAGGATGAGAGAGGTTTAGGTCTAACTGTTGCCGGATATATCTGTGAGAAAGGTAAGGTTTAGACTAGCCCTGAAGTCAGCCCTTTTATTCTTAATTCTGATAACTCCTCCATTGTTTTTATATTTATGCCTAATTGAAAATCAGCAGTTTTCAAAAACATGGATATATATTTTTTACTTAAGCAGACAAAGCTTTTAAGGTACCCTGAGGAATCTGACATGTCACACTCCCCCCGCTAGTTGCTCTACAGCCTTTTTAACTATGAGCTTTTTTTAACCTTAAAAACTGTAAAATAAAACACATACTAAGAGATATTGTTATACTTGGCTATTAACCAGATATATCTCATAGTTGCTGGCTGTTTGACAATGCCAAGATCCATGACACTGTCAACTAGACAGAATGCGAAGTTAAAATCTATGTTACGTCGCCAGTAGCATAATAAAAATAATGTTTTTTATGACACAAAATTAATTGGTTTTATATGTACTGAACATTAAAAATAAACTGTTTATTTTCTTAAATAAATTGTGTGGAGTATATGCCCTGAATTTAAGCGCTATGGATATAAAGTACACATGCAGTACACATGTTATTTAAGTGCGTACTGCATATTTTATCCAGCTGTGCCTGTGTCATATCAGGGTTAAATATCCCAAAAAATAGAAACTAAGGTATAAACCTAATTTTCTTCATGTTTCATTACACATATAAAGTAATCTGCATTTTATGGCATAAAACAATAATATCTTAAAAACATAAAAATATTTACCCTTTTGATTCACAGCTTTCCTATGTTTACAAACAAGCTGAAAAGTAAGCAGAGCTTTACTAAAATGTCGTCTGTATTATATTGGTATATAGGCTTACCACTGTAATATAAATTCAAAATACTTCTTTCCTTCTCTGTAGCTCTTCACTAAAGGGAGTTGTGATTAAAAAACAATTAAGATTTTAATACTTTGCAATTTACTTCAGTTCACGGTGGACTAGGGTCAATTTTAATTCGAACCAGACCGACCCCTTGTACCGGCCTCAGCGGCGAGGGGATAGTACTGCCCCGTCCCTATCCTATGTCTGACCAACCCCTTGTACCGGCCTTAGTGGCGAGGGGATAGTACTGCCCCGTCCCTATCCTATGTCGGACTAAACCCTAGTACCGGCCTTATTGGCGAGGGGATAGTACCGCCCCGTCCCTAACCAATGTCGGCCCGGATTCAACTTTGATGGCGCAGCCAGACTTTTTACAGTAGCAGGCCAATCATAGGCTTATTCTACCTACTCCAGCAGCATAGTTTGCTTTTGTTCGACGTGACGATAAATGTTTGTATTTCAGCATCCTTGTGCGGGATCTTTGTAAAGGGAGTTGTTCCAGGCAGTGTAGCAGATACGCAGGGACACATTAAACCTAATGATCAACCCCCCTCCTCAGTTTAATTTGATCTGCTACTTCTTGGGAATAAATCTTGTATTCAGCGGAGCAAACACTGCGTTAATTATGCCTATTGTTTTCTTAATTATTTCTTACATCTATATATTCTATATATTCTATCAACTTTACTGTAGTATTTATCAATAGAACCTGTCAGCTGTGTCTAGTTCACCAAACAACTTTGCTTGATATTTTCCAAACCAATTCTTTAGATATTTATTGCTCAACCTCGGGCAGCCGTAGTACATTTGAATTTCCGAGCCGGGTCAACCTTTCCGGTCCCAGTTTGAACTGTATCGCCCGGACAATGGGTAAATAAAGTAGACACTCAATAGGACTAGCCGGTGCAACAAGGTTGACGCGGGCAGACTTTAGGTTGAATTTCCTTTTACTGAAGGGTCAAAGGTGCCTGTGCAACTTTCTGGGAATTAAAGGAATTGTTCACATATTAGGATTATTGAACAGTATAAATGGCAAAACTTAAACTACGGTGATTTTTACAAGCAATCACTTTTTTAAAGACTTTTTAGATTTTTGTTTTTATTATTTATTAAAATCAAATATTGTGAGGGCTTTTTTTTAACGAGGATTGTTTTCTATACTTATTATGAAATGCTTTTCTTTCTCTGTTTAATTGGGAAATACCTCAAACTCGCATTTTATAATCTATATATCTTTGCAACTTGATGGTGTAAACCTTTGATATTTTAAACTTTAATATTTAACTAGATCTAGCAGAATTCATAGTTTGAAATATCAAAAGTTTATGACATCATGCAAAAATAAGGATTAGATAATTACATATTAAGACATGTGTTCAGTTCCTTAAAGGGAGTGACCGCTAACGTATGGTAGTTTAACTGAGAATATAGTATTGTGGAATAAAGTTTTAGGATTCATTTGAGACATATAAAACGTTTTAATGGTGTATAATTACTAAGGTTAAACGCATAATCGATGTTAAAAATCATCCATGTGGGTGGTTACGTTTTGAGAATCGATATTTTAAAATTATTCATTAACGGCGACGAAAAATGTATAAAACTTCTACAGTAAACTAATTAGATATTTAGGAACATATTTCTAAATCGAAATTTGTTAATAAATCAATGTTAGAATCATTTAATTATTTTTCATCATTTTATTGAATTTCTTATTCTTTACGAATTTGTTCGCAGATTTCAATAAATTCTTTAAATGTCGTCTTTTCGATCAAAATTCCAGGAAATCTACAGAAAATGTTTGTGAACAATGAGACATTACAGAAACTAATAACTGTATAAGATTACTTATTTCCGATTATAAGAGTTGATTTTTATTTTCTCAACTTGTTCCTAAACACTTTATCAGTTTACTATAGAATTTTGTTACATTATTTGTCGTCGTTATTTAATAATTTTAAAAAATTAATTTTCAAAACGTAACCACCCAAACGGATGATTTTAAACGTCGACTTTGCGCTAAAACTCAGTAATTTCTCCACAATACTACATTCTCAGTTCATCTACCATACATTGCCGGTCACTCCCTTTGAGGGTTAACTCATTACATTGTTTAGCTGTTTTTGTTTAGTCACAGGAAGTACCGGGTTACCCACAAAGGATAAGCCTTAAAAGACGACTGTACGGAATATTGTCAAATTTCCGGTCGTCTTCACATTCTTAATCAATCAAAATCTTTTCCTTAATGATTGGTACCACCTGTTGTTACCCAACTATCGGAAATATTCCCTTTAAAGGGTTCCAGGACCTATAAATCTTCCTATTCTAGGTTAACGGAGAACCACTGTCAGGATATTCAAACCAGGTCAGCATATTTTTGAGTCATATTTTAATCGCTCATTATTCAAAATCCGTCGAAAATAGTGAAAGAGTGTTCTTGGGAAAATAGATATTGCAATCAATTTTTAAGTTTAGTTAGAAATAATTAATCCACCCTTTTGTGCCTTCTTTGTTTTTTCTTTTTATCAAAAGAATATTCTGAAGTGTTAAAAAGGTTAGGTCATATTTTCAGAGAATTAACACTCTGTGGCAATACCAATTAAAAATGTCCAACTCATAATTCATATTTATTTATTTTATTTTTATTTTATTTTTCTAAGATACATAACCTTTCATGTATTCTCTTGTTTGTGCAGGATGTCTATGCAATTATTGTAAAGTGAAACATTTCTTTGCTTTTAGCGGTTTTTTCGACCTTTTTTTTATTTATTGCAATAATCTCAAGTATTTGTATAATTAATCCACCCTTTTGCGCCACCCTTCATAGATTAAACACAAAATTTGAGATTTTCAATTTAGATTTAATGATATTTATGTACATTATACTCCCGCTTAGATAAACCCCTCTATTTCCACGGTCAATGTACAATATATTCATGAAATGTCAGGATTGGTGTTAATTCGGAAATTGTTCGTAGATTTTAAAAATAGTCTCAATCTTAAAAATCCTCTTAACCCTGAACCCTGAACATTGAAAAATGTCTTAATTAAAGTTAGATCTTGCTCTAGGAAGCTGTAGAACTTCTGAAAAGAACTGGACAGACAGTTTTCCTCAAGATTTACAGATATCCAGGAGGACTCAAGTTCGAGCAGTTACAGGTAAGGGTCAGGTACGGGTACGGGTACGGGTACGGGTACGGGTACGGGTACGGGTACGGGTACGGGTACGGGTACGGGTACGGGTACAGGTACAGGTACAGGTACAGGTACAGGTACAGGTACAGGTACAGGTACAGGTACAGGTACAGGTACAGGTACAGGTACAGGTACAGGTGCAGGTACAGGTACAGGTATATATATGTATAATGGTCCAGGATGGAACTGAGAGCATAGAAGGGAGCGGGAGTGATATCTACACGTCCTCTAGTGAGATGGAGCTCCCAATATCTACATCAAGCTCTAGTGAGAGAGAGATCGGAACACCCCTCCTCTCAACCCTATCCTCTAGAGGTCCTATGACACCTACATCCATGTCCTCCAGCAAAGGACAGTCTACGCCTAAGCTTGTACAAAGAAGTAATCTTCGACACTGCTCATCTGGTAGCTCTCAGGTAATGAACATAATGTTGGGTTTTAAATTAATTTTTGTTTTTATTGATTTTATGATAAACTACTGAATACGAGTTATAAACTCTTCTTGAATTCTTGTATAGTTTTTTTTTCATTCTCTTGAGCGGTATTAATTAAATTCTATCTTCAGGATCAGGATCCAAACATTTTCCTGCATAATGATGATGAACCTATCAATGGGGGTATCCGGAGACGATCTGGTGGCAACAGTCTTCTCTCCAGCTCTAGAACCTCCCTGGAGATAGAGGTAGAAAGAGTAGATGAGAGGAACTACTGCAGTAGAAACACAGACTCTCTAGAGTTCTGCTCCGAGTGCTCCAAAGATCAGGATTGTTCATCCTTACTCCCATACAGTTCTAGTATTCCCAGCTCCAGGTTCAGCTCCTATCCGGCTACCCACTGCACCTTTAGAAGTTGTTCTTGTCGTGCTAGATGCAGCTCATGCAGCTCTATCATTATATCACCTGAACCACTAGAACATGAGGATGGAGAGGATGAGCGAGGACGTGTTCTCTGCAACGTGTGTCTCCGGGACCAGGAGGAGGAAACCAGGGAGATTATCATCGATCATTCTTCCATCGTGGTAAAATTATTTTTTGTTTAATCTGAGAAACCTTTATCCCAGAGTATCTTAGGTATCTCCGGGGACCGGGATATCTCTGGGATATCTCCGGGATATCTCAGGGATATCTCCGGGATATTTCCAGGATATCTTCGGGATATCTCCGGGATATCTCCGGGATATCTTGGGATATCTCCAGGATATTTCAAGGATTTCTCAAGAATATCTCAGGGATATCTCAAGGATATCTCAGGGATATCTCAAGATTCCCTGGATCTTAATTAGAAATCTTTAATTGAATATCGAATCAGCCGGAGCAATGTAGATCTTAGAATTTGTGTTTTTATCCTGGTCCTAGGACGGATTTCCGGTTCCGGTTTTATCCCCAAAATACTTTCAGAATACGCAGAAATATCAGACAAATGTTCAAGTTATAAAACATATTTCTAGCTCAATATAATCCTATTCAAACATAAATCAATCTGCCTACTCCATGCTTTGTAAAGTGGCTGCAGTAGATTTCAATTCTAGTTTCCCTTCGTTTAAAAGGATTGCATGCCTGATTCACAACCGTATCCATTTATGAAGAACGAGATTTTCATGCTTTTCTATCGGACAGTTGAAACCTTGTATTTGTTGGTTTTCTTCCATATTGTGACTTGCGGATTTAAGCAAAAGATTTAAGGAAGAAAATGGATAAAATTGAAAAAAGAAGTTTCATCTTCATCTTTGTTAGTCAGATAAAGGTGTGAGAGGTACTGTTGTGAATCGGGTTCAGTCCCGTTAATTCTTTCACAGTTAAATATAGAAGACCCTGTAGGATATAGAATAGAACTTTGCTTGCTCAGCAATTTCAAAATATTTTCAGATTTGTGAAACTTTTCAATATTTCTCCTTCTTTGTCACCCAATGAATTTAGTTTTATATTCTAAATTAAATTTTATTACTCAAACTACTTATAGTACATTGACTCAACTGTTTTCAAAACTGTTGGAGTTATATAAGAAAATGTTAAAAAATTGTTATAATTAATAAGAACTAAAAATATATTTTGTTTATTGCAGGATGAGATGCAGGTTGAGAAATGCATGGTTACTGTTCTGCCAGGGTTTCAGGGAGAATACTCCAGGTATGCATAGTCATAGGGCAGGGTTGGGTTCAGGGAGAATACTCCAGGTATGCATAGTCATATGGCAGGGTTGAATTCAGGGAGAATACTCCAGGTATGCATATTCATAGGGCAGGGTTGGGTTCAAGGAGAATACTCCAGGTATGCATAGTCATAGGGCAGGGTTGTGTTCAAGAAGAATACTCCAGGTATGCATATTCATAGGACAGGGTTGAATTCAAGGAGAATATGCATAATCATAGGGCAGGGTTGGATTCAGGGAGAATACTCCAGGTATGCCTAGTCATTGGACAGGGTTGGATTGAAAAAACTCAATTATTGTAAATTATTGTACACGGCTCAAACAGCATGCAGCTACAGTTAGTGTTAGTGCACACTATACACTGTATTACATACAGCTGCCGTTTACCATATGAACAATGTATACTGTATAGCATACAGCTGCAGTTTACCATATGTACACTGTACACTGTATTACATACAGCTGCACTGTACACTGTATTACATGCAGCTGCCGTTTACCATATGAACACTGTACACTGTACTGAATACAGCTACCGTTGTCCATGTGTACACTGTACACTGTATTGCATACAGCTGCCGTTTACCATGAGTACACTGTAATGAATACAGCTACCGTTTTCCATGTGTTCACTGTACACTGTATTGCAGCTGAAGTTTACCATGTGTTCACTGTACATGTTTTGCATACAGCTGCAGTTTACCATGTGTACGCTTCAGGGGCGTAGCCCCCCCTGACTACACCTATGGCACGCTTTACGCTGTATCTCATAATCTATTACCATGTGCACACCGTAAACTTTACTAAATATAGCTGCCCGTTCACCATACGTACACTGTACACTGTATTGTATACAGCTGGCGTTTACAATGTGACACTACACACTGCACCCTGCATTGTATACAGTTGTCGTGTAATATGTGTACGTACACGTACACTGTACTGCATACAGCTGTCCTGTAACATGTGTAAACTGTACTGCATACAGCTGTCTTGTAACATGTGTAGTTTGTACACTGTACACTGTACTGCTGCGCACCATATGTTTAGTCCAAAAATCGATGTTGTATTCTACATTATATTGTTGTCCCCGGTAACATAAAAACCTCATCTGGATTATTTCCGACGATCTGGGTTCTTTGATTAGATAGAAATGTTTTGTTTCTCAGATTCTTTTGTTTCCTCCTGAGTATTGATAATTAGATTAACACTCTAGCATAATCTTATTGCAGTCCTATAGTGGAACTAAACCCGGATTATCAATTCAGTAGAGATCTAAACCAACCCTGCTCTTCATTTTCTCAACTCAGGTATACATATCTCCTAGTATTCTCCTATATCCTAGTTTATATATTCGTCCCTACTCATCCAACCATACTGTTCTAGTTTATATTCTCCTATATCCTAGTTCATATATCCGTCCCTACTTATCCAACCATACTGTTCTAGTTTATATTCTATATCCTAGTTCATATATCCGTCCCTACTTATCCAACCATACTGTTCTAGTTTATATTCTCCTATATCCTAGTTCATATATCCGTCCCTACTCATCCAACCATACTGTTCTAGTTTATATTCTCCTATATCCTAGTTCATATATCCGTCCCTACTCATCCAACCATACTGTCTAGTTTATATTCTCCTATATCCTAGTTCATATATCCGTCCCTTCTCATCCAACCATACTGTTCTAGTTTATATTCTCCTATATCCTAGTTCATATACCCGTCCCTACTTATCCAACCACACTGCTTTAGTCTACGTGTTTCCTATATTCAAGTTCATACAACTTCACTCTCTTCTCGCCTAGTTTATAATTTTAACGAACTTTGTATCTCATGTCTTTTTGTGTGTTTACATTTAGAAGTACTAACAGAAAACTATAGAATGACATTTTTAGTAAGAAAGAAAGAAGACGACAATTATTCGACAGTTTCCTGGTATCACTTTTTCATATATTCTAGATGTCCTGACTACCCACTGCTCCATGTTGCTCCCCTGGATGAGGCTGGGTCTCATCCAGGGGATGAGACCCAACCTTTCCCACTGGACGATATTCAGTTCGTAGATGATGATAAGGATGATTCGGAGATAAATGATCCATCTGCTGGTGTTTACTATGGTTCAGGACATAATCTGAGCAGTTCTCTCCAACCTTATCCCGGAACTGGGTAAGTTGTGTAACCTTTATACCGGTAATGTTGTAGATTGGGATCTCTTCTTATAGAATAAAGCTACAGAAAGGAATTGAGTCTTTGCCACAAACTCCGATTTTCTAATCCCAATATCTTGGCAACCCAATGTCGTAGACCTTATATATTTTAACTTTAAATACTTTTAATTCAAATAATCTCAAAGGTTTGCACTATCAGGTTGCATAGATATAAGGATTAGAAATTTGAGTTTGTAGCTAAGACTAAATTTCTGGTAAAAACGTTCTGTTTAGCTTAACAGAAAATATCAATAAATAGGATGTATAAGGTGAACTATTTAACAAAAACATTGAAAACAAAAAATGTTTTTTTTCTAGACTTTCTGGAAACCGTTCAACTCTTCCTGATCGAATATCTAAGGTAAAATTAAATATTATAAAAAGAAGATTAAAGATGACAAAAACATAATTTTAACACTAGCTGTTTACCTGGTTTTACCGAGACAACATTTTTTCTGGAAATCGAGATTTCAATCTTCCGAGATAAATATACATTCATATTCACGAAAATGTTGGCCAATGGAGAAAATAATACATCTGGCGTAAACTTCGAAATCCTCTTTCATAAACCAATTCATGCATTAATAAATGAGAGAAAAGTTGGATGAAAACTTAGTAAACATTATATTTACTAGCAAATCAAAACATTTTTCTTCTTCTTAACAGCTGTTAAATAAGAGGACTTTTGATTGAAAACATGTACATGGATACTCACAAAGTATGAAACTGAAAAGACGATTCTAAACTCTTAAGATATGACAATCCCATGGTTAGATTAAGATATGACAATCCCATGGTTAGATTAAGATATGACAATCCCATGGTTAGATTAAGTGTTGCATCTGTAATATATAGTCTTTTGTTGGCTTATTAAATGATTTGAAAAAGAGAGAAACAAGTTTCCAGTTGTAGGGAATCAAGTATGTAAAGAAACAGACAATAAAAATTCTGTACAGTCGTCTCTGAAGTCTCATCCTTTGTGGGTAACCCTGAAATAATCAATCTCATGTGAATTCATTTAGATTCGACAAATAAAAAATATTTGAGAAAACGTTTGGATAAGGCAATGTTTAGGCAATATTAAAAGACCCAATACTACTATGATCACTGTGATGTTATAACATCATGGTGATCACGTTAACAGGGTACACGGCATAGGCTGATAACAAAACAGTTAGAAATTAAAGTTGAAAAAAGCTATATTTTGATAATTTTCTCTTTCCTTTGCTTTAATTTCTTAAAATAAATTATAAAATTAGTTTTATTGTGCACTACTGGGCTCTTTAGAGTCATAAACGATTCTACTTTTACGAATATAAAAAATTAAATTTTATTTCACAGTGTAAAACAATCCTTTACAATTCTAATTAATAAATGCTTACTTTTGTTAAAATGATTTATGAATTTTGCCACAAATTCAAATTTTCTAATCCCTATATCTTTACAACCTAATGGTTTGATTTTTCAAACATCGATAGTTTAATCTAAAATTAAAGATCTATGACAATTAATGAGGTTCAAAGATAACGGGGATTAAAAAATTAGAGTTTGTGTCTAGATCTCAATTCCTTTGCTAGGATCTGAGAAGAGAGGATCGGACAGATTTATCCTTGTCTCCAGAACCCCTCGGAGCAAGGGAAGGATTGCGGGAACTGGAGAAAAACTGGGCGGAAATCATGGGATCCGGATATGATATTATTGTGAGTATTTGTCAAGATTTTTCCAATTCAATAGCAATTGACAACTAGGATATATTTCCCGTTTCTAATTAAATATTTCCAAATTTAAAAAAAATATTTCTCAATTAAAAAAATATTTCCCATTTTAAGAATATTTAACTTTTCCAAAATTTGTCCATTTTCAACATATTTTAGCTGTTCCAGGCCTAAGCAAAGTTTTTGAGAAAAAAAAAACAATTTGAGAAAATGACAATGTGGGATGAAGTTAATTGGGATTTTAAATCTTGGAAAGTTTCTGATAACGTTTCTTCCTTGTCTAGGCTGCAGTAGTAGAGAAGGATACTGGCTCCGGACTTGGAATTAGTCTGGAGGGTACAGTAGATATAGAAGATGGAAGAGAGGTAATTTTTAACAGGAAATTTAAAACCTGCCTTGAACTTTCTAATCCTTACAAATTTACAACCTAATGTAACTTTAGGTTGCAAATATATAGAAGTTAGAAAATCAGAGTTTATGACAAAGACTCAATTCCTTTTATCAGGAAACTGAATATTTGTCTTAAACTTTGTAATCCTTATATCTTTACAACCTGATGGTGTGAACCTTTTATATCTAAAAACTGTGACTGTTTGATCCAGGAGAATTCTTAGTTTGAAACTTCTAAGGTTTACGACATCAGGTTAAATATTTGGTTTGGATTATAAAATATGGTGAGAGAAATTCTAAAATATATGTTTTTTTATCCAGGTTCGGCCTCATCATTATATCAGAACAATTCTTCCCTATGGTCCAGTAGATTCTGCTGCGGTTTTTAGGAGCGGAGATCAGCTAATCCAGGTTATAGTTTAGTGTAGTTTATCCAGGCTCTAGTTTAGTCTAGTTTATCCAGGTTCTAGTTTAGTCTAGTTTATCCAGGTTCTAGTTTAGTTTAGTTTATCCAGGTCCTAGTTTATTCTAGATTATCCAGGTTCTATTTTAGTCTAGTTAATCCAGGTCCTAGTTTAGTCTAATATATCCAGGTCCTAGTTTAGTCTAGTTTATCCAGGTCCTAGTTTAGTCTTGTTTATCCAGGTCTTAGTTTAGTCTAGTTTATCCAGGTCCTATTTTAGTCTGATTTATCCAGGTCCTATTTTAGTCTAGTTTATCCAGGTCCTAGTTTAGTCTAGTTTATCCAGGTCCTAGTTTAGTCTAGTATATCCAGGTCCTAGTTTAGTCTAGTTAATCCAGGTCCTAGTTTAGTCTAATATATCCAGGTCCTAGTTTAGTCTAGTTTATCCAGGTCCTAGTTTAGTCTAGTTTATCCAGGTTCTAGTTTAGTCTAGTTTATCCAGGTCCTAGTTTAGTCTAGTTTATCCAGGTCCTAGTTTAGTCTAGTTTATCCAGGAGTTTAGTCTAGTTTATCCAGGTCCTATTTTCGTCTATTTTATCCAGGTCCTAGTTTAGTATAGTTTATCCAGGTCCATGTTTAACCTTTAAACCAATTTTAACTATTATGTTGTTAAAAATGCAGTTCAATTAATTATACAAAATTGCAGGTTAACTCATTTTCTCTGGTTGGTGTTCATCATGAAGAAGTTGTGAGAACTCTAAAGCAGGTCGAGTTTTACATTTTATAATTTTAAAACTTCAGAACTCGTTTCTCCTTCACCCCAAATTAGCATTTGATAAAACGCCATTTGCGAGATTTTTGGGAATCCTTGAGGAAATATATATTTGTAAAAATACATTTGGTTTTAGTCTCTTCAGTTTTGGACGTTTTTCTGTTTTAAAAGGGTATTAGCTCCTGTTTCTTTTTATGGAGAAACCACATTTGGAAATAACCATTTTTGGAGAGAAACAATGGACACGTCATTTTTTCTTGAACCGATCCAGGCTTTCCAGGGTACCGTTGTGAATCGGCAATGCTACCCTGTGAATGGAAGGTTAATTATAAATACGTGAACAGTCCCTTTAACAGAAAATGCCGCGTTTTATTCCATTTTTTTTGGTTCAGGTTGGAAACACAGTAGTTCTTGTGTGTGCCCGGAGAACCTCTGCTCCAGGCTGGACCCAGTTGACCGTCAACCTGACCCCTGACCCTAGCCTAGATAAATCGGTCAACCTGACCCCTGACCCTAGCCTAGATAAATCGGTCAACCTGACCCCTGACCCTAGCCTAGATAAATCGGTCAACCTGACCCCTGATCCTAGCCTAGATAAATCGGTGCTAAACAAAGACGACAACAAGATTTCCCCCACCCTAGTATCATCAACCAGTCTCAAGCAGAATTCCTGCCTTCCAAAGGTTGGACTTTAAATAATCGAAATTTTAGACACATTTACGTGTAGTTCACACTGTACACACTCACTCCAGAGCTCGAAATTTAAAAGAGTATCGTTGAACAAAACTCCCGAGATTCCTTGATTTAAGAGATTAAAAAAAAATTGAAAATATAAACAAACTGAATAAAATAATATTTCATAACAAAAAATTTATATCCACAAAACTGTCTAACCCCATTCGTGAAACCCGGGTTTTAAAACTGGTTTTCATGAAATACCCTGTCTTAAGTCTTGGGCTCTGTTTGCACACAATATTTAGCCAGAAATACAAGGAATTAATTGCCGTTAAAGATCAGATAAAATTGTTTCACGGGTACCGTTGTGAATCGGATAACACTCTATAAATGGATAATCCAGTTTGTTCCAGTTTGTTCCAGTTTAACATGATTAGGTAGATAATAGGATAAAATATATGTGTATTGCTAACAATACACAATACACATATAAGAATTATTATGTAGCAGGCAAAAATGTGCAACTATTTATTGTTAGCATGTATGTGTGCTGTAGCAAATATGTGGAGATTAGCTTATACTGGATTGGGTATCATCTCCACCTAATTTATAAAAAAACGTTTACTAGATGTTATATATTACTATAGTTTACAAGATGTTGAATATTACTATAGTTTACTAGATGTTATATATTACTATAGTTTACTAGATGTTATATATTACTATAGTTTACAAGATGTTGAATATTACTAAAGATTTCACTGGTCCAGGGGGGGCTTAGCCCCCATAGCCCACCCTGAATACGCCCCTATAAGCTCTTGTTCAGAATGTCAATTTGAAATTCGAAAAATCTTTCAAAATTTCCGAGTTTTTTAAAATTGTGACAAGTTTCTATTTCCAATATTTAGGTAAGTTGCGTGATACCAAAAAGATCTGGGCGTTTACATGAGATTTTCCTTAATATACCGGATTACCCATAAAGGATGAGACGACTGTACGGAATTTATACTGTCTGTTTCTTTATATTCATTATTCCCTGAAACTGTAAACCAAGTTCAACCTTGGGGAAATCAATAAATAAGCAATTAAACGACATTATTCAAGGCAGAAGACTCAATTCAACTTTGAAAACATCATGTTTATAAAGTTGTAGGTCGTCTTTACAGTCACTTCATTGTGGGTAACCCTGTACCTTTAAAGTTATAGCTTGAATGTCGCAATGCATTTTGAAGTTGGTAACACATTAACTATTTATGACACTGTTTATTTGGGTTTGCTCAATGTTATAAAGTTTTTGGACAGACATTTTCTCTTTATCGAGAAGATTCTATCCTTTTAAGATTTAATTTTGTCCCGAGCTTTAGCGTCGAGGGACAAAATGTAATCTAAAAAGGCGAGAACCTTCGAGATATAGAGAAAATTTAAGTCCAAAAACTTTAAAGCACGTCGTGCCAAAATAATAGTGTTATAGGTAATTTTATGAAACGTTTGTTTACTTGTTTTATTTGAATGGCTTATATATCTGAGAATTAAAAACTTTTCTTGAAAACCGGAAACGGACCCAAAAAAAGAGGAAACGGACCCTAGAAAAGAGGAAACCTATCAACAAACTGAGGATTTAAAACATTTTTTGAAAACCGAAACTGACCCAAAACAAAAAGGAAACGGAGCCGTAAATATAGCGAAAACCCGATCCAAAATTCTTGAAAATAATTCTTGAGGCGTTTCCATAGGAACCTGTTACTAGATCAAATAAGCTTTGAAACAAAGCAAAAGTCAAAATATAAAGTTGATTTCAATTTTATTTTTATTTCAATTGAAAAAAATATTTTGAAAATACCCTAAATCTTTTGGAGAAAATCCGGGAACCAATCAAAACTTTATAGCACACGTGCTATAATGTACAGCTAATTTAACATTGTAACACGATGATTACTTTATAGCATGTTTATTATGAATTCACGATGAAGCATGAGTTAAAAAGATATTGTACACTATAGTTTCATAAAACTGGTTATATCTTAATAAGACCGACCTAACATTTTAAAAAGTTGTATGTTTAGCGCCCCATACTCGGCATACAGCACTGCTTGTATCTTTATTTTTTAAACTTTATTGAGAGCTCCCAAATCTGATTGTTTTCAATCTAATCTTCATACAAAATGGAGTTTAAAGGGAGTGTTCGCGAAAAATGAAAGGGGGCATAGGCTTAATGCGATAAAAAAGCGTTTTTGATCGCTACTAATCTTACTTCTATCTGTTGCGTCTATAAGGAGAAAATTGATAAAGACGTGACATACCGAAGAGCGTAGCGCCCATACAAATTGAGGAAGTTGGAACATACGACTTGGATCGTAAAAAATCAAATTAATATCAAAAAATCATTCAGATATTACAACCTATGGTCATCGATTATCTTTCGCCACATTTGTATATATTTAATATTTCATACTAGTTTTGATTTTGTTTTTTAAAATAATATTTAGCGTACAACTTGTTTTCGAACATTCCTGGAAAAATATGAAAATGTCGTCTTCATTACCAAAAATCCTCGAAACAGGAATAAGTATTTCTCAGATCATAACAATTAAAACATATTATGAAAAATCAACTATATATAAATGTGGCGAAAGATAATCGATGACTATAGATTGTAATATCTGAATGATTTGTTTGAAATTAAATTGATTTTTTACGGTCTAAGTCGTATGTTGCAATTTTCTCAATTTGTATGGCCGCTAAGTTATTCGGTATGAGACGTCTTTAACAATTTTCTCCTTATAGACGCAACGGATAGAAGTAAGATCAGTAGCGATCAAAAGCGCTTTTTTATCGCATTAAGCCTATACCCCCTTTCAGTTTTCGCGAACACTCCCTTTAAAAAAGAAAAAATATTATGTAATACAATCATTTATTTCAACTCGAATTATTTTCAGTATGATTAATAACTATTTCAACAATTAATTCATTCTGCAGTAGTTGTAGTACAAAGGGACAAAAACAAATTCCAACCTCCAAACAGGACAAAAGAATCTTTTTTAGAATTATAGTTTGTAAGAATAAATAAACAGAAAAAAATGCTTTTTTATGAAGTGGACTCTAGGCTCCACATAGAGAGATTTGTTCAATTCACAACGATACTCTTGAAACAGCATAGAGAGATTTGTTCAATTCACAACGATACTCTTGAAACAGCATAGAGAGATTTGTTCAATTCACAACGATACTCTTGAAAGTTTTGTCTGATAAAAAAAACACAAAATATGCATCTTTAAAAAATCTTTTTGGAATACAACAACAATAAGCGAAAGTTTTAGCAATGCCAATAATATTTACAAATATCAAGACTTGATATTAATATATTTCATAAGTGCGAATATAACTCGTGCAATAATATACTATTATTCTAAATTAAATATTTTTAACTTTTTGTTAAATATACCAGATTTGATATTTCAAACAAAAACTTTCTCTGAAGAACGTCGGTCTCCTTTTAACTTAAAATATAAAATTTCTCATTGTAATTTATTTAAAAACTTTTATAATACTTGAATCTGCGCTTTAAAAAAAAATGTTATTCCCCCCCCCCTAAAATTTAAAATTTAATTTTCAAATTGTAAGAGCAATTTCAAGTGACCAATCCCCGATTGACAAGGGTACCCTAAAAAGCTTTGTCTGATTAAGTATGAATTCGATATCAATGTTAATAATTTTTAAAACTGATTATTTTCAATTGTGTCTTGCTTATTTCTACTGCAGGAAAACATAGGTACAGTACAAACTGGGACCGGAAAGGTTGACCTGGCTCGGAAATTCAAGTCCCGTTACTAAAGATAATATTCCAGGATGAACTAGAAGAAAATGTATTCTCCTCTCAGCTCAATATGGAGGAATCCTTCTCACAATCCTCATTAGTAAAGGTGACTTTTATCTTTAAAGGGAGTGATCACTCAACTGTAATCGAACCTCCACATTAAGACCCAGACACCTATGCAAAGTTGGATCAGTTTTCAAGACCGGATCAACTGTAAAGTGTTCCAACGCATTGGCCTTTGATTTATCTCACTGTTCTAAACATGTTCATTCCACATTGTAGAACTATAAAAAACCAAATTTTAGTTTCAGTTTTAAGAAAGTTATTGGTAAAATTATTATAGATTTTTGCGTGAGACCGTGCAACCAAGGGCGTATACAGGGGTCGGGGGCAAGGAGGCAGTGCCCCACCCTAGACCTGTCCCCCCTAGAACTCAGAGCTTTTACACTTTTCAAACCTTAAACTGGAGAACATAAAAAAATAGTTTGCTGTTCATTCAGTGCACTAAGAAGATTGTATACGTGAACCAGAGCCACATACCATAACAGAAGTCCGTATGAAAAATTAATTTAGAATGCACATTTATTCTAATCGAATGGGCGCTATCGATCAGGGATAGCGAAGGAAAACAATTATTTTTTAATGCCAAGCCACAAAGGCTTGAGTTTGGACTGGAGGTGATGTGATCCCCAAGGGTACCCAGAAGTTTCCTCACTAAAATTATGCCCATTTGATTCAGTCGTTTTGACAGCCATAGCAAACAAGATTGCGATTGTTTGTATTTGTTTGAACCTTTGTCTTTTTTTTCATCTCAAAGAATTTAAGTTCAAGTTGAGTTTTTATTTTCAAAAATGTTTTTTACTATCTCTAGTTTAAATACTAATTATTACTAACATAACAGTATGATAAAATGTCGATTTTTTAGAAACAATGTTTTTCTGCAAGATAAATGAACTGTATGTGAACCTTTAGAGTAACTTATACCTATGTCTGATATCCAAAAAGCCTAATGTTTTGAAGTTACAGTTGAAATTTTAACCCCCCCCCCCAGACTTATTTCTGTATACGCCCTTGCGTGCAACCTTTGGATCACTATACGTCAAGATGAAGATTGCAATGAAAGATTTAATATTAATTTAATAAAATCAATTTGAACATTTCCTACACTGATAACAAGAAAAAACTGGAATGAAAATCATGTTTGTTCAATCTTTAAAACAGAAAAATCGTCCAAGATATTCTATTTTAGACGATCTAAGATCTATTTTAACAGTTACATAGTAAACATCTTCAGCAACGTTTCTAATTAAAATATTGAACAAAGACGACTTTAATTTCGCTTTATTCTGGTTATAACTGTATAGCCTAATTATGATTTTATTAATATTTATACAACGCGTTATTTACAGTATTTTTATTTCAGGCCAAAAGTGATCTAAGCCTGAACAGCCTTGATCCTAGCTCCTCCACACAAGCCAGGTATTTTAAACTTGTATGTTTTGCAATAAATTTCTTAATTTATGTAAAAAGTAGCTAAAGTGTCAAGCGTTGACCGTGAATAATTTTTAAAAATGTCGAAATTTCTGAATTTTTAATTTAGTTTAACAGTTCGGTCCATTTCCCAGAAAGCTGTTTCTTTCGATCACAATTTTACAATTTAAACACAACTAATTCGATTTTCTCTTTTGCTGATTTCTCGGCTGATGCATTTCAAATGAAAAGTATCAAAAGACGACTCAGTAAGTTTAAAGGATGAAACCAAACTTAAATCTTGAAAAAAAATAATACAAATTTAAGTGGAACCAACCATATTTGAGCCGCGGCTTAAATTTTAACCGCGGCTCAAATTCATTAAATTCGGCCTGAGGATTAAGGATTTAGTAATGGTGTAATTATTGAAATAATAAACATTTGATTCAAAATGATTGCATATTAATGTTGCCCGTTTTAAAATAATTTTTATAAAACTATATATTCGAAAACATAATCACACCACGTACGGATATATTTATAGGTCTGAATAAATCTGTTTAGAATGATAGAATATTTATTATGATAATAGAATAGAATAAGTTAGAAATAACAAAGTGTTATGAATGTTTAACAAAATGTTAAACTGAATGTTAATCTGATATAAAAATATATTGTTATCAATTTATTATTCAATCAAAAAAGAGATTTAAAAAATATGTTCTTTTTAATATCTTCATTATCCGATCATCTTCTGACTTTATTTCTCTCGTAAATAAACCTTAAAACCATCTTTTTATTTAATTCTTTTGATTTGCAGTTCTTAATCTTTTTTATTTTGAAAAATGCTAAATTAAAAAATCGGGATTAGATTTTTTTGCTACAAATTCTGATTCTCTAATCCCTTTATATCTTTGCAATGTCAAAGACCTTAGATATTTCAAACTATGAAATCTGTTTTATCAAATTATCTAAGTTTGAAATATCAAATATTTACACCTTCTGGTTGCAACGGTAGGGATTAGAAAATTTGAGTTTGTGGCAAAGACTCAATTCTTTTTCCGTTGTAAATAATAAAAAATCAACATTTTGCACAGACCATTCCGCAGCAGATCCAAGTCCCTAGAGTCCGTCTCTCCCCCCGGAGTCTGGTCTAACCAGGTGGAGGAGATAGTTCTAGTCAAAGCGGAAAGAGGACTTGGATTCAGTATTCTAGACTACCAGGTTACTCATTCATTCATTCATTCATTCAGTAGTCTAGACATTCATCCTGTATTCTAGACTACCAGGTTATTCATTTATTCATTCATTCATTAAGTATTCTAGAAATTCATCCTCCAGAAAACTGTGGAAGAGGAAGACGACATTAAATCAATAATAAATGTATTTGATGTTGTAAGAAAGCAAATAGTTTCCCTTGACACTAATTAAATCACTTATTTAGTAAAATGGGTCTGTTTATACAACAGCGGTGTCTGTTCATGGGACTTTTTGAAATCACAACTTGAGTCTAAAAGTCGTCTTCCTATTCCCGAGGTTTCTGATTCTCATTGGAATTAAATTGCTTCCTATTTTTGTAGTAATTTTTTATGCACGTATTTTTATGCATTCACAATTAAGTCAATTATTCTTTTGTTTTTAAATTCATTTCTTCATTTTATAACAATTCATATCATCTGTATTTTTCATATATTCAATTATTTCAATAATATTTAAAGGGACCGTTCACTTATTTGGGTAATTTCAGGGTAAACTAAACAGCCTATTCGCTCTTGATTGGTAATAGTCTTACTTTTCAAAGACAACTGTGGCCGGAGACACATGTATGTTGTGGCCAACTGTGGCCGGAGTATGTTGTGAATCAAAATAAATTTCGAATATAAAATTAAACTGTAGTATCTGATCGTTAATTGTAAATGTCATTATTTTTTAATTTTTGTTGTTTTTTAACTTTCTTTTTCTAAAATAACACTATTTTATCGCATTCAAAATTGTGTATTGCCTGTGTAAAAAGCTGAATTGAACGCGGCATGACAAATGAAAAGTTGTGCACATACGCGAACAAAATCTACGAACCAAAATACGAGTAATGATGAATTGATTGTCGTAGAGACGTCGTCTTTGTAAACACATTTTACATGTTTTAATACGAAAAACGTAAATTTCTTGCTAACTCAAATATCAAAAGTTTTCATATTTTAGTTCATAATAACGAACACATAAGGACATTAATATATAATAAATTTAAATGTTATTGGGCTGCTGTTACTGAAAAAAAACATCAAATAGTGTCTATAGAGAGGGACCGTCCCTTTCCGCTCAAATTCTGAACGAAAAATCGGCTTTTTCTCCGGCCACAGTTGTCTTTGAAAAGTAAGACTATTACCAATCAACAGCGAATAGGCTGTTTAGTTTACCCTGAAATTACCCAAATAAGTGAACGGTCCCTTTAAGATTTTTTATTTCAGGACCCTTCCAATCTATCAGAGACTGTGATCGTAGTGCGTAGTCTTGTTCCTGGTGGTCCAGCTTATCAGGTAGTTAAACCAGTATAACAATTAGTTCAACCAGTCTTACAGTTAGTTCAACCAGTCTAACAAGTAGTTAAACCAGTCTAACAAGTAGTTCAACCAGTCTAACAAGTAGTTAAACCAGTCTGACAAGTAGTTAAACCAGTCTAACAATTAGTTAAACCAGTCTAACAATTAGTTATACCAGTCTAACAAATAGGTAAACCAGTCTAACAAGTATTAATATAGTTATATACTTATACTTAACTCATATACGTATATATATAGTTTTTAAAATTCAATTTCTTTATTCTATAATATAAAAATAATAATAATAATAATAATGATAGTAATAATAATAATAATAAGGATGGAAGATTGATACCCGGTGATAGGATAGTTTATGTAAACTCAGACAAGCTCAACAATTCCTCTCTAGACACTGCAGTTCAGGTTGGTGAACAATCCCTTTAAAACAAAACCAGTTTAGTAACAATCCCTTTAAAACAAAACCAGCTTGGGAACAATCCCTTTAAAACAAAACCAGTTTGGGAACAATCCCTCTAAAACAAAACCACTTTGGGAACAATCCTTTTAAAACAAAACCAGTTTGGGAACAATCCCTTTAAAATAAAACCAGTTTGGGAACAATCCCTCTAAAACAAAACCACTTTGGGAACAATCCTTTTAAAACAAAACCAGTTTGGGAACAATCCCTTTAAAACAAAACCAGTTTGGGAACCCAGCTCTGCCTGGAAACTAAGTTTCCTATAAAACCCACCTAACTTAGAAATTTTAAACCAAGCTAAAAACATTCCCGTGGTTTAATCAAAATTTGAGGCAAATCGGTTTTTGGAGTTTCCGAGTTATGCTCAAACGTGGAAACAAACAAACACCCAAACATAGATTACTCCTTTTTTATATAGATACTATTTAGGCCTTGAAAGGAGCGGAGAGCGGGTTGGTTAGGATTGGAGTGTGTAAACCCATATGTCCCGAAACATTGTTTTCTACTGTTGCATTGGTAAAACATTAAGTTTAATTATAATTTTTAAAATATTTTTTTTTGAAAAAAGAAATTTTAAAATGTTATAATTTTACAGCTGGAACCTGAAGATTTAGGTTCAAGTGATAAAATTGCTCAAGACCCATCGCTAGGTAAATTTTTAATAATTTTTATTTGATTTATTGGGATCTTCTTTCAGCCCATCATCATTTTTATCTGATTTGTCTTTAATTTCATTGTTTTTATTATGATTTTTATTTGGCACATAATGAAAGATATCAAAGTCATTAGCTACCAACTCTGATTTTTTAATTCTTTTATCTTTGCAACCCAACATCGTAGACCTTAGATATTTAAAACTATGGATTCTGTTAGATTAGATAATCAAAGTTTGACATATTAATACGTACCTCTGACCCTTTAGTAAAAGTAAATTAAACCTAAAGTCTGACCGCGTCAACCTTGCTGCACCGGCTAGTCCTATTGAGTGTATGCTTTATTTACCCATGGTCCGGGCGATACAGTACAAACTGGGACCGGAAAGGTTGACCCGGCTTGGAAATTCAAATGTACTATGGCTGCCCGTGTTAAAGGAATACTCATCAGGTTTTATTTAGTTCTTCATGGTTTTTATTTAATTAATCGTAATTTTTCTTTTTCCTTGAAAATTATTTCTATTTTTTGCATTTTCATCAGTTTATCCTTATTCATCAACATTTTCAATTATAAAATTTATTCGTTATTATTTATTTTTTTAATCATTATTTTGATTTGAATTTATGTACTAATTAATTCAGATTCAGTTTAATCAAGATTGCCTTCAATTTTATTCAATCATTACCATTTCAAGTTGTTTAAAGATCCACACTTCTCTCATAAGTACCTGGAAAACATGTTTTCTTTCATTCTTTTTCATTTTCTTTCAATATTTCATTTTTTTGTTCAGAAATCACAACATTTTGATAGTTTATCATTTTTCTATATTATTGAGCTTCTCAGCAATTATTAATAATTCTATTTTTTTACTTTATCTCTAAAGATTAAGATTAAGTTGTGATCTTCTAAATGAGATAGAGTTAAGCTAAATAACTTTTGAATTAAGAAGTTTAACACATACCAGATTTAATTATCTCTCATTGGTTCAATGTGTTGATTATAAAATATCACTGGGGGGAGGGGAGGTATAGTTATTGAGTTATACTCAAAATTTATCTAAACTAGTTCCTAACTCAGTTTCTGAAGAGAAGTATATATTTTTAGAGTTTGATTCAAGTGACCTTAACGCTAGACAGCTACCTCTACCAGTACCTTGCCCTCAGACAGATTCTACAGAACAAGAACTGATCTCCTTTCCTCCTCTCTCCGCTCAACCTGTTCCCAGTTTGGAAAACCCGCGAAAAAGATTGAAACCCCAGACTTTGGACCTTGATGTGAAAGTAAACCAACCCTACCAGAGAATTGTTTATCTTGATCCTGAACCCGGAGAAAAGTTTAAATCTGAACCGAGCTGTGTAATCCTACCAACACTCACCAAATATTCGATTAGTGTGAAGAAGCAAAGAAACGAATCTCTAGGTCAGTAAATACTTTCTGAGTCACAAAAAAGAACCTGACTATATCTTTTCTTTAATTCTTGATTGTTGAGTATTACAAGAAACATTTATTGATTTGATTGAGTTGACCCTACATTCCTTGAATAGGATTGAGTTGACCCTACATCCCTTGAATAGGATTTAGTTGACCCTACATCCCTTGAATAGGATTGAGTTGACCCTACATCCCTTGAATAGGATTTAGTTGACCCTACATCCCTTGAATAGGATTGAGTTGACCCTACATCCCTTGAATAGGATTGAGTTGACCCTACATCCCTTGGATTGAGTTGACCCTACATCCCTTGAATAGGATTCACTTATTTCACATATAATACCTTGTTTTAAAATATAAAATCACTACTAAGGTATTCTTAAAGCTTAAAGAAACTCATGAGACCTGGAATGTTCTAGACTTTCTGACTGTTCACTCAGAAATCCGCGGTTTTAAAGTAAATTTTCGAACAAAACACCAGTTTCGGAACATTTTGGGCCTCAGGAACATGTTTGCGCGGGTAAAAAGGTTTGGTTTTAAATGCTAAATTTCCTGGGCCTTCTTAAATGTGGTCTGTAAAAGTTCTTAGATAATTCAGACCACGTTATAGAATGCCCTTACGTTCCAAATTTTTTACAATTTTAACAATGTAATGTACTCTACAATGTAGCTACAGTACTGTAAACTGTACATAAACTGTACATGAACAATATTAAGTACAGTGTTCACTGTAAACTGTACAGGACTAGTGGTGGAAGCTCTAGCCTGGGATCTTTGTGGTTGCATGGCTCGAGCAATTCAAGCTGGGTCTCCGGTATACAAGGATGGTAGGATACGCTTAGGTGAGTTCTTTTCCTGTACCTGTATCTGTACATGTACCTGTACTTATGATGGACTGGGGGAGAAGTTGGGGGAGGAATGGGGACAAAGGGAGAAGTGAGGAATAAGGAACAGAGGGAGAAGTTAGTGATGTGAGAGAAGGTAAAGATTGGGTGGGCGGGGAGTAGGTAGAGTCATTGGTAAAGAATATGAAGATTCGATGGTTTGAAATCTATTTTACTAAGCATAACTAAGACCTTAATAAAGTTTAAATAGAGGAATTTCCCCCAATCTAATTTTAACCACGCCTCTTCAATTTTAAAATTCCCTGAGCTGGGAACTTAAGAATGGTGGATATCAGGATTTATGCTCAATCTACTCTTTTTGCTAATCTTGAGACTAACTTAATCTCAAGAATATGTTATTCTCGAAATTAATTATTTAAATCAACAAATTTTATTCTAGGAACGCTATGTTTGTTCATTTTCTTGACTGGAAGGGCCTTCACTTAATTTCTTACCCATTTATTTATTAATACATCAGTTAAATTATTTTTTTAAAATCTTAAACGTATTATTGCATATTTTTTCATCAATAAATTTACAAAATGGCGGACAAAAATTCTTTATTTCTTAGAAATTACGATGGTCTCTTATTTGATAGAATTGTCATTGGTCAATACAATTTATGAACTATATTCCTGCACTCTGATTGGAGAAAACAACGTACGGATATCCAAAGAGAATGAAAAAGAGTGGATTAAGGACAAAATTAAAGTTTTCCACAGTGGATATTCGGATTAAGCAATCGGGATTAAAGGTTATCCATTCTAAAGTTCCCAGCTCTGTGCTGGGAATTTGTGTATTGTACATTTAGAGTCTGGACTAGATATCCAGTATATAGTTGGTACATTTAGCGCCTGGACTAGATATCCAGTATACAGTTGGTAAATTTAGCGCCTGGACTAGATATCCAGTATACAGTTGGTACATTTAGCGCATGGACTAGATATCCAGTATACAGTTGGTACATTTAGCGCCTGGACTAGATATCCAGTATACAGTTGGTACATTTAGCGCCTGGACTAGATATCCAGTACACAATCGACGAACTTTAAAGATGACGGGCTTAAAGTCTTTAATCGTGGAATGACAGCGTTTCATATCTGAAATAAATTCTGTATCTAAGGTTCAGCCATCAACGTGAAGATCTCCGGTTAAGCCTCTGAATCAAGATTTAACCTGAGATCCAACACAAAGTTTTCCACTATGGTTTAAAGGGATTGACCGGCTATGTAAGTTAGTTGAACTGAGTATGCAGTATTGTGGAAAACTTCTTTCGGATTCATTTGATACATATTAAACTTTTTAAAGATCTGTAAATCCTGAGTTTGTTAGCAAATTCGACGTTCCAAACTCCTACTTTGGGGGTGGATACGTTTTCATAATTAGTTTTTTAAAATCATTAAATAACGACGACATAAAATGTAAATAAGTTCTACAATAAACTACAGACGTCATGGATAGGAACATGTTGAGAAAATAAAAATTAATCTTATCTTCGAAAATAAGTAATCTTGTTTAATTATTAGTTTCTACTTTCTCATTATTCTGGTTTTTTATTATTCAAAGATTTTCTGCAGATTTTCTAAAATTATTATTGAAAAGACGACATTTGAAGAAATTGAAGAAATCTGCGAATAAATTCAAAGAAAATAAGAAATTCAATATAAAAATGAAAACGAAATAATCGATTTTAGTATTGATTTATTGACAAGTTTCTTTTGAGCGATATGTTCCATCTAATTTCTGTATAATTTTTACTTTATTTGTTTAATATGTTTAATATGCCTCAAATGAATCCGAAAAAAGTTTTCCACAACACTGCATACTCAGTTCAACTACCTTACAGAGCCGGTCACTCCCTTTTAAGTAAAGTTTACTAACTATTAATAGGTGGCATGATTATTATTATTATCATTATTATTATTATAATTATTATTCCTCTAGGTGATATGATTATTAGCGTGAATGGAGAGAACTTATGGCGGGTTACAAGTATCCAAGCTCAAGCGGTTCTAAACAGAACCTTGCCAAGTCAAACCGTGCAGTAAGTATAATATTATTAAATGTCGGAACTTTTAAACAAAACAACGCTAATCTCCAACAACAGCCGAAACATCAATTTGAAGCGATTAAGAGTTTTTATTCGTGAATAAACTTTAACTGGATTCGCGTGAGGTCTCATTGGTTTTCGGCTCACAAAAGTTACGGATTAGTGTTTTTGAGGAGATTAACAATAAAAAGGTTTTAAAACTAAGTTTAGATATGTGTTATTTTTCTAAATATATAACACATAAACGGAAAATAAAAAGTTCTATATTTTATTATTTTATTATTATTTATTTTATCCATAAAAAATAAGACTTTGATGACAAGAAAATATGGAACTTTTGAACTTATGGTCTTAAATGTTAATGTAGTTTAAAAGTGTATTTTTGAGCAAATATTGTGTTCTAAAATTTATTTGATAATCATGACANCTCAGTACACTTTGATAATCCGTAATATAGTTAAATATACCTCAGTACACTTTAATATTCCGTAGTACAGTCAAATATACCATAGTACACTTTAATAATCCGTAGTGCAGTCAAATATACCTCAGTACACTTTAATAATACATAGTGCAGTCAAATATACCTCAGTACACTTTAATAATCCGTAGTACAGTCAAATATACCTCAAAACACTTTAATAAACCGTTATAGTATAGTTAAATATACCTAAGTACACTTTAATACTCCGTAATACAGTTAAATATACCTCAGTACACTTTAATAATCCGTAGTATAATTAAATATACCTCAGTACACTTTACTCAGTACACTTTAATAATCCGTAATATAGTTAAATATACCTCAGTACACTTTAATAATCCGTAGTATAGTTAAATATACCTCAGTACACTTTAATAATCCGTAATATAGTTAAATATACCTCAGAACACTTTAATAATACATAGTATAGTTAAATATACCTCAGTACACTTTAATAATCCGTAGTACAGTCAAATATACCATAGTACACTTTAATATTCCGTAGTACAGTTAAATATACCTCAGTACACTTTGATAATCCGTAATATAGTTAAATATACCTCAGTACACTTTAATATTCTGTAGTACAGTCAAATACACCATAGTACACTTTAATAATCCGTAGTGCAGTCAAATATACCTCAGTACACTTTAATAATACGTAGTGCAGTCAAATATACCTTAGTACACTTTAATAATCCGTAGTACAGTCCGAATTACCTCAGTTCACTTTAATAATCCGTAGTACAGTCAAATATACCATAGTACACTTTAATATTCCGCAGAGCACAATAATAATTCGTAGTAAAGTTAAATATACCGCAGTACACTTTTATAATCCGTAGTACAGTTAAACATCCCTTAAAACATTCCATTAACAGACCTCAGTACACTTCTATAATCCGTAGTTCACCTTAATATACTGCAGAGCACAATAATAATTCGTAGTAAAGTTAAATATACCGCAGAACACTTTATTAATTCGTAGTACACTTTAAATAAGTTTGTACATATTATATTACCTTAGTACACTTTTTATTAATCTAGTACACCTAAATATACCTCAGTACATAGTACACCTTAGTGGCAATTACACTTAGTATGAAGTACACCTGAGAACAAAACCTTGAATTGAGTTGCAGAGAAGTTGGTTTGATTAGATAATAAAGATAACGGAGGATGTGAGACCAGCATCCTCTCTTCTCGGAGGTTTCTAGCTCTCTCCGATACAACCTTAGTAAAGCAGCTGATACAATACAACAGAAGCAACTGGAACCAATTCTCAATAGACAACACCTTGACCTATACACAAACACAGCATATTCTTTACCATCAAGTTATTTTGGCGGATTTAATAGATTCTGCTGTAGGATTTGTTTCAATATTTCTTGGTGATTTAGTGAATTTAATAACATTTCCGACATTGAACAAAACTGAACCCATTTAAATTCGTGCTTTTCATTTGTAAAAAAGACAATATTGAATCCAAAAAGGCTCCATGAGACACATTTTAAAGAAAAACTAAACTAACACTACAATCGTTCAGTTCTTGTTGGCAATTATACCTAATTAATTGTTGATGCATATCAGGCCAATTTGTTTATAAATGAACTTATATTGAGTTTTACGTACAACATTGTTTAGAAAAAACGTCTGAAATTTTTTTTCTCTCGCTTTTTCCTCTAGATATAAGGAAATCCGCGAATATATCAATACAAATCCGCGAGTTTCTGTTGAATGTGTACAGAGTGTACACAAAACTGCAACATAATAGAACAAGATAATAGTCCACTATTTCTAGATAGCTAGTTAGTTAAGAATCATAAATTATCTTTCTCAAATTTAATTATGGCATTAATATAATTGCGCTCTCTTCTTTTTTTGCTTTAATATTACAAACTAAACGGAAATGTTATAATTTCAAGTGCCCCTCAATTTTTAAAACCCTATTCCAAGCAAAAATTATGAAAATACCCTCGCCTTTCTATCTAAAAATTTCATATTTCTAATTGGTGGTTTCTCGACTTAAAAGTGACTTGCGGATTTTTTGTGCAGCACCGTAATTTAGATTTTTTACCATTCTTTTTTAGAGAGCAGACAATCAAAACTTTCCCTACAAAATCAACCCATCTTAGAATTGTTAAACCATTCTTAGAATAGTCAAGTGCAAGTTCGAGCTATATAGTTCCCCAAATCGGCATACATATAATCAAACAGAGATTACTACTTAATATATAAAGATCTGCAGAACATTCGTTTGCTGACTTATCCCCTAGAGATTTATCTATACTTGAATATCTAATATTTATGATTCAATAAAACATTTTGCAATGGTGTCTCATCATCCGTTCTAGGCTATATCGAAACTACGGTACACCAGTAATTTTACATTGCAATGGGGTTTCATCATTCAAACTGGGCTCTATCGAGCTACGGTACACCAGCAATATTAATGCAATGGTGTCTCATCATCCGAACTATAGATCTATAGGAACTACGAAAACCAGTAATGTGGAATTAGGAACACATGTAAAACATCTTGTAAAAGATGTCCATGACGGCTCTGACAAATACTTTCTGTGATTAAAACAATCATATTTTAGTCTGATATCGATAAAAGGCTCATTCATGGCATTTTTAAATTAAATAAATGTGTTTTTTTTGCCGTTTTTCACAATTAGTATATTAGTACTATACTAGTATTATACTAGTATATTGCTTGACATCAGGGACATCTTTGAGTGTTATAATAGGTTAAAGGGACCGTTCACTTATTTGGGTAATTACCCAAATAAGTGAACGGTCCCTTTAAGTTCATAGTCGTCAGCAAAGTCTCGTCCTTTGTGGGTAACCCTGTATAATGCAGATGTATAGGATGAAACTTGAAGAATTCTTTTATTTTAGAATAATATTCATCCCAGAGGAGGATTTGAATTCTGAGGAACCAAACCTTTCTTTCGGCTCCTCCTCTTCTCTACCTCTCTCCGATATACTAGAGCAGGCGGAGTAAGTATCCTATATAAACTATCGCAGGCGGAGTAAGTATCCTATATATACTATCGCAGGCGGAGTAAGTATCCTATATATACTATCGCAGGCGGAGTAAGTATCCTATATATACTATCGTAGGCGGAGTAAGTATCCTATATATACTATCGCAGGCGGAGTAAATATCCTATATACACTAGAGCAGGCGGAGTAAGTATCCTATATATACTAGAGCAGACAGAGTAAGTATCCAGTTTACTAGAGAAGGTGGAGTAAGTATCCAGTATACTAGAGCAGGCGTAGTAAGTATTCTTTATAACTAGAGCAGGCGGTGTAAGTATCCTATATATACTAGATCAGGAAGAGTAAGTATCCTATATATACTAGATCAGACAGAGTAAGTATCCTATATATACTAGAGCAGGCGGAGTAAGTATCCTATATATACTAGAGCAGGCGGAGTAAGTATCCTATATGTACTAGAGTAAGTGGAGTAGATATCCTATTGCTAGAGCAGGCGGAGTAAGTATCCTATATATACTAGAGCTGGTGTAGTAAGTATCCTATATATACTAGAGCTGGTGTAGTAAGTATCCAGTATACTAGAGCAGGTGGAGTAAGTATCCTTTCATCCGGACCCTACGATTCTTCCCTTTTTTCCTTCCAGAACCCGTCCCGTTCCTTCTCCTACCTCCCAGAACCCCCCTACCCTTTCTCTTTTAAGACCCCCCTTATCCTACCTTCCAGAACCCCCCGCCCTTTATCCTTCCAGTCCCCCTTCTCATACCTTCCAGAATCCCCCTTTTTCTACCTTCAAGAATTCTCCCTTCTAACACATTCGAATGCATTTAGTTGATGTTAATCAATAATAAAGCTGACGAATATAATATATACAGCAAAGTATGATGGACCAATTCTCTCTAAAATGAAAGATCAAAAATATAAAATGTCAAAAAATGTTGTTTTTGTTCGAGGAAAATTTCAAGGTTTTTATGTTTTATGCTTGGTTAAAGGCACCACATGTAAATTATTGTACACTTAAAAACATTTTTAATCAAGCTTTTTCAAGATATGTCTGCTCTAAAGTCTACAACAAAAATTGTTTAAAATATCTGTCCTAACATAAAACTTGTCTCAACCAAACCAGACTGAGCCCCAACTTTTCACTGAATGGTAGGGTTTACAAAGTTTCAGCCTTATCTTGAAACAAAAATATTTGAAATTTATATTCAATTTGTTTTTGGAAGATGAATGGGGTGCCTAATTGTAATTTTTCGTGGTAAAATTATTTATTACATAATTTGGTTTGATTTGTACTGAAGTTTCGGATTTTCTATCGGGAAGCCACACAGCGGCTAAAAAGGATAAAGTGATATCGCTGAGATATTTGATCAGTTTTTTCCTCGAAATTCTTCCGGTAATAAAGAGACAGTCGCCGTCATTACAAACCCTCCATTTTTAATATTCCTGATTTACAACGGTATCAAAGTGATTCATGTATATCTTAATAGAGGGTTACTTAACTTTACGTTGACAGTCCCTTTAAGATGGTAAAAAGTTTCTGTTTTAGAAGTGAACTGAGTGACTCGGACCATGGAGGAATCTTCTCTCCTGACCTAACCGTGAAATCTGCAGCAACTCCGGACTTTTTACTTGAAAACCTTCCAGAAACCGTGATAGACTGGGTCGAGGAGGTTACACCTAACCTAGAGCAGGATCTTGAACCTTCTCAAAGTGTTCTACAACCTGGTATAGTTCCAACAGGCAACAAGGACGGATTTGAGAAGGACGGAACCGAAAAGGACGGATCTGAGAACAACAAAGTTGAGAAGGACGGATCTGTAAAGGACGAGGTCGAGAAGAACGAAGTTGAGAAGAACAGAGTCGGGAAGAACGAGGTCGAGAAGAACGGAGTTGAGAAGAACGGAGATAAGAAGGTTGAGAACTGTGTAGAGACTGGAGAAGGGAAGGAGTCTCCGAACCTGAAGGTAAAGACACGTGAGAGAAGCCGTAGAGTTAGGTTGGAGTTGGCAGTGGATGTTCTAACCTTGATAGGATACCATCCGCTGCAGGTATTCCTAGCTACCAGGAGAACACTGGAATTAGGAAAAAAAAATTTAAGTGGTTTCTCGAGTTTTGATTTACTTTTTGAATTATCCGTCCATCCGAAGTCTACTTTCCTGTTTTTTACTGGATATCCTGATATCTACTGGATATCCTGATATCTACTGGATATCCTGATATCTACTGGATATCCTGATATCTACTGGATATCCTGATATCTACTGGATATTCTGAATCCTGATATATACAAGATATCAGGGTATCTACTGGATATTCTGATATCTACCGGATATCCTGATATCTACTGGATTTCCTGATATCTAATGGATATCCTGATTTCTACTGGATATCCTGATTTCTACTGGATATCCTGATATATACTAGATATCAGTATATCTACTATATATCCTGATGTCTACTAGATATCCTGATATCTACTAGATATCCTGAACTCTACTAGATATCCTGATATCTACTATATATCCTGATATCTACTAGATATCCTGATATCTACTATATATCCTGATGTCTACTAGATATCCTGATATCTACTAGATATCCTGAACTCTACTAGATATCCTGATATCTACTAGAGATCCTGATATCTACTAGATATCCTGATATTTACTAGATATCCTGATAACTACTGGATATCCTGATACCTACTTAATACCCTGATATCTACTGGATATCCCTGGAATACCTGTAAATTATTGTTTATATTGAAAAATAAGAAGTAAAAAATTCCTGCGGAAATTCCTCTACCTCCACAACATACCATAACATAACAAATCATATTTAATAAAAATAATATTTTATTTTCTATATAAAAAGTGTTGTATAATATATAAGTACAGGGCTACCCACAAAGTATGAGACCTGAAAAACGAATGTCTAAAATGGTTCCCTGCACTGTACAATTTTGTTAGATAATTTTCCCTTTAAAATTACATGAAAGGCAAAAGGTCAAGTTCAATCTTCATATTTTCATATTTAGAGAGGTTAAGGATACTAGGTAGTTTCTAAATCATAATTTGTTTAGGAAAATCCTGTAAGATTCAGAATTTTCTATTCCAAATTTTAAATATTTTATTGTAACCAAAAAAAAAATCCAAAATCTTGTGTGTTTTCTAGGGTTCGGAGAAAAAGATCTGTGATATTGTGAACCCCAAAGAGAAGAGTTTGATCAATCCTACGGATATCTGGGAGCATATCCAACCCTCTTCAGATTCTCAACATTCTGTATGGAAAACCAATAAACCAGGAAAAGAATCCAGCCTGATAATACTAATCTATAGACCCTGAGAGGCTGAGATCTGTCCCATCCGTTGCAAACCTTATTCACTAGCATTTATCGTCATCTAAATATGATTGGATTTTTTTCACATTTAGAAAAACATCAAATTATCTTTTAGACCCATTTAAAAATCCAATATAAATAATGTATTGATGTTTTTATTTTGTAAACCCTTTCCCGATCGGTCCGTTTTTTGTCTTTTATAGATTTTTATGATTTTACTCTTAGAGTTGAGATATTAGAGTGTGATGTATGTCCATGGTCGAACTTTGCAAGGTTTGTTTTGGGGTGCTAGGGAGAGTTAAAAAAAATAGGTTGGAAATATGTTGCCTTTTACTCTTGACAAATATTAACATGTGACACAAGTTATTGCATCCATTTCTCAAAGGCTTTTCAAATAGATTTTAGATCACTTTCGTTATTGATAAATTAATTAATAAAAAAAGTTATTGTCTGCCCCTCCACCCTACCCTACCCCACCCTACACTACCCCTCCACCCTACCCTATGCATACCGTTTTTAAGTTATGAATAAAAAACACCTGGGTTGACCCCCCCCCCCCCATTTTTGATAGGGTTAGTTGTTTGATAACCTGGATCTACTCTAGTAGGAGGTAGAGAAGGAACCGAACCTAGGATGGAAAATATGCATACTCAGGTAATTTTACAAAAAATGTGTTGGAGCCGGGGGGAAGGGGGGGTCTGTTTTCGAGAAGGAGGCATAGGGGTGTCAAAATATATATATGATAAATACGGATTTGTAAAGTCTACGCATCGAAATAGAAGAACTCACGAACTTCTTTAATTCCTAAACCTGATGGTGTAAACCTTTGATATCTCAATCTTTGACTTATTGATCATAGCGACATTCATCAAGGATCGAACCCCATCAGATTGCAAGGTTTCAAGACTATAGAAAATTAGAGTTTGAGGCGCTCCCCTTCTCCTGAGCTATAAACCTGTTTCTCAAACTTTTATTTTCCGGCTTCCTTGAAACCATTTAAGTTTACATTATCTTCCGATTCTACCAAAACATCCAGAAAACTAAAACTTGAAAAACGTTTCCGACAAGATTTTTAAAACTCGCAATTAAAGAATTTTAAAAAAATTGCCGCAGACTGAAATAGTTATTGATAGTTGTTGATCATGGTTGATTTTTTTTTCATTAATATTTTTCGCCGTTTTTTCATTACAAAACTGTAAAAACTTAAAACTCAACCTTATCTCCAAGGAATTGAAACTTCAAATATTTTAAATTATGAATTCTGTTAGATTAAATAATCTATGTTTGAAATATCAAAGGTTTACTCCATCAGGTTGCAAAAGATATATGTATTAGAAAATTTGGTTTTGTAGCCTCACTTCCTTTTGCTTGTCTTGGCGTGTTTGTTCCAATAAACATCAAACCGGCTGAACCGATTGGGCCCATAACCCTAAGAGGAAGTTCAAATAGAAAAATTTAGCTTGAAAAAATGCCAATTTTTAAAGAAAGAGTTTTACACTGTAAGAGCCTTAAGAATTTTTAGCAATTTAATTTAAAAAATTATAATTCAATATCCTTCCCCATTCACCCCCTATCAGTCCACATCCGCCCCCCTCTCCGCCGCTTACCGCCCACATCTTGCTTGTAAAGTCTAAATCTGCTTAAATATCGAAAATGATCTTACATTTAAAATGAAATCTTCAAGTTTTCAGAATTTTAAAATATCTGTCTGAAGAGTTAAAACTGTAACTGCATACGGAACACGTGGACAAATGGACTTTACTGAATTGGATAAAGTCATAACAAACCAAAAACTAGGAAAACGGACTAGAGCTAAACATGTCTGAGAGAATACACCACGTCACGTTTTTTGCTGTCATTTTAAAGCCGTCAAACAAAGCGTTATAGACTGGCGGCATGCAATACTTTTGAAAATGTTTACTGTAAAGTCATAAAGAAATTAAAACAAAATAAAAAACAAATTTACATTCATCGGGCAAAAATGAAAAATTGGTGTGAAAGTGAGGACTCTCTGACATAAAAATCCAAACATCTGATTTGCGATTCCTCCTATTTTACAGTGGTTTGTGGATTTATACCGTAGAAATTAGGAGTTTTAACCAGTAGGAGATTAAAAATACAGGGTGTCCCATGAAACATGACAGTTTGTGAATAGTTTTGAATGTCTACTTCCATATGCTGTATTAGATGTTAAAGACTTTTTGCAGTTTATTTATAGTTTTAAAAATCTTTTACACACATATTTTTATCTTTGAAATCTAAATTAGCTAAAATATGACTGCCATTGAATATTTTGTTTATCATTTTCTTTGGTAACCAATAACTTATTATGGAAGAAGACATTTTAAACTATTCACCAACTGTCATGTTTCGTGGGACACCCTTTACTTTAGATGAAAGTATAACTTAATAGTAAAAGGAGACTCTTCTCTTTTATCGTAGATGTTATGTTGGTTTTGTCACTAAAGAAAAACTCGCGGATTTAAATATTTATATTTTCGCGGTTTTTCTTATATCTGGAGGAAATAACGATAAAAAGATTAATTAGACCTTCATCTAAAGAAAACTAAGTTTTATATAAAACTCGACGTAGGGATATTATTCTTTACAGAAGAAAAATCAGAAATTGAGCAATGTTTTGAGGACGCAAAAAAAGTGTGACTTACATACCTATCGACAAACCTGAATTGCAGCTTTTTTATTAGTTTATTAAATTGAGGTGAACTCTCACACATTTATTCTTCGTTTGTTCTCGTCATTGATAAATATTATACTGTCTGTATTCTAGGTTGAAAAAGGAAAGCACTGGGGACCTAAACGCTTGGTAGAAGTATGCCGGGAGGCTGGTCAACCCTTAGGAATATCTATTGTTGGCGGTAAGGTTGAAATGACCGGTGCAGCTAGTAGTAGTGTGGCAGGCATATTTATCAAGAACGTGATTCCATCAAGTCCGGCCGGAAGGTTAGTTTTTTCTAATGTTAAAGGGAGTGTTCGTGAAAAATGAAAGGGACATAGACTAATACTGAATTGAATTCCATGTTGATCGTAAATAGTTTAATTTAATTTAAATTAATGACTCAGAAATTACAACCTATAAATGTCGAATTTAATTCGATACATTCGTGTACAGTTGATATTTCATAATATTTACTACCTTTTATGTACGATGTACTTTAAACGACTATTTTTTTGCCGCTAGGTGGCTCACCCAAACGAAATCCCTGAAACATTGAGAGTAAACACGTAGCTTGTTTTTTTTAGCGAACATCCCCTTAAGGAGCCGTTTTTTATCTGTTTAAAAGGATCTGAACACTCCTCACAAACTCTAATTTTCCAATCCATATATCTTTGCAACCTGGTGGTGCAAACTGCAAACCTTTGATAGATATTTCAAACTTCGATTATTAAATCTAACAGAATTCGCAGCTCAAAATATCAAATATCTTTGACATCAGACTGCAAAGATATAGGAATTAAAATTATAATTTGTGGCGAATGTTCAGTTGTTCAGTGGTGACAGTTTGAAGTCTGGAAGGTCTTAGAAATTGATGAACGAGTTCATAAGTTTGTAGATATTTGTTATTAGAAATTATATCTTTAGAACCGGAGATCTGAGTACAGGAGACCGTATTGTAGAGGTTGACGGAGTACCTCTCCTAACCTCAGACCAGGATATAGCTGTGGCTGCTATTGCTAAAGCTGGAAACCCAATTAGGTTCATCGTTCAGAGTCTACAGAAACACAAGGTCAGCATTTTTACATTTCGAGATTAAAAACTTACATATCACGCACCTCTGCCCCTTTAGTAAAAGTAAATTCAACCTATATGAAGCATTAAGTCTGACCGCGTCAACCTTGTTGCACCGGCTAGTCCTGTAGGTACAGTACAAACTGGGACCAGAAAGGTTGACCCGACTCGGAAATTCAAATGTACTACGGCTGCCCGTGATATGCAGTGCCATAAAATGTGGGGGGGGGGGGGGGGGGGGGGTATCTGTTAGATCAAATGTTAGGTAAAATAAATTGCTTTTTAACCTGTTCATTTCTCTAATTATAAGGAGAACATGCATTTATAACTAAAGGAATTGAGTCTTACCACAAACTCGAATTTTATAATCTCTAAACCTTTGCAACCCAATGTTGTAAACCTTTGATATTTTAAACTATGAATTTTGATAGATCGAATAATCAAACCTTGAAAAAGTTTTACACAATCAGATTGAAAAGATATAGGGATTTGAAAATTTGAGTTCGTGGCACCGCCTCACAGTTTCTGAACACTTACATAGTTATGTACTACTAAAAATTTGTAATAATCCTTATCATTCAATTCTTAATTTTTACAAAAAAGGTACATAATCTCGAACTTTCGGTTATTCGATGTTACGGACAACATTTTAGGTTTACAAATTAGAGAATCAGAGTTTGTGGCATAGACTCATTTCCTTTAAAAGTTGTCAGAGTGGATATCGATATAAAGGAATTGAGTCTTTGCCACAAACATCTGATTTTCTAATCACTATATCTTTGGAACCAAATGTTACGGACCTTAGATATTTCAAACTATGAATTCTGTTGAATCAAATTATCAGAGTTTGAAATATCAAAGGTTTACAACATCGGGTTCTAAAGATATTGGGGTTTAAATATTTGATTTTGTTACAAATACTCAATTCCTTAGCATATTACACACAAGATTTCATTTCAGATTCCTGTACTTTTAATATTTTAGGTTGGAGAGGGGAGGACGGACATTAACCATATAAACCACACCTCAGGTATATAAAAAAAATTAAATTAAAAGGTTGTCATCATCTGTATTTGATTCTTTTAATATTGCAGTTATGCGAATGATTTTTTTAAATAAATGCAACAATGTATTTGTCAGGGACGTTCTAGGTCTCTACTTAAAGGGAGTGACCGGCAATGTATGGAAGTTGAACTGAAATTGCAGTATTGTTGAGCAATTTTTTAGGATTCATTTGGGACCTATCTGACGTTTATGCGGAACATATTTGTTCAGCAGCCTACAAAATTCTCATAAATTGTCCATTTTGGAGGGATGATTTTGAGAATAGGTTTTATTTAGATTATTAAATGACAACCACGAAAGATGTAACAAAAAATCTACAGTAAACTAATTAGTTCTTTAGGTAAGGTTGAGTAAATAAAAATGAACTCTTATCATCGAAAATAAGTGATTTTATTCAGTTGTTGGTTTCTGTAATTTCTCAAGGTTTAAAACCATTTTCTGTAGATTTTCTAGATTTTTTAACGAAAAGACGACATTTCGAGAATTTAAACAAATCTGCGAACAAATTCATAAAGAATAAGAAAATTAATGATGAATAGGAAAAAATTGATTCTAACATTGATTTATTGACTACAATGAGAAATATGTTCCTAAACATCTAATTATTTTACTGTAGAAATTTTGTTACATTTTTCTTCGTCGTTTTGAATTATTTTATAAAACCGGTTCTCAAAATCATCCCTTCAAAATTGAACAATCAATGAGGATTTTAAATATGGAATTTGCGCTATTGCTGATTAAATATGCACCGTAACAGCGTCTGATAGGTCTCAAATGAATCCTAAAAAAATTCTCAATAATACTGCGATCTCAGTTCAACTACAATACAGTGCCGGTCACTCCCTTTAAGAATTGAGATGATTACACTAAACCCAATCTATTCAAGATTACTGCATGAGGCATAATTTTAGCAATAAACGTTATCTTATCTTATCTTATCTTAAGTATCTACAGTCTACACCTAGTGTTGATCATTTTAGAAAAATTCAAGCAAAGTTCCAAGATTTCAAAATTATTATGTTACAGTTTGCTTTTATTACCTTTGCAATATTTTTTAAATAAAAAAAGGAAAAATAACTAAAACCCGATCTAATGATAATGATTATGTAAATAAATAAAATATGTTGTAGTGGATGAAAAGGTTGGGAAGGCTCCACCGAAGTTAATAATCCCAGATATATTTTTTGGAACTCCAAAACCTAATGGGCCCACTAGCAACGGTTTTTCAACAAGGTAATCCTAAATAAAAAAATTTAAAAATATTTGTATGGTATTCTTGTAAATTGTACATTTGGTAAACTACCTATCATTTTTTTTGTACATTTTTGTAAATTTACAATATCGCCATCATTTTTTCTCAAATAAGGGTCTTGTTGGTACTCTATTGTTCAGTAGAAGTAAATATTTGAGTGTATAGCGCCGATTTAAGGATTTATCTCTAATTGGATGATGAGATACATAGAATGATAGATGTTACCACCCTGCAATTTCTATTGGTTCAAAATAGACACCAAACACATGACTTAACCCTGATTGGATCAGGCGCTTATGGACTCAGCATATAAGAGTGGATACACGATTAGTACAGTTGTCTATGGGCATGTAAGGGTCGCTTGAAAATACGTTGACGGTCTCTTTGATCATGTTTTTTATTTCAGGTCCTCCTCCTCATCCAACAATGAGAAACGAGAAGAAACTAGTTTTGAAGAGGATAGAAACGGGAACCCAGGGAACCCGGAGGGACAAATTCAAATGAATTCTCTGACAGATAATATTCCTCTCATAGATGATGATGGAGACGTGAACCAGGTATGCTTTTAATTGGAAACAAGGTATTTAACTCGGCTTGAATATAAGAAAAGTTTATGTTAATGAAAAGGATTTTAATTTTTAAATATATTGTGGATCTAGAAAACTTAGATCATGTGAGGCCCCACAAAAAATTGACTAGAGCAGAAGTTAGAACTTATGTGCTGTATTTCTAGGGTTCAAGCATTGATCTCCAACTTATGTATACCTACGAATTATTTTGATCCCTCTTCGTAGGGATATCTTTAATAAACGCATTGATCCTCAAAATTGCCCAAATTGAATATCAAGATCAAGCGTTCAAGATTAATGATTTCCACAGAAAGTCATATCTCAGATCAGACTAAACAAACCTATAACCATGAAACATGCAAGCACTGAAATGTTCTGATATGTTCTGATATATTCTGATATGTTCTGATATGTTCTTGATATGTTCTGATATGTTCTGATATATTCTGATATATTCTGATATGTTCTTGATATGTTCTGATATGTTCTGATATATTCTGATATATTCTGATATGTTCTTGATATGTTCTGATATGTTCTGATATATTCTGATATGTTCTTGATATGTTCTGATATGTTCTGATATATTCTTGATATGTTCTTGATATGTTCTGATATGCCCTGAAATGTTACAAAAAGCGCAGAAAATATTCTTGTTCTCTCTAATTGTGCGATATATTGGAGGAGGAGGAGGATAGATCAATGATGCAGAGTGAGAATTCATATTCAGCTCTATCCACTCCGGAGGTAGGATATCATGCTATCATGCACTAAACAGAAACAATGGAGAAAATAACAGAATCAAATATTTTTTGAGCCAGAAAAATTACATTATCTTTCACTTTTTTGATCAAATTAAGGTTTTAAGGGTAAATCATACATATCCATCTTTACACGGAGGGTCACTTGAAATTACACTTACAGTTGTAAACATTTTTTGAGAAATTGCTTATTACTTTATGATTGGAATCAATTAATTTTATAAACCTGTAAATTAAACAAGAATTCCTAAATTCTTGTAACAAATTATTTTTGCTTATCCAGGTTATGTCGAATGAGCAGAGTTATAATTACAACAAGGTGACGGAGAGACCTTTGGTTGGTAACAATCTAAACGAACTACGCCCCGTTGAAGACTACAGTATGAGATCAGATAGGTCGGGTAGTCCTCCACCAGAACCAGAGCTCATCCAGGTATAACAATAATCTAATACATATATCTTTACAACCTGATTTCGTACACCTTAGTTATATTTCAAAATATGAATTCTGCTAGATCAAATAGTCAAATCTTCTGATTGAAATGATATAGTGGGGAGGGGGGGGGGGATATTAGAGTTTGAGGCGAGTCATCAGTTTCTTTAAGTCAAAGGAGAAGTTTTTTTGGCTTCCAACTACAATATTAAAAATTTTAAGAGTCCGGTATGTATTTTTATCAAGAAATTAAGCTACCATATATTATATGTGCCACCTAGATGAAATAAAAACAGGTTAAATGAGTCTTAACAATCACATAAAATGGTCCAATAAGTCGTCTTCATTATCATTTTATGCTTCTATTATAAATAGCTAAGCACGCACAACCGGTTACCCGGTGTACATTTTAATATCCGAGCTGGGCCAACCTTTGCGGTCATTGTTTGGAATGTACCGCCAATTTGCAATTACTAAAGCGGCAGACCTGTGTGTAAGGTTTCAATATTTTTATATTTTTACGAATGGTTTTCATTGCATCAGATTTTTACTTTTCTTCTTCCCGCATTTCTTCTTTTCTTAATTGGAAGACGTGTTTAGGCTGGGTTGACAGATCAGGAGAAGCAGGATATCACGTCTAAGATGGATGTAGCCAAGAGAGAGGACAGGACGGACTGGAAAGGGCCCCAGGGACATGAAGACGAGGATCCAGTCGAATGCATGATCGTGGATAACAAAATAGTTGACAAGAAAGTTATTATGAGAAAAGCAAGCATTGTAAGTAAACATTTCAAGAAAAATTTGAATGTTTTTATCCCTCCAAACATTTAAAAATTTTTAATTCACTTGTAAATTTAAATTCGCCTTAAAAAATGCCAAAAAGTGCATATTTGACATTTTTGAAATTGATTAAATTACAATTAAATATTGATGATAATTTGTTTAGAAGTCTGAACATGGTGGGAATGATTCTGATTCTGATGATGATGATGATATGACCGAAGAGAAAAATTGGGCCAAGTTGGACGGAGAAGTGATTAAAAGTATAATCGAACCTAATGAGTACGGATTGGGATTATCACTTGCAGGTATAAACAGCTGAATGCTAATCTATAATGTATAAACTTAATATCTACAGCAGAAACCTTTAATTTAAAGTGATGAATCCGCAGCTAAATCGTAATTTCGTGATCTCTCATTGGACGAAATCTGATTGTTCGGAACTTTAGAATCTAAGGGTATTTAATTAATCCGTCAAACTACAAAATATACGGATTAGTACTTTCTGAAGGGATTAACAATACAAAAGGTCAGACCTTAGAAGAAAATGAAATTTTAGAGCAAAATAAAATTAAACAGAGCAACTTAAATAACAGAAAATAACAAAATAAATCGGGAAAAAATATGATAAAAATTATGCGATAACATACTAGAAGAGGAGAGAACAGAGATGAAGGATGAACATATTAGATCTGGAAAAACAAAAAAATCCACTCTTGGTTAAAAAAACAGTCCTGAAAAGAAAAAACACAACAAATATGCATGTAGTACTTGTTTCCTATTGGCCATGAAACACACTGGACATAACTCTGGCATATTTTTGGACTGACATCTTACGGCTGGGATTGACCTTAGAAGGAAGGGCTTTGGCCGATAAAATTTATAATTTCAGGACATAGACATCGTGAGACGATGCGAACCTACATCTGTGGTCTCCATCCTAGAGGGAAAGCTTTCCAGGACGGAACTCTCAAGGCCGGAGATCAGCTATTAAAGGTTTTATCTTAAATATTTGCCATGCTTATTGTTAAACTATGTAGATATATGAAAAAATGCTTTTCTCTCAATCTCTCTGATCTAGACGTAAGGAAAAGATCAACCTAGTTTTGAAATTTATGGTACGGCTTTTTGACCTCGTAGCACATCCACACTGGTTTAGTCAGCCCGGGTTTGTCGCATCCAAGCTAGACCAGGCTAAAGAATACGTGCCGGGTCTAATATCAGGACAATAGGACCGGCCAGTAATACTAAATACTTGTATACAGAATCGGATCATGAGATTGCATCAAGTTTTGATTTACACTGAAGTGTAAAGAAACGTAAATTTATTTAGTTGCATAATAAGCATTTTTCTTTCTTAATAGCTGTTTAAGAAGAGAATTCATGATTTAAAGAGATTTTAACCTAACGTAAAATATACTTTAAATTGACGTGCAGGTATTCAAAAAAAGAATATACAGGGTGTCCCAAAAAACATGGGAATTCAGTGACGAATTCGATATCGTCTTTGTTATGAATTAGCATTGTAATACCTAATTTCAAAAGCCGTAATATTATTATGTCTGCTATAGTTTATTTAATGAAAAGGGTAAAAGACTGAAAAGATGTGTCTATAATGTCTCCGCAAGATGAACAGTGAATACAGACAAGTTTACTCTGTTTGTATACTGTAATTTTCTTGTTTTACTAAGTACAACCGGTTGCAGTCAAAACATAAACAAACAAAATGTAAACATAGCAGACGAAACTCTTACAGATTACAGCTTTCTCAGTAGGTATCACTATACTAAATCAAAGAATTATTCATAAAGACGATATCGAATTCGTCATTGAATTCCCGTGTTTTTTGGGACACCCTGTATTTAAACCCAAATTAATAATGTAGGTTGGAGAGTATTATGTCGGGGACCGGTGTCACCTCAACGTAACGACAATCATTAAAGGCAAGAAATATTAAATACATGAACATACTTTGATTTGTGTACACTGTAACTGCCGCTTATGTAAGAGATATATACAAACTTAGAAATATAAATAAACATTGCAGTACACCAACCTTTCAAGCTTCCTGGTCTATATATTTCTTGTTTCCAGGATACTCTACGACCAGTAGTCTGGAGATTGTAGTGCTACGGAGCCCAACTGGTCTGGACAGCTTAGCGGTCAAACCAATCAATAAATTTCCTCTTCTGCTAGATGATATGGTGAGTTGACAAGAGTTCTCATTTTCTATTCTTTATATCTTTGCAACCTGATGATGTAGTCCTTTGATATTTCAGTTTTAACTATCAAGAAAATTTCAGCTAAGTTCTTAAAATCATAACACCCCCTCCCCCCCCAATAGTAAGATTGTTCAAATAGTAGTAAGTCAATAACGTCATTAGGTGATTTATAATAATTATCATATCTCATTGCTTAGTCTATATTTCTAAAAAATTATTAATGATGGATCTTAAATGAAAGCTGTTAATTAAATCATTCTGTTATAAAAACAAAGAATTTTGTCTATATTGAAATTCTATTTTAAAGGTTTAGGAGTTTTCAGTAAAGTTTTAAAGTTTTGGTCAAACTTTCTCGGGTTGTTTTCGATAAATCGAGCACAATATTTCCGCTAAACCGTGCATTTTCTCCTTTTATTAACATCTATATATACTAGGCTTTTAGGGCGCTTCACGCCCATCTTCTATTTCAATTGTGAACATGTTCTCTTTGTAAATATTGTAAAACAAACAAAAAAAATTTCGCGGATTTTCAAAACTTTCAAAAATCGAATTTTGTTAGAAGCAAATTTTAAAAATTCGATCATCCATGAAACCTTCCCTGGGGTCCTGCGAGATCCCGCAAATAGTTTGGGACCGATCAGTTCAGCCGTTTGGACGTTAATTGGATACAAACAAACAGACACCCTGACAAGCAAAGTATATATAGATATATATATATAGAAGAAGATAAAGTTGTAATCTCTGTTGGTTTGTTGGTATGTCCGATCAATACTCTGGAACTCGAATTTTTCAATTGTCAACTTTGTAGATTCACGGCAATATTCTTAACTTAAGGTTTAAAAATCTAAGTTGAGTGGGTTAACTTTTATAGAAAAAGTTTGGTTTCCAGGCAAAGCTGGGTTTCCAAACTAGTGCACTGTAAGATATTTGTAATATGTATATTTATTTTATAAAAACATTTTTTTAGATATTCGAGAGTGAAGAATTTCAGCGGTTTGTAATGAAACGAGAGCTGAAGGTCCATAAAGGGAAACAGGGTCTAGGGATTATGATTATAGAAGGGCAGCATAAAGCGACCGGAAACGGTATTTTCGTCTCAGATATACAAGCAGAGTCAGCAGCATTCCATGTAAGTTTTATTGAAACGTTTTATCGAAAATCTTTTCTATATCATTAATATTTATATAAAGTATGCACGACCTTTATATAAACTTTGTTAGGGATATACAATATACATCCCTTTTTATAGATTATGTTATGGATATACAATATACATCCCTTTTATAGATTTTGTTATGGATATACAATATACATCCCTTTCTATAGATTTTGTTATGGATATACAATATACAATATACATCCCTTTTTGTAGATTTTGTTATGGATATACAATATACATCCCTTTCTATAGATTTTGTTATGGATATACAATATACATCCCTTTTTTATAGATTTTGTTATGGATATACAATATACAATATACATCCCTTTTTATATATTTTGTTATGGATATACAATATACATCCCTTTTTATAGATTTTGTTATGGATATACAATATACATCCCTTTTTATAGATTTTGTTATGGATATACAATATACATCCCTTTTTATAGATTATGTTATGACCGGATATACAATATACATCCTTTTTTATAGATTTTGTTATGAATATACAATATACATCCCTTTTTTTAGATTTTGTTATGGATATACAATATACATCCCTTTTATAGATTATGTTATGGATATACAATATACATCCCTTTTTATAGATTTTGTTATGGATATACAATATACATCCCTTTCTATAGATTTTGTTATGAATATACAATATACATCCCTTTTATAGATTATGTTATGGATATACAATATACATCCCTTTTTATAGATTGGATATACAATATACATCCCTTTCTATAGATTTTGTTATGAATATACAATATACATCCCTTTTTATAGATTTTGTTATGGATATACAATATACAATATACATCCCTTTTATAGATTATGTTATGGATATACAATATACATCCCTTTTATAGATTATGTTATGGATATACAATATACATCCCTTTTTATAGATTATTTTATGGATATATAATATAAATCCCTTTTTATAGATTTTGTTACGAACACAATAAACACATGTTGTACATACATATTTATCAATACATATGTACATGTTTTTCTAGGCTGGGTTGAAAGTCGGAGATATGATCCTTGCAATCAACACGGAAACCTTTCTCAACATCTCCTATGATACGGTAGGTGCATCCGTCCTTATCCAAGCTAACCTATGATACAGTGGGTGTATCCGTCCTTCTTCAAGCTATCCTATGATACAGTAGGTTTATCCGTCCTTCTTCAAACTATCCTATGAAACAGTAGGTTTATCCGTCCTTCTTCAAGCTATCCTATGATACAGTAGGTTTATCCGTCCTACTTCAAGCTATCCTATAATACAGTAGGTTTATCCGTCCTTCTTCAAGCTATCCTATGATACAGTAGGTGTATCCGTCCTTCTTTAAGCTATCCTATGATACAGTGGGTGTATCCGTCCTTCTTCAAGCTATCCTATGATACAGTAGGTGTATCCGTCCTTCTTCAAGCTATCCTATGATACAATAGGTTTATCCGTCCTTCTTCAAGCTAACCTATGATACAGTAGGTTTATCCGTCCTTCTTCAAGCTATCCAATGATACAGTAGGTGTATCCGTCCTTCTTCAAGCTAACCTATGATACAGTAGGTGTATCCGTCCTTATCCAAGCTATCCTATGATACAGTAGGTGTATCCGTCCTTCTTCAAGCTATCCTATGATACAGTAGGTGTATCCGCCCTTCTTCAAGCTAACCTATGATACAGTAGGTGTATCCGTCCTTATCCAAGCTGGTATTAATATAATTTCGTTATCACGCATTAATAGTTTCCTTTTTTTAACAGTGTTTTACACAGGCTGTGTCCGTGATTAAAAGCCTGGGCGGAAATGTGAAGATGCTTGTGACCAGTCCTAAAGAGGAAGAGGAGAACAAAAATAAACCTGGAGGTTGGCATTTTCTTCAATACAAATGTTTGTATTAAAGGGACTCTAAGCGTAATTTCAAGTCATGCAAAAATGGCAATGCCTGATTCACAACAGTATCCAATGAAACCTTTATCTGATCAAAATGTTGGAAGATATTGTAGTTTTTCTAAGATTATAAGTGTTTATTTCCTGCAGTAGAAATGCGTTAGTCACGGTTGTAGAGAAGTCACAATTAAAAATAACCGGTTTTCCAAATTATAAACATTAATATCTATACCATTCATACCATACTAGATCAGAAAAGGCTTTTTAGGGTACCGTTATGAATCTGGCATCTCCATCTTTGCATGGAGGGTCACTTGAATGTACTCTAAAAATCTAATTAAACAAACTGATATTTTTGCATCAGTTTAAAAAGCTATAGGCGCTCTAATCCAAGTAGATTCAAATATGGTGTTACAAGTTGCATCCTCTTTTTCTTCCTTTAAAGCAGAAATTGTAATAGATATGTATTTTCTTTAATAAAGATTTTGGCCCTTCTCGCCGTTTAACAAAAATACAAGGCACGATATAATTTATAAAGTTGTATTCAATATGTGTAAGAACCTTGTCTTGAGATTCCATATTTCAGCTAAACCTGGTCTGACACCTCGAAGAGAAGTTGACTCCAAGACCCCCGCGCAGCCCGGAGCTACAAAAGCAGCAGTGGAACCTGTAAAAGAGGAACCTGTTAAACCTAAAGAGGAGCTGACCGGCAAGGTTGACCTGAAGAAGGAGAATGGAGGATATGGATTAAGTCTGGTGGGAGGAGTGGATACACCTCTGGTAACTTTTTTTCATGTTTTTCATATTTTTTTCTGATTCCTCCCGAATGAATGAACCCCAATTTATCCCAATGGTAAAGTGAGCTGGTTACAAGTCTGTGTTTTCAGGGTGAAGTTCTCATCCATGAGATATTCCCTGAGAGTGCTGCTGCTAAGTCTGGAGTACTCCGTCCTGGAGACAGGATCAATAAAATCAACGAGGTCGAGCTCAAGGGTCTCACACACGATGCTGCCTTAGACACATTACGCTCTACAATAGACAAGGTCAGATACTATACTTAGACACATTACGCTCTACAATAGACAAGGTGGGATACTATACTTAGACACACTTCGCTCTACATACAATAGACAAGGTGAGATACTATATTTAGACACACTACGCTCTACAATAGACAAGGTGGGATACTGTACTTAGACACACTACGCTCTACAATAGACAAGGTGGGATACTGTACTTAGACACACTACGCTCTACAATAGACAAGGTGGGATACTGTACTTAGACACACTACGCTCTACAATAGACAAGGTGGGATATTACACTTACCTTTAATGTATGCGGCCACTGCAAACTCGCCAGGGCGAAAAGGTCAAATTCAATCGACATCACTGGTACAACTTTGTGACCTTGTTGCCCCTCTATTTCCGATTATACGCACAAGTATGAGAAGGCAAATTTATTCGATTGCATAATAGCAATTAAAACATTGTTATTCTTATCAATAGCTCTTCACTAAGAGAAGTTAAGAAAAAAAACATAAAAAGTTCAATCTTACTTTGATTTATTATCTTAATATTATTACAAATAATAATATTTTGCTAAAAATAATTATGGGATATAAATATGATGGGATATGAAAATGATGGGATATTAAAATGTTGGGATATAAAAATGTTGGGATATAATAATATTGGGATATAAAAATGTTGGGATATAAAAATGATGGGATATGAAAATGATGGGATATATAAAATGTTGGGATATAAAAATGTTGGGATATAAAAATGTTGGGATGTAAAGGTTTTAGGATATAAAAATGTTGGGATATAAAAATGATGGGATATAAAAATGATGGGATATAAAAATGTTGTGATATAATAATGTTGGGATGTAAAAATTTTGGGATATAAAAATGTTGGGATATAAAAATGTTGGGATGTAAAGGTTTTTTAGGATATAAAAATGTTGGGATGTAAAAATGTTGAGATGTAAAAATTTTGGGATATGAAAATGTTGGGATGTAAAAATTTTGGGACATAAAAATATTGGGATATAAAAATGTTGGGATGTAAAAATGTTGGAATATAAAAATGTTGGGATATAAAAATGTTTGCATGTAAAAATTTTGGTATATAAAAATTTTTGGATATAAAAATGTTGAGATGTAAAAATTTTGGGATATAAAAATGTTGGGATGTAAAAATTTTGGGATATAAGAATGTTGGGATGTAAAAATTTGGGATATAAAAATGTTGGGATGTAAAAATTTTGGGATATAAAAATTTTGGGATGTAAAAATTTTGGGATATAAAAATGTTGGGATGTAAAAATTTTGGGATATAAAAATGTTGGGATATAAAAATGTTGGGATGTAAAAATGTTGAGATAAAAAAATGTTGGGATATAAAAATTTTTAAATTTAATAAAATCAAAACCATCTCAGGCAAAAAAATATAAAGCCTGAGCAGTACTGCATTTGTTTACTTTCCTACCAGAAACCGCAGTACACTTTATTTGTAAACAAAGTTCCTTTCTAAATAAAGATTGTAAATATTTGTATTTATCAGGCTGTGCTCCACTATGAGCACCGGGAGGGAGACCAGGAGATAGATCTGTTCCAACAGCTGGATATCACACTCAACCGGAAACCTGGAAAAGGGATTGGAATTAGTTTAGTCGGACGGAGAGACGGACCCGGAGTATTTGTCTCAGCTTTGGTCAGTTCAACATTTTATTTACAGTGAGAACCAGAAAACTCTGAAATAGGAAGACGACTTTTAGAAACAAGACATATCTTTAAATAGTCCAATTGAGCATTAGACACAGCATTGGTGCAATTTAAACAGACCTATTTCACTTCATAGGGATTTAATAAGTGTCTGGTAAAACCATTTGCTTTGTAACAACATCAAATACACTTTGTATGGCTATAATGTCGTCTTCCTATTCCATTATTTTCTGGTTCTCTCAGTACAGGGTTACCCGCAAAGTATGAGATTTTATTAACATGAAACCATACAGTCGTGCCTGAAGTCTCATTCTTTGCGAGTAACCCTGCACAATGCACATTTATAATTATAACCAGTGAAAGCAGAATAAAAATCGTCTTTATTTTGTTAACCCTATTCCCGCTGGGGGGGGGGGGGCAATTTGCCCCCCCCTGGGGTTTTTTTTACATAACTCAAAAAGTATTGGTCTGAGGCTGTTGAAATTTTCTGANAGGATAAAAAAAAAAAAAAAATTTTATTGTGCCCAAAATTTATATTTTCTTAAAATGTGGAACTTAAACCTACTTTTTACTCTGTAAATTTGGAGCATCTTTAACACCGAATTTTGAATCTTGAGTGATATTTAGAAATAAAAGATTAATTAGGAAAACTTTTATATCACGGTTTTTTCTGCAATTCGAATTTAAAAACAAACGTTATTCTAATTTAGGTTTCCGGCAGCGTGGCTGAGGCAAGCGGTCAGCTGGTTCAGGGAGATCAAATTATTAAAGTTAATGAAATAGATTTAGAAAAAGCAAATCAGGTATTAATTACAAAATATCTTTTATCACCTTTTGACAAGAAAATACCGACGCAGGATTTCTCCCATTTACAACTAGAGCGGGATGTTATGTTACTTAACTCTTCTATGGGATAAAAAATGCAATTTTTCGAGATATTTTAATTTTTACTTCACTTTGGGTTCCATTGAACAATTTAGTTTGTAACACAGACATCTTGCTAAATCTCTATAAATCTCTATAAGTCTCTATAAATCTCTGAACATCTCTTGAAATCTCAAGAAATCTCTAGAAATCTCAAGAAATCTCTAAAAACCTCTGAAATTTTTAGAAATCTCTGGAATCTCAATAAATCTCAATAAATCTCTGAAATCTCGAAAATCTCTAAGAAACTGAAAATTCAGCAAATTAACTCTAATTGTCTACTCTTTATCATTGCAACCTGACACTTCAAACTTGGACTGTTTGACTGTATAAAATTTAAAAGATAGTTTGAAATATCTAAGGTCTACTTTTGGAAAGATTTAAGGATTAAAATCTCAAGGATCTCAGTTTTTGCCACAAATTTTGATTTTCTAATCCCTATTTCTTTGCAATCCGAGGTTATAGACCTTTGATATTTCATTCTTTCAATTCTATAAGATCAAATAGTCTAAGTTTGAAATAACAAAGGTTTACACTATAAGGTTGCAAAGATTAGAAAAATTGTGTTTGTGGCAAAAACTCAGTTCCTTTGTGGCAAAGAAGTTGAGTTTTTGCCACAAACTTTGATTTTTAATCCCTTTATCTTTACAACCTGATTTCGTAGAGCTTTGATATTTCAAATTATAAATTTTGGTATATCAAGTAGTATAAGTTTAAAATATCAAGATTTATGGATTATAAAATTTATGTTTGTGGCAAAAACTCAATTCCTTTATAGTTTCTTTTTCAAAACTTTAAAGTTTACTTGGAGCTAACAAAACTTATTTGCGTAGGATACCGCTGTTGCTGTGCTGAAGGCTGCTGTAGGAGATATCAAGATTAAAGTTAAACGTCTCAATGCTATCACTAAATCCTGAGTGAACATGAACAGTCTTTAAACCTGAACCCTAAGGGGCCACTCTATGCAAACCTACTCAGTATTATCCCTAAGTAGATATGTGAGCTAAAACAATCTATAATTTAAATCAATATTTTTGTATATTATCGATATCAATGTGTCTACTTTATAGGATGAAAGTGAGCTTATAAGAAAGAAATCAGGGCTAGGAAAAATTAGTTACTTTGTTCAGAGTTTAGAAATTTTCAAGCGACGGTTAAACCGTTATCATCAGAACAAATTTAGTTAAATATCATTTTAACGGTTTTTTTAGTTTTCAATTGTTTCAACTGTTTCTGTGCTTTTCAAATAAAAAAAAAACTTTTTGTGTATATAAAAAAGTCCGGAAAAATGTTTTAAATTAACATTTAATTTTCATTTTTCCCTTTCACTTCTTGTTTCTTAATTTGAGAAAAAATATGGTAAAAACTTTCCTGCTGCAAAAAAGTTCATTACTTACAGCACTTGGGGGGGGGGGGGTAAAAACGGAAAATGTTAGTTCTTGGGAGAGTACACTGCCCCCTCTCCTTGTGTACGCCCCTCTCCCTAGCTTATGTAAACGAAAAACTAAGAAAACGGAAAAATCGCTTTTAAAATTTAAAGAAATGAAAAAATCTAAAGTAATTTCGTCTTTGCCAATTTTCTAATCTTTGCATCTCAAAAATGTAAAACTTTGATATTTCAAACAATGAATTTTGTTAGATTAAATAACCCAAGTTTGAAATATAATATCTACACAATCACTCTGCAAAGATATAAGGATTAGAAAATTTGAGTTTGTGGCAAAAACTCGACTCCTTTCTGATCCAAATGGTTAAAAGTGATACTAGTATTGGCTTGATTATTGTGCAATGTACAGTAGGGTATCCCATGAAACATTACGACTTGAAGATCCTCTTTGATCTATACAATATTTTCCGGCATTCATTCGTCTCTCATTTAATGTTTCGTCGGAAACTCCTTGGTTTTGCATAATGAATCATATTTGTAGTATAAATGCATAGAAATGTCTAGCCTTTCATAATTCTTCTTCTTTTCAATCCCCCCAAATACTACTGGACAATATACATTATAAATGTGAAATTAAGTGTTTCTTAATTTATGTTACAAACATGTACAATGTATATACGCAAGAAAACTAGCAAGTGATTTGTATAATGAATGATATGATGCAAATAGACGTTACAATTTACAAAACCAATTTTTAAATGCAACACCGCGGTATATCTGGTCTCTTAAAAGAAATACCACATATTGTATAAAAACCCTATTCCCCCGGCACCAGATTTATCTTGTACATTTTATTCCCCCCCCCCTCACACACACACCATGGTTTAGGTGCAGGGAGATCCAAACCGTCTGTGATTCATATTTACTGTTCATTTTCCTTTGGTTTCATAATAAACCCTTAAAACTTGCTCTCTTTCCTTCTGAAGTAGTATGTGATTAAAACTAAAACTTGCATATTTTGATCCAAAATTCTATCAGAATTATGCAAAAATTGCGTTGACTTTGAAGTCTTTATGTCCAGGGCTACAAAAACTTTTTGTGCCGGTCAGGTCAAATCAATAGTTATGGCGACACTTTACTCCACCAGGTCTGAATAGTGTAAATAGGTCTCTGCAGTGTCAGCTAAAGTTGGATTACATGTAAACATTAAGAAAACTGAGCTCGCAATTTAAAAACCTCGACTCGAGCCGCAATTCCTTAAACCCGACTTTAAGACCCAACTCAGACGACAGCTTGTTTCACGTGATTGACAGCTGCAAGATCTTCGGTTCGACTTAAGGAGTAAGACCCAATGAAAATATAACCAAGCTTGGTTGGTTTTAGTGGAGAAGAAGGCTTATTGTTGAGTCTTATTCTAATAAAAACCCGGAATGCGCCAATTCCTACCATGAAAATCCGCCAAATAGAATATCAAACCGGTTTTTTTTAACTCAACTCTGTTGAAAATAAGATGCAGCTTGAATCCAAAAGCTAAAGCCGTAAATGAGGCCAAATGACAGCATAGACCAGAGCCGTATTTTCCCCTAATTTTTTAAATCGCGGGCTTTGAAGTCATGAAAATGAAAAATGTTAAAAACACATTAAAGAAGTAGAACAGTATGGTTAGTAAGGACGCACATGGAAAATTTTTTACCGACTTTATGTACCGATGGCGAAGTTGGCGGGTAAATAATTCTGAACTTTATATGTTCGCCATCGGTTTGTCGGAGACTAAATGTTTGGAGGGCGGCGGAACAACCCTGGTTATACAATCAAGATTAAATAAGGTCAGGTTCAGGCGCGAATACAGGGGGGGGGGCGTCAAGGAATCGAAGACCCCCCCTTTTTGAAAAAAGGGGGGTCAAAAGTATCTTTTTCTAAAGACTAACTTAAACGTTTACTGTAGCTGTTAACCAGATACTTTAAGGTACTTTAACAGAACTCATAATTTCATCAAATCATGCCATTCTCCGGGGAAACAAATTACCTTGAAATTTTTTGAAAATAAGTTTCAGTTTTAAAGAGTACATTCTGATATTTCAATTATTTGACCATCATTTATAAAAACCAAATATCACAAATTTTCACATTCTAATTTAAGAAGAATTCAGATACATCCATAATGATAACTTCAAACGGTATGACTTGAAGAAAAAGAATTTGTACTATGGCTAAGAATTACAATTCAAAGAGATATTTTTTTTTCAAAAAATATTTCTTTTAAATTAAATTTAATAGAATCCAAGGAAATCTCATTATAATAAGAATAAATATATATTTTGAATGAATTTATACAAAATATGACAAAACTTACAATTTAGAGAACTTCAAATGAGAAATTAAATTGTAAATTGTAATGATATGATGCAAATAGACGTTACAATTTACAACCCTCCCTGGATTAGGTGCAGGGAGATCCAAACTTGCTGTTTCCTACTCAAGTAGTGTAATTAAAACCCAAACTTGCATATTCTGACCCAAAATTCTATCAGAATTATGCAAAAATTGCGTTGACTTTGAAGTCTTTATGTCCAGGGCCACAAAAACTATTAGCGCTGGTAAGGACTTATAAATAGTTAAGGCCTGGCGACACTTGCAATTCTACCAGGTCTGAATAGTGAAAATGTGTGTCTGCAGAGTGGGAGATACAGGGTTTCACAATAAACATTAAACATGAGAATTAAGTGAAAACTTAAACATCGTAATTGATGAATAAGAAAGATGGTTAGAAGAAACCGGGGATATGACACCATGTTTTAGTAATAACAATAATAAATATAATTATACTCGGAGAAATAAGTTAATTATATGACAAGACAATTACAGTTTAGAGTGATCAAATATTAAATTAAATAATGTTTTCACAAATTAAAATTTTGAAACAATTCATGAATATCACATCTGAGAGTAGTGAACATAATTCAATAAAACTAATTTTTATGAAAATCCAAAAAAAAACATCAAAACTAAATCTTTTCATATTTTCTGTTCATCAGAACTAAAATGGCACAAGTAGAATAATGATTTTAAAACAGGATATTCACATAATAAATATTTCGTGACGATTTAGTATAACGAAGATTTGGTCGAGATCTGTTACAGTATGATAAAGAATTACTGCAACAAAGACGACATTAAAGCAATAATTAAGTGTATTTGATTTTGTTACAAAGCAAATAGTTTAACAAGTAGCTTATTAAATCACTAATTAAGTAAAATGGGTCTGTCTTCCTATTCCAGAGTTTTTTGGTTCTCACTGTATATTAAAATTTTCAGTAAAAATTGATAGAAGAAAACTGAATTTGCGGATATTTAAATGCATGTTAGTGGAATTCTAAATTTAAACTTTGTTGCAATAATACTTGATCATACTGTAGTTATGGTACAGAAAACAGTTAATTTGAAGCTAGAGATGATTATAAGTTTCAATCTAATGTTTAATCTTCAGATTGAGGTTTGTATGCTTACATCTGATGTTCAGTGTTTCTTGTTTCAGTTTTATTTGAAATGTTGAATTCCTGCTGTTGTTGCAGTACGTTCACATAGATCAATATAATATCAATCTTTATGGATACTTTGTATGTGCATCTTAAGGTTATCTTTGCGTGTTGCTAAGTATTCACACTGATTACAAGAATATCTGATTCCTTCATGTTTATTCTGTATGTGTCTCTTCAGATTGCCTGCGGTTGTTGAAGAGTATTCACACTGATTACAAGAATATCTGATTCCTTCATGTTTATTCTGTATGTGTCTCTTCAGACTCTGTGCGGTTGTTGCAGAGTATTCACATCGATCACATGGATATCTTACTGTTTCATGTTCACTACTAATATGTTCACTGAGAAGATCAGATGTAGTAGCAGAGTAATCACATTGATTACATGGATATTTTACTGGATTGTGTTTCCAGGCGGTGTGTACTTTGAGAACAGCCAATGTAAGTGCAAAGTATTCACATTGGTTACATGGATATCTCGCTCCAGCATTATTACTATCCATGTGTTTATTTATATTCTCTTCTTCTGTTGCAGAAAATTCACAATGGTTGCAGGGAAGTCTGTTTTGGCTAGAATGCAGAGGGTCCTCTTCACCAGTAAGTTCACCTAAAATATTTATTTTATGATATTTAAGCGCCCCTGTAATATTTCAACTATAGATAATTCCTCAATCTCATCATAGTGTTAAAGATATTGTCGTTTTTCACGGCTTAAAAGTGTTTAATTCTAATAATTCCTATATTTTTTTTTGCAGTTAAATGCGAAAGTCACTTTTGTAGAAAAATCTCAATTGAAAACAATCATTTTTCAATATTATAATCATATCTAAACATATATAAATAATATGAAGATATCTAATTCCTAATTGATCTGACAAAGCTTTTATGGATACTGTTGTGAATCGGGCATTGTCATATTTGCATAGAGGGTCACTAGAAATTTCGCGTATCGTGCCTTTAAACCCGAGTAAGTAGCGTTTATTTGCGCCTGATTAGAGCCCAAACCAAGACTTGAGTTTATCTAGACTCGGTTTTAGTTCAGGCCGATTTGATCGGTTCTTATGATTTTAGATTTGATTTTCGTTAAAACATTTATATTAGAACATTTAAAATCTTGGAAATTATTTTTTGTGTCAAATTTGAAGATATTTCTTCTTTAATGGTAACTTTGTCTTCTTCTGACGCCAATTTAACCCTCTTCAATGATATTTCAGCCATTTTAATATAAGCTTTTATCTATTTTAACAAAACTACTATTATTAAACAAGAAAATTAAATATCACAAGAATAACAGAACATATATTTTAGCAAAATATTAAAAATATGTTAATAATGTTTCTCTTTTAAACAGTACATTCTGATATGTCAATTATTTGACTATAATTTATATAAACCATGAATATCCCAAATAATTATGTTTTCACATTCTAATTTAAAAAGCATTCAGATACATCCCAACTTGAAGAAAAAGAATTTTTACTAAAACTGAGAAATTTTAGGCAATCAAATTTTTTTAATTTTCAGAAAAAAAGTTTCAGGAGAAATATCATTATAATAATGAATATAGATTTTAGAAATATTTTTACAAACTTTAGAGCGATCAAGTATTAAATTAAATTGTAAATTGTAATTATATGATGAAAATAGACCACCCTGGTTTAGGTGCTGGGAGATCCAAACCGTCTGTGATTCATATTAACTGTTCATTTTCCTTGGTTTCATAATAAACCCTTTAAACTTGTTCTTTCCTTCTGAAGTAGTGAAATTAAAACTCAAACTTGCATATTCTGAAGCAAACATCTGTCAAAATTATGCAAAATACACCTTCACAACTGAAGGTAAAAATAATTGCTTTGACTTTAAAATCTTTATATCCAGGGCTAAAAAGAACTATTTGTGTTGCTAAGGTCATATTTAGAGCAGGGACTGTCGTCGTCATTTTAAGTAACCTTTCATTTGAAAAAAAGGGGTGCCTGCCCGATACACAACAATTTCCAGTTTCTGGAGAGAAAAGTGTTCATTTCTGATAACTTTTGTTTTGTTTTTGAAGCAAGATATACGCACGTAACTTAATTGCAAAGAATTAAAAACATGAAAGACAAATAAGAAAAAATAAACACAAAACACAAGACTGCACGTAGAACTAACTACAGTAAGTGCACCCTGTCTATCATATTTTATCTCTAATTCAAAATCCGTTAAAAATAATAACGAAAAATATATAAAATAGCAATTACGAAAAATAATTTGTAAATGGGTTATAAAGTCAAGACATTTAAACAGGAGCTGAAAAGTTTTTAATTGATATATTTAAACAAACAAAAAAGTTTAAATCTGCAGGCTATCATGAATGTAAGAAATAAGAATTTAGTCTCATCCTATAGTGGATAACTCTGCATCAAGGTTGTATAATGATGTTGCTTACTCTCGATGCGCTCCAATGTACGGGAAGGGTCGTCTTCTAAGCATTGATAAATAAAATCCTCTTATGACGTCACTGATTATAGAGGTGTGAGTGACGTCATATACGGATTTTATCCATCTATGCCAAGTTATTATACAACCTCGCCCTGTATACAACTAAACATAGGTGCATTAGTAAACCAGGAAGTAAACCAGTATTTCGAGAAGGTTTAGAATCAGGAGTTAATGTTCAGTTAGAGTTGGGCAGTTAAAGTAGGAACATGCAGCTGCTCTTGGTAATACAGGGATACCCACAAAAGATTAGACCTACATTGAGACCTATAATACCGCAGAGTAGGAAGACGACATTTAGCAAATTTGTACGTTGATGCTGTTATTAAACAAATAGATTGAAAATCAATTTATTAGATGAAAGACAGGGTTTGTGGGTGCACACACACTGCCCAATTGTTGAGTTTTCCCTTAATTAACTAACCAGCTAAAAATCTTATCGCCATAACAAAAGTCATCTTCATAGTTCCAAGTTTAATGGGTCCAACTGTAGGTACTAAATTTTTGTAAAAAAGTTTGCAGCTGCAGGGACCAAAAAAGTATAATGAATCTAGACTGAATAAATTGATAAAGCCATCTCAGAAAACTACTCTCTATATGGTTACAAACATATTTTAATAAGCGAGTCTCAATAAACATGAAAATTAGAGAATGAACTGCTTTTAAGCTTCAAAATTACTGAAGGATTTCGATCAGATTTTAATTAGTTATAAGGTGTCCCAATACACATGGGAATTAAATGACTATTTCTATTTCGTATTTGTTCCAAGCGAGATTATTTCGTTAACATAATTTTGCAGTTTCACAGTTAAATCATTGAACACCGAAACTACCAGTCTCGGGATTTCCAAAATATGGTCTGCCAATTTTATACCTTCAAACTTGACCGAGATACTAGAAACATTTGTCTAGATTCTGGTTTATTAATAATCAACAAAACTGTTAAAATGTTTAATATCTCCGTCATTAAAAATACAAAGTTAAGGTAATGTCCACATTTTAGAAAGCCCATTAGACTTTAAATGATGCAGTTAAGATCATTTATTAATTATCGATAATCGATATTTATGTTTTTTTAAGATTTGTACTTTGGCGCTCCTGGGACTAGGTTCAGGGTTCCCCCAGTTCAATCCTGTAGCTGAGCTACAGAGCAGTACCGGAGGTAGAAACTAATAAATAAAGTCGTCTACGCGACATTTAAAGCTTACTTTGTCCCACAGTACTATGATTGTATGACATCCGCCCAACGTTGCATTCGTCCTACGATAATTCGGACCTACCCGCACGTGGTTTTTCTAAAGATTCTAGCTGCTGTTGGTCCGATGAACTGTATGTCGGATACACACTCAAGTGAAAAAAGTTAGTGCATCCAACCTCTGAAGAGGTCGGTTGCACGCTTGACTGTAGGTTGGAGTTATTAAGAGTTATTAAGAAGTAGCAGCGCTTGGCCCAGAAATTATCCTAACCTAACCTGACCCCTCAAATCGGCTATTACTTTATCAATTAGATAACTAGCGCCCCCTTGCCGTCCTAGCAGCAGCGCTCGGCCCAGAAACTGTCTCAACCTAACCTAACCCCGCAGACCGGTTATCACTTTGTCAAGTGGCCGCAGCGCTCGGCCCCTAGCCTGTCCTAGCTGCAGCGCTCCGCACAGAAATTTCTTAACCTAACCTAACCTCACATATCATCGTTTTGTCAATTTGATAATATGGCCGCCGCGCTCGGCCCGAACTTAACCATACCTAACATCCGACCTACAATTAATGTGTTCATCCGACATATATACGTTGTGCATCCGACATACAAAAAAAGTGTTCATCCGACCTACAAAGCTGTGAATCCGACCTATAAAATGTGTGCATCCAACCTACAAATGTTGCAGTAGGTCCGAAGTATCGTAAGACGGAAGTACTGTAGGTCGGAAATTATGCAGGATCGAAGTAACATTACCCAATAGTATCTCTGTTTACCCCCCCCCCCAGTGTAATGTAAAAAAAAAAATGTTATTTAAAAATTAGAACCCAGAAATTTGAGTCCTCTGTTTTTCCTAGAATTGATCCTGGGTGATGGAGAGAACCTGGATCAGAACGGATGTCTAGTTGGACCCTCTGGAGAACGGGTTTGTCCTCTCGGAGCCTTCGGATCTGATGGTATGAGCAGGGTTCAGCATAGTGGTAATCAGGGTCCAGGACAAACCGGAAGTAACGGAAATGCTGGACCAGTAAATTCAGCCGGACTTCCTATCGATCCCGCAGCAGAAACTTACAAAAAGCAGGTTTGAAGATATTTAAACTTTAAATTGACAATGAAGTTACAAAAGGAGCGAACATAGATATTTGTCCCACCAGGGGGGGGGGGGAGGTAACCATATGGATTATACTTTTCAGCCACACTGAACAGTGTACACGTCCACGACTCGGAAATTTAGTTTAAAATGAGAGGTTGAAATAAATGTTCTCATTACATATAGATTTAGAGTAATTTTTTTCTTTAATTGTTGTCTTCGAATTATAGAGATTTCCATGGCAATCATTAGAACAACAATTGTCAGATTTTCTACTAAAACTATTATTACTTAAGATTGAAGAATATCAAAGATGGGCTGAACAGCAGGTGAAAAATGCCGAAAAACAGCTTGGAACAGCTTGAAACAGATCGGAACAGCTTAAAACATCTTTGCGGATTTTTAAAAACAGCTTGGTGGATTTCTTAGGAATAACAGCTGAAACGAAACCACAAGAATATCAAGTTGGAAAAATCTACACGCATTATACTAGTCTAAATCACAAAATTAATAATGAAATAAACATTGAAAATAATTCTTCTATTGAAAAAAATTTAACTAACATTAAACAAATTTAGTTCCGAATTTTAAGGAATGCGTAAAGCATTATCTTTTCTTGTAGAGGCAGGGTTTCAGTTCAATATTTGGCAATTTCTTCTTAGATTTGGATTCGGACACTTTCTTAAAATCAAAAAAATAAAAATATTTATTTTTTAGATTTGTCCAGGTTGACTTGAATCCGAATTTCTCAACCTCCCTAAAAATAAAAATTTGATCAAATAACATTTAAAAATAGACATAAACATAAAACAAAGAACAGACGAGAAAATTAAAAGAAACGTAAAATGAAAAAAAATTTAGACCCAGTTAAAATAATTTTCGGAAAATAAAATCTTAAAAGGTCGTATTTGCTACAGGAGTGTGATGTGACGTTATGTGTTTCTTCTATCAACTTCAAGTCCAGATAGTCCAGATTTCAAGTAGTCTATTGCAGTTTTCCATAGAATTAAAATGACGAGATATTATCATTGCACGTATTTAAAGAGTCTTACTAAGGTTAGAATTAATATATGTGAAAAAGTAGGATAAATATTCAGCTAAAAAAACTAAGGTTTCTTCAACATTTTGGTCAAGCGAAAGGGTTTAAAGCGTAAAGTTGTGAATCAGACAGGTAACTGTTTAAAATTTAAAAAAACTATTGTAAATAAACCTACTTGATAAAGTTCTCCTCCTCTCCCTGGAACCTGCTCTCTAGCTCCGCTATCTTAAGGATACCCTGATACTTGAGTATCCTGGCGGCCTCCTGGAGAAAGTCCTTGATGTTGGTCCCCATCAGGGACAAGCAGAACACAACCACGTCCGCGCTTTCGTTCTTCAGGGGGACCTTGCTCATGTCACACTGAACCACCCCAGGTGCCAAGGAGACTAGAATGATTACAAAATTATGACGGCTTAGGACAAAAATTGAATAAAAAACACTTTCACAGACATCAAACCTGGGTTTCGCGGGACTTACTCCTGTTAAGTAGTAAAAAATCTTGATTTTTTATCGTGGTTTAACCAACACCCCTTTAATTTTTCGGGAGCATTCCCTTTAAATGAAAAAAGTTTGACATACATTTATCTAAGATTAGTTTTATTCCGTTGGCAGTTTTAAGCTTACCTAAATCAAAGCTGTGAACTGTATTATTGATAGACCTTGAGAGCCTAGCTTCTCCGCAGCCCATATCCACCACCACAGCTGAGTCAGGGAGGTGGAGACAGGCGGAGATAATCTTATCCAGAGGATCAGAGGGCCACTGGTTGGCCTGCTGTTGGAAACCCTAGAGTAAACTAAATACATAACCCGGAGTAAAGTTGATGATGAATCTTTATTTCTACAAAATGTATTCTACAAAATATCTACCCCTATAATACAAAGCGAATAAAGAATGATTAAATCAAGAAGGAGGGGGGGAGGGGGATTACACACATAAATGTAAGTGAACTTTTTCATGATCAAACCTGGTGGTATGCTGAGAATAGAGATTCATCTTCACGAAACATTTTGGCACTCTGAGAACTAGTTTGCGTGTACAGCTGCTCATTCAAATACCTAGAGTAAAGTAGTTTCAATCAATTAATCAATCAATCAATGCACAATCCGTCAACAAATCAATAAATTATCAAACCAACAAATCAAATCAATTAACCAATATACAATTAAGCCACTAACATTTTTTTGCTTAAGTATTAAACAATATTAAACTGATAATTTGAGAAAATTCAATTTATTTTGATTATATTATCATTATTAAAGAAACCCCGCTATTTAAAAAGTTGGCGCCGACCCACCTATCCATCATCCATGGGAAAACTTAAGCTGGATAAAGCTTTATTGGACGTTTCATTAAGATTTGAACTTTTTCATGATATTAATAATAATACATCTGTTATAGATATAAGGGATAACTGACCTAAACCTAGAAGATGTTAATTTATCCAGAGCTTTCTCAGTAAAACTCTTTTTATTATTCTTTTTCCCATTCAGTTGGGGGTCAGCAGCCGACAATATCTCCTTTAGCTTGTTCTTATCAAACCTAGCATAGAATATTATTGTTGTCATTGTTATCATTGTTATCATTGTTATCATTGTTATCATTGTTATCATTGTTATCATTGTTTTCATTGTTTTCATTGTTTTCATTGTTTTCATTGTTTTCATTGTTTTCATTGTTTTCATTGTTTTCATTGTTTTCATTGTTTTCATTGTTATCATTGTTTTCATTGTTTTCATTGTTATTATTGTTATTGTTATCATTGTTATCATTGTTATTATTGTTATCATTGTTATCATTGTTATCATCGTTATCACTATTATCTTTCTTATCTTTCTTCTCTTTCTAATCTTTCTTTTCTTTCTTATCATCACTATCTTTATTATCTTTATTATTTTTATTATCTTTATTATCTTGATTATCTTTATTATCTTTATTATCTTTATTATCTTTATTATCTTTATTATCATTATTATCATTATTATCATTATTATCATTATCATCATTATCATCATTATCATCATTATCATCATTATCATCATTATCATCATTATCATCATTATCATCATTATCATCATTATCATTATTATCATTATTATCATCATTATCATCATTATCATCATTACAATCATTATCATTAATATCACTGTTATCCTCATTATAATTATTATCAATATTTCAACTTTTGCTTATAAGGTTTCTTATGTTAGAACAAGTTACTGCCTTAAATCAAAGTCAAATGTGGGTACATAGTAAGGGGAGGAGGAGACTGACTATATACATTTATTTTAAAATCCTTGGTTTTTTATTTTTTTTATTTGTATTAAAACTATGTTTGAACCTCGGATGGACTCCATCAACACAATTTGAATTATTCTCCTCAGATCTTCTCTTCTTCTTCCTAATGCAGAGAAATCAGATTCTAAACCATCATATAGAGGTATATTTCTCTCACTCCCCACCCCAAATAAAAATCAAATCCAAAATCCCTCCTGCCCCAGTATCTTCTTAGTAGTTTTGGTCATACTGAAATAATTTTCTCAGTAGTTTTGGTCATATTGAAATAATTTTCTCAGTAGTTTTGGTCATTCTAAAATAATTTTCTCAGTAGTTTTGATCATACTGAAATAATTTTCCCAGTAGTTTTGGACATACTAAAATAATTTTCTTAGTAGTTTTGGTCATAATGAAATAATTTTCTCCGTAGTTTTGGTCATAATGAAATAATTTTCTCAGTAGTTTTGGACATACTAAAATAATTTTCCCAGTAGTTTTGGACATTCTAAAATAATTTTCCCAGTATTTTAGACATACTAAAATAATTTTCTTAGTAGTTTTGGTCACAATGAAATAATTTTCCCATTAGTTTTGGTCATACCGAAATAATTTTCTCAGTAGTTTTGGTCATACTGAAATAATTTTCTCAGTAGTTTTGGTCATACTGAACTAATTTTCTCAGTAGTTTTGATCATACTAAAAAAATTTTCTCAGTAGTTTTGATCATACTAAAATAATTTTCCCAATATTTTAGACATACTAAAATAATTTTCTTAGTAGTTTTGGTCATACTGAAATAATTTTCTCAGTAGTTTTGATCATACTAAAATAATTTTCTCAGTAGTTTTGATCATACTAAAATAATTTTCTCAGTAGTTTTGATCATACTAAAATAATTTTCCCAGTAGTTTTGGACATTCTAAAATAATTTTCCCAGTATTTTAGACATACTAATATAATTTTCTTAGTAGTTTTGGTCATAATGAAATAATTTTCCCAGTAGTTTTGGACATTCTAAAATAATTTTCCCAGTATTTTAGACATACTAAAATAATTTTCTTAGTAGTTTTGGTCATAATGAAATAATTTTCTCAGTAGTTTTGGTCATAATGAAATAATTTTCTCAGTAGTTTTGATCATACTAAAATAATTTTCTCAGTAGTTTTGATCATACTAAAGTAATTTTCCCAGTATTTAAGACATACTAAAATAATTTTCCCAGTAGTTTTGATCATACTAAAATAATTTTCTTAGAAGTTTTGATCATACTAAAATAATTTTCTCAGTAGTTTTGGACATTCTAAAATTAATTTCTTAGTAGTTTTGGACATCCTGATGGCTCTACGGTGGCTCTGCACAAATCTGAGAAACTTAACATATTTCAAAATTGTATACTTAAGAGTTTTGGTCCAATTCAGATCAGAGGTTTAGGCACGTCCCACTAACCACATCTCCCACTCAAATTAAAACTACAAAATATTGACTCAGACAGGTTTAACATTTGGCTTAATTTAATTCAAGCAAACTGTAGAGAATGAAACTTTGAATCCTCCCTGTTTGGTGTTTTCAGAGAATCATCATCTTCCAGGACTGAATTCTCAAAAGCAGGATTCTCCACTCCTTCAAGGTCAGCGGTATCCCGGAGATTTGTCTCTTCAACCTTTCTTTTCTTTCCTTTTGCACCTTTCACCGGCATGTTTATAAACCTGGTAGATATATATTATATAGATATCAGGAGTTCAGGTATTATTCTTTAAATGAGACATTCCCACTTCCCAGGGTTGTATATTGTATAACTGTAAAAAATTTTATAAATAAAAAAAATAGGAATCAATGAAATGATTTACAAGAATACATACACCCAAGAACATCCCTCCCCCCCATATGTTTTAAGAAATACACACACATCTAATAGAGATTTAACACTGCTTTACCTTAAAAATGAATCCTGTGACTTGAATTTCAACCCTTTCCTCAGAAGACCCCCCGGACCGTTCAAATCCAGGTTCTCAGATCCATTCTCTGGTTCAGTAATGTCCTTTCAAAAAATAATTAGGAGAAAATTAAAATTAAAAATGAAACTAATGCATGAAGTTTTTCAAAAAAATCTAATATTTAAATCACCTTCTCTTGAGGTTTATCACTTTCCTTTTTCACCTTCTTCATCTTCATCTTCTTCGATTTCTGGCACATCTTCTTCTTGGTCTCGGTGTCAGAGTCATCAGAGTATATCAGAGATTTCGTCCCGGTCGGAGTGTTTATCACCTTATCCAGAGATTGCAAAACCTTCCTGGATCCGTCCTTCCTCAGTTTGGAAACAGCTCCGGTCTTTACGATTCGTCCTTGCGGAGCCCCATTCTTGTCTTTTTTATTCTTCTTCTTGCTCACTCCTCCCTTGTTCAGCTTGAAAACCGGAGAATCTTGATGTTTCGCCTTCGTGGCTTTACCGCTCTTTCTAATTTTCATTCTGTAATATTAATCATATATCAATTCATGTTGATTTACAATATCTATCATTTACACTTTTAACACTCATTTATGGTATATACAACCAGAAAACCCCAGACATGAAAGACGACTTGTAGACTGAAGTTATGACTTCAAATAGTCCAATAAACATAAGACACAATAATTGTGTAATATAAACAAATTTATTTTACGGAATAAGTGAATTAATAAGTCGCTAGTAAAACCATTTGCTTTGTAACATAAATTTAATCGTCTTTCTTTTTTAAAGTTTTCTGCTTCTCGTTGTACAATTCATTAATTCGACACTAAAATTTGGAAATAATAAATTCTATTAGTCGAAAAATTAAATTTAAAAAAATATATGCAAAGGACAAATTGCTTTTATATTAAATATTCTAGGCTAAAAGTATATTTGGGAAAATAATCAGAAATATTAACTTTTTTTAACATTCAATTTAATAGTTAAATAGGATATTATTATTCAATATATTTAATTGAATTTGAAGTCCAAGTGACGGTCATATATTTTGAAAAAAGCATTATTAAAAGAACGTGATTTATGAGAGCCTCTATAAAATGGAGTTGACTGACCACTTTTGTCAGTGTATTGAGGCTTAAGATAGATAGATAATCTGACCACGTAACCAAACGGCTCCAATTTAGGTTTTAGGGGGGTGGGGGTCGAGTTATACTTTATATGGATTTCAATTTTTAAAATCTAAAACCATTCGGCGCTAACATTTTTATACAACAATCTGGGGTTTCTTTCACAAAAAAATTCAAATGGTTCCTTATTCGGGATTGGGACACTATGTACGTAAAATATTTCTAAGCGTATTAGTTATTTTTTATCACAATTTTATCAGGTTTATTATACGAACTACACATCCTGCTTGATAAGAGTATGGTATATAATGTAGTACTCAGGTTCAAGTTCGTCTTCCAGGACGGATCCGGTCGGAGCGGGATGAATCTCACTTGGTTTCTCTATCTGGAGCTGAGCTACACTTGTCACGTCTTCACTTTCCAGTTTAATTTGCCAGAAACCAGCCTTGCCATTCTCTAACTGATTCTAGAGTAGAAGATATACGCAAATTGAACAAGCAAGGGTATCTATATAATACATAAGTTTAGCTTGTCTTTCTGTTTGTTTGTTTGTATCCAATAAACGTCAAAACGGCTGAACCGCGGGCCCAACTATTGTGTCAGACCTCACGTGAACCCAGGGAAGGTTAATGAATGATGAAAGTTTTAAAAATTTGTGTTAAAAGTTTTTTATTTTTGTAAAATTTTGAAAATGCGCGAAAAAATATTATGAAATCCGCAAACTTTTTTATTTTTGTTTTATACTGAACAAAGAGAAGATGCTCACAGATAAAGCCACANACTTTATTTTATATGTCTATATTATTTTTAAGCCAACCTTGACGTCTGAAGTTTGGATCGGGAACTCCAGTTGAACCTTGTTCATGGCTTCAACCTTTCTGAGTTGAAGTAGCGCTGAGTGAACTAATGTTTTCAACGACGAGGACGGAAGATTGACATAGGTTTGACAGGCAAACGCTAACTCAACCACAAGATGGAGACGTTTGATCAGATCTACGGATTCAGTCAATGATTCTCCGGAGAGGTAAGGATCTAGGGATTCTTTAGTGGCCAGGTCGGAGGATAGAAGAAAGTGACTTGAATCCCGTTTCAGTTTCTCAATCCCCATTTCTATGAGTAGACTGAGGGGTTTGGATCCGGAGAGATCGGGGATCGTTCCTGATCGTACAACGTCCCGGAGCATTCCGGCCATCCCGCTTCGGTTGCCGGAGTAGATAAAGGGACGGATCTCCTCCCGGAGCACGGTTTCAAAAACGAGTGTAAGTAGGTCTGTGAGCTCTGCGAATGACTCGGAGCGGGAGAGAACTGTCCAAAGCATATCAGTGATATCAACGTCTTGTCTGCTTTGCAAGGAAAGAACGTTCTCGGACTCCTCATCCTGAAAAACAAAAAGATCTGGTTATATCTGGTTTAGTACAGTTATATCTGGTTAAAACTGGTTAAAAATAGATATATCTGGTTATATCTGGCAGTGAATAGTAAAATCTGGTTAATTTTGGTTATGCATAGATAGATCTGGTTAAATCTGGTTTATAATAGTTCGATCTGGTTAATTTAGGTTAAGAGTAGATAGATCCAGGCCCCAAGGGTCCATATAATTTCATCCAATACAATCCCAAATGTTGATTGATTGATATTAGGGGCAGAATTTAACCATGTTGTTGTTGTAAACAAGTCCATAATGCAGAATGTATACTGCAAGGGAGTGTTTATTTTTCTGTATATCATAATTTATCTGTTATTTGATGACTGATATTTGTATTGTTTAAACAAATTGACCAAATGCAGTACACATTTATGAAGTGTAGTACACGTACACAAAAAAACTTGCCAAAGTTCAAAATGACATAGGAAGTGTATTTTCATGCCCATAAATGTACTTTCAACCATGGGATCAAAATAGAAATAAATGGACCCATGGAGAGATCTGGTTAAATATGGTTAGATTAATTCAGTAAAAGATAAAATATACAATATACATCAACCATATTTCATAATCTTAATAAGTTAAAATTTTTTAAAAAAGCAAAAGAACATCTTATTCTTTTTAATGTTTTCGAACTGTAAACTAAAATCCGTTCTACCTGGGGACCTGGAGACGGTTTAAGTTTACGGGACGACTCAAGAACCTCCAGAACCTCTTCCTCAAGAGAAGTATCTCCACCCCTTCCACTCCACACCAATCCTTCTCCGGCTAGCCCTGAAACCAGTCCTTCCAGCTGCTCAATATCACTGTTCTGGTTGTCACAGGCGAATCTTCGATCTCCGGGTACCAGGCAAACCTTAAGCTTAGAGAGGGCATCAGGAGGAGGAGATTCTAGAAAAGAGCCAGATCTTTCCCATGTACAATCCAGGATGAGAAAACTATCTCCCTCCTCTCCTGTGAGCAGATATTCAGCTCTGCTCTGAACCTGGATTCTACTCCGTCCTGCTGCCGCGGAATGATTCTTATTAAAGGATTCAAGGGCTCCGGACATAGATTTACAGGGTAGAGGACCCTCCCACCTGGTTTTGGAGACATGTGTGAGGTTTCCGTTCTCTATCTTGTTTCCCAGATAGAGTAGGTTGGATTTATCCTCTGAACTGCAGAGGATATAGTTACTACCGGATGAGGAGAGGGTTGGGTTTACGTTTATCCTGCTCAGAAGGATTCTACTAAACTTCACCGGCAATCCACTAAAAATAACCATTATTTCAAAATTTACCCTAAATTATAGTTAAATCAATTAATCAATAAGTACCTGTGAACAGGAGATTTTGATGTTTTGCGCACAACATTCAGATCATCAATTGAGTCGTCAAACACTTCGTTGGGATCAAACCCAGCCTTGAGAGGACTTCCAGTAATATCGAGATCAACACTAAAAATTCAGTTATTTATTAATCCCGATCGGTTAATTAATATGGAGATTAATATCAAATGCATTATTTTATCTCGAAATAAAAAAAAGAGTGGATCAAGCATTAAACCCGATATCCACCGATCAAAAGTTCCCAGCTCTGATCATACTTAAGACCTTGGAAACCCCAACTTAATCTAAGAAACTTAGAGTTGAACAAGTATAGCATAATTGCCGGCTGCATTTAAAGTTCGATAATCTATCCAGAAAATGTAACTTCAGTTCATATTTAAATTAATTTTTGTTACCGATACAAGACAAAGCTGGGTCAGGTTCATTCCATCAGGTTGTGAAAGAATACAAAGGAAATCTGTTAACAAATTCTAAATATCTAATATGATAATAAATTGCTTTTCTTTTACTTTTGATTATTGTGAACGAATATAATTTCAACATTGGCATGAAAAGTTAAAAACAAAATAACATTTTATCCGCCAAGGAGGAGGAGGAGGGGGGGGGGGAATAATTTAAGAATGCTAGCCTTTGGCCGATTATCAAACTACTAACCTAGAGCTTGGTAGTCGAACGGACTGAACCTTGACCGGAGTAAAAGCCTTCTCCTGGAGAACTGATTTTCTGGAAACTTTCTCCTTGTAATATAGTTGAACCGAACCTGATTCCCCAGTCAGGGTCTGAATCAGGGTCGGTGAAGGAATACATTCTGCAGAATAGGAGAAACTTAACTCTTGAGTTAACACCATTTCTCCGAGTCTGAAATAATCACAGATAAATGAAGAAAACAATCATCAAGATTTTCTTGTTTTGTAAATTTTAACCGCGTGATCCTCACTAGAGCTAGCGAGTAGGTCGGAGTCAATGGGAGAGAACGCAAGACGCGTGACTGTCATATGATGAGCTGACTCTTGATTTAAAACCTGGAGAAGCTGGAACTCGTCTCTCCAGGTATACAAATGAATAGTTCCGTTCTCTAGTCCTATTGCTAGTTTATAAGGATTTGTTTCCAAGGACGGAGAAGCTAGTGCTGTTACACTCTCCGGGAGGTTTACAGGTTCCCCTGCTCTCTCCCAACCCGGAGAACCCCAACAAACCACAAGTTTATCTCGGCTCCCGGTGAAGAAATATTTTCCATCGTAACTCCAAGAACAAGTCCAGATCAATCTTTTATGCGGGTTTGTTTTCTTGTCCGAGTTTGCAACCCGTTCTATAGATAATTCATCCTGGACAAGGTTTAGTTTGTGTAAACTCCAGGTTCTATCCCTTGACACGGAGAGGAGGAGGGACGAGGTTGGATTAAATTGTAACTGTGTAACAGTTAAACTATGAGCTTCTATCCGTCCAATCTAAAATAAATTTAAATAAAAACGTAATTTTTTTTACACTTTTAAAAATGGTAGAAACCCCACCTGCTTCCAAGTTTTGGTATTCCATATTATAATTGCAGCTTCCTGGGGTTGGGCTGACTTACAAGCACTTGCAACCATACTTCCGTTCTGGTTAGTTGCAACCGAGTATAATTCGTATCCATGCCCGTACATCTTATGAATCTCCGGCCAGAGGGTGTTCTGAACCAGAAACTCTTCCGGGGGAGGTTTATCTAGGAGCTGAGGAGTAAAATAGTAATCCGGGAACTGATCTTTTACATGACGTTCCTCCTCCGGGATACTTTTCTCTCCCTCGAACACTGCTTTGTTTGAGAGGCCGAGGGTTGGTAAACTTGCTCCCTGAGCTAGTTTCTCTCTATCCACACCCGGGACGGATTGTCCAGTGAGACGGATAAAGTTATCCAGAAAGTTTTGAGGAGCTTGGAACGCTCTGAGAACCTTCTCCTCAGCTCCGGAAACAAAGGTGAAGTTGGGAAGGGTTGCGATACAGCTCATGTCATAACCATGAACCTGAGGTCTGGCAACCTCGTGCCAAGCTCCGGAGCTACATTGAGCGTGACAACGCGTAGTTTGATCCGTCCCGGTACTTAGTAAGTATCCTCCTGATCTATCCCAGGCTAGGTCGGAGACTGTTCCTTGATGGCCTCCGATAACAATCCCTGGGACCCAACCCTGATCCACAGGTTCCCAGTAATGAAAAGCTCCGTTGAACGAGTATCCGAGAATCTGTCCGTCCGGCCCCCACGTTGCTCCAAGCATACCTAGAGTATTACCTCCTATTTCTCCAACCCTGGCTTGATCCATCCATACTCCCTCCTCCTCCCTCCATATTAACATGGTCTTATCCAGGCTAACTGAGAGCAGGGACAGGTTTGGAGAGAAACTCCACTCAACAGAGAAAACCTTATCCTCATGCCCACTTAGTACACTCTCCAGCTGGACAGAGTAAAGATGACCACCTGGATACTCAACAATAACGTCCTTGACCTCTAGAACATCCTCCGTCCTAGCTTCACGAGCTGGTTCCAGCCTCCAGAGCCGGATCGTAGAATCCTGGCTTGCAGAGGCCAGGAGAAAATAATCCTCGACCTTAACTGTATCCAGGGAGGTCACCCAGTCCTCGTGTCCTCGTAGCCTCTCCAGAACACTCCATTCATCTCCTAAACATTTGTCTTAATCACAGCAAAAATTAAATTAATATGCATTTTTTCAACTGCGTTATGGTTTAAGAATTCTCACCCTGGTCTAACCCAATCCGAACCAGATTGATTTTACAATCTTCTCCGGAATAGAACAGAGATATGTTATCTAAAGGCCAGGATACAAGATGCAGCGCAAACACCAAACTCGTCCTGAATAAAAAATCAAGTTGTTCAATCTTATTTTTATACCCCCTCCGACTCTATATAGAAATGGTTAAATAATTTGACAATGAAAATAATAGAACCTTACTTTAGATCTAATGTAAAGAAATTGTTGGGGTTAATCTCCGTCGTTTTCAAATCTATTCTCCAGATCTGAACCTTGCAATCGTTCCCTGTAGTTGCAAGGATCAATTCATTTCCCAGATTCAGGACGGAGAGACAGGTGACAGACCCGGAGTGAGCTTGAAACCGTGAGATGAGAAAATGATCTCCGTCCTGGATTTTCCAGATACAAACACTACCATCGGAGGACCCGGAGATAAGATGGGTTTGGTCATCCTTCTCCGAAACCCTCACACAGTTGACTCTAAAATTAAAATATTTTAATACCAATATAAAACCATTGGGTTCCAGCGAGTCAAAAAATATCGGAATTTGTTATTTAATAACAAAGTTTTAAAAATAAAATAAAAATAAGGAGGGTATAGCATGTAGTTTTAAGAAAGGATCGCGAGTAGTAATAATAAAATAATAATACAAAATACCTAATAATAACAACGAAAAAAGCAGTGAAAATAATAATAACACTGATACTTTGATATTTAATTTTCTCTAAATCATAATCATATTTCAAAAAATATTAATGATAATGAGGACAATGACAATAAATAATAAATAAATAATAGAGGAAAACAAATTAATGATAATAAAATCATAAAAGTACTATTTACCTCTGTGAATGTTGAACCAAAGTATGAAGTATTTTCTCCTGTGAAGGAGAATAAACAACAACTGCTGAATTGCCTCCGAAATAAACCAAACCTGAATAAGTGAACAAATTTTAAATTCAAAATATATTTATTTATAATATTTATGTTTTTTTAAATAAAAAATCATTAAGATATCACAGAAATGAATAATGTAATTCTTTTTATAAGCAAATTCTTAAAAGTTAGAATCCAAAGCTAAATGGCTTTATCAGAAAAAGTCTGTAATGTGTAGCTTATATTAAAAAAAGATTAAGATCAATATAAATTCTTCTTTCATTAAAGGCGCAATTCAGAGTGTGGGGGGGGGGAAGAGATGATGATTGAACGACTCTTTTATTTTTCACACTATGATTTTTTGGACTTAGATTCAATGTTCCACACTACACAATTTTCTCTTTTCTCAATTAACATTTGCTTCAGGACATTTTTAATGACTACAAGTCTAACCCAGCGCTCGGCCCGCCTAACCAATTTTAGCCCCAGCGCTCGGCCCCTTGACCGCTCTAAGTTGACGCCCTTTGACCCGTCGATACCCAATCATCTGACCTGGAGGAAACTGACCTCAAGAGTTTATAAATTGTATTAGATCTCAACTACGTTTGTTTAGGAATCAAGCAGGGAAGGTGGAGTTTGATGTGGACTGGAGTTAGAGATATACTTGGAAGTCCATTTAAATCCATAATATGTGCGGAAAGTTAAAGCTTGTTGTTCGAATACCCTTCAGACCAGTTTCCACAACATCAACCCTAATTGTAGCGTAGAAAGAATAACCCTACTGTTAACTACAGGGGAAAACCTTCAGATACAGTGTTAACTACAAAGGATGAGACAGTAAAGACGACCTGAAACTTTTAAATTATGAAGTCTCATCCTTTGTGGGTAACCCTGTATTTTATAAAGTAAACGTCGTGGTTTAAGACGTATAGTAAATAGTACGGGAGAAAATGTGATATGCCGTAAAGCCAAATTCAGATCATGTACATTGTACACTTGACCTAGACTCAGGAAGATCAAATATAAACCTACCCGTCCTGGTCCAGGCTAAGCAGTTATATGTTCGATTACATCCAACACTCGTGTAAACATTTTCCATCTGAAACAATGCATAATATTGAGAAGGGTGTAAATTTATTTATTTGAGTATGTATAATTTAATATCTTACAATAAACAAGATAGTATAGAGGCAACATGACTAGAACAGGTATAATATGTTAACATTCGAGTTTTCAAAAAGTGCGAAACAGATTACATTATTTAGGATCTGGGCAAAATAAAGTAGAAAGAAAGGATAACATGTAAAAAGTGGATTTGACATTTCAAAGTCTCTTCATTGCAGAGACTTGAGATTCTTGGGTTTCTAGTTTGAGAAATATTCTTCAATCTGGGTTTACTCTTTAACCTTGATTGTGATATAGCGCGAGGCGATGAACCCAGCAAGGCAGGTGAGCGCAGTGAATATCGCGGCGCACATGTAAAAAGTTTCCTCGTCGAAAACATCCGCAAATGCGGGAACATGGTCGTATAGTTTGTCCACCGCCTGTACATAACCGTACTCAAATACGGACAATAAATAGCTTGAGAAACAATCTTAAAAATGTTTTAGAAATCTAAAAATTTATTTTCAATGATTCAACTCTGTCTTTTTGTTGTGACTTTGACTTTTAACCTTTTCTAAAATATACTTTTCCTAATTTTTTTTGAAAATCACAAGATCAAACAAATCTTTTATCCTGAAAATCGGCAAAAGCTCGGCTAAAAAAAACCTTCCTAACTCTTTTCGCCCAAATAAATTTGTTCGTTTTTTAAACCCAAATTCAGCCTTTAAAATTGTTGAAAAAGGTCTATCATCATTTGTTTATGGATGAGTAAGGTTTCCTGCATAACAGCTTTAGTAGCCTTCTTTTCTCCCATTCTTCTGAAACAAGACAAATGAATTCAATACAAAGATAACACTTAAATTTATTTAAGAGGCGGAAGTCCAAGCTGGGCTCGTAGTTTGTTGGTTTCAGAGACGGATAGTTCATCCTTCCCTCCTCCTCCTCCTCCCCCTCCTCCAGAGCTCTTTTCATCCTTAACCCTCCTCTTATCATCCCGATCCCTCTTATGCTCTCTGCTCCTACTCCTCTCCTTCCTCTTCTTATCCCTACTCCGGGATCGTCTTCTTCTCTCCCTGCTCCGGGGCCTCTTAGTATCGCGCTCCCTATGACGATCTCCTCTATCCCGCTCCCGGCTCCGTTCCCTCTTCGGTTCTCTGTCCCTGCTCCGATCACGTCGTCGAACATCTCGATCTCTCCTTCTCTCGTCCTTCTCCGGCTCCGGTTCTGGTTCGGGTTCGGAGTCACTGCTTGCTTCCTCCAGGAGATCGTCTTCAAGAACGGAGACTCGGGGTTCCAGATCGTTCCCTTCTTCTAGGATTCCTCTTTTCTGTATCCTAGAGCGAAAAAAATGAAAGACCGTGAAAATTGTAATTTGTTATCTATGTTGTTCAAATATGAGTACATATTTCCCCCATTAATTAAAGTTTTAAATTCATTATGATTTTTTTTTCAGCTAAATTTTTTTTTAATTCATTCGCCCCGTTTCACACACATAACATTTGTGTTTGGTTCAACGGTTTTATGTTTTTCAAATCAAATCTTAGCAAATAAGTAGGAAGTATGTGAACGAAACGACTGAGAAACCAAAAACACTAACACAAATACGGCGATTTTGATCAATTATGAATTAGGATTTTAAAAGGCACTCTATTTGTACTTAAAAGAAGCCCTTTCATCATTATACTTAACAAAAAGATTTCGCCAATTTTCCTTTTTCCATTTTCCATTTATATTTCTTATTAACTTTTACTTTTCCAGGAAGAAAAATAATTGGTTCATTTAGAAGGTAGTTCTAGATGGACCCGAAAAATAAAGTGCTACAAGGTCCCCTCACATCATGTAGAAGATGTAATGGAAATTAGCAAAGGTTGATGTGCCCCAGTGCAGTGCTGCTCGTCTTTTTTAGAAAAAATTTATATTTCTTATTAACTTTTAATTGGTACCCCCCCCCCCTTCATACCATGAAATCATCCAATTTTCCTTTTTCCATTTACTTGGTGCCCCCCCCCCTTTCATACCATGAAATCATCCAATTTTCCTTTTTCCATTAGCGGATTTCCAACAAATCAAAGAAATCGAAATTTTTTGGAATAGAAATAGCTAAAAACCTGGGAAGCTGGATATCGCTAACTCTCTCCTCTCTGAGCAATGAGTCAATGAACTCGTCCATGTGACTCAACTCGAAATTACCATCTCGTCTTTGAACACGAACTTTCCTGCAACAATTAAAATAAATACATCATTTACTTAATTTTAAAGAAATCAATATCTATTATTACAACTTGCTTTGAAAATCCCATTTATGATGGCTGGAGTTTTGAATTTTAAAAGTTAAAATATTTTTTCGCCAACATTATTAAAACAATTAAACAACTAATTTAAAAATGGAAAATCAAAAAGACAGTTTGCATCAGAATTGGATAAAAAACTAGTTTTTCAATAAAATAATAATTACAAAAGTTAAAAAATCATTTTTTTTGCTCTTCAGAATTCCTGAAGAAAGGCACCTTTAATGGGGCTAAAAACGTCTTGAATGGATTGTGGAGTGGAGTGCCCCTCTATTTACAGAATTCACAACAGTATATTTTAAACCTTGGTCTTACACTTATCAAAGTAAAAAACCGTCGAATTTGTCCTAATTAGTACTAACATAAAGATTTAAAGGGAACCATAAATCCTAGTTCTCTAACCTGTAATCATTCAACAAAGGCTCCAGGTACTTGTAACAGTCCAGCGAGGTTCCGGTTAACCGGAGATAGTACGCACCCAGAGCACGCACATACTTGAAATCCTCGTTCTTGATGAACTCGATGATGATGTCCTTTTCCGGTTGGATCTGCAGCATCTTGAGAATGAGGCAGAGGAAGGGGGTGGGTTTAATGTTGCCTCCGAAAACTCCTCCGATAAACTTGAGTTCCATTGCCTAGATTTAAATTCAGTTCAAACTGATTTCTGTGCAAAGTTTTCAACTTCTTGGTATAATTTAAAAAAAAAACTTTTTTCAATATTAATTAATTAATTAATTAATTAATTAATGACAATTAAAGGGACTGTAGACGTAATTTATAGAGACGCCTTGTATGATAAAGAATGTTTCAACTTTGAAAATTGATTATTTTCAGTTGTGGGTTTTCTATATAACAGTGACTAGACTCTTGAGGTTCTGTTGTAAATCCGACATCTTGCTCTTTAAATGGAGGGTCACTTGAAGTTACAAGGACAGTCCCTTTAAGTCGCTTTAAGGCTACAAGAATTCATCAAACTTAACCAAATAAATAGAAGCTGGTGCAGTGGACAATTAGAAAAGAATTTACCAGAATTACGATAAAATATTTTATTTTTATTTTTTATTTTTTTTTGGACTTTTCTATGCCAAATAATAAACTGAAGGAAATTGATAATTCCGAGAAAAATAACAAAAACCTTCATTCTAAATCTTTCCTTTCTCATTACATTATTGGGTTAGGATGGGACGTTATGGACAAATTTACTCCCCAGAAACTTACCTTGTCAACCAGAAGCTCTGCAGTTAAAGCAAAACAGTTCTCCTTCCAGTATTTACTGTCGTAAATACGGGATCTGAAATACACAAATTAGAGAGGAAATATATTTTTCTAAATACATTTAAATCATATCATCAGGGGTGTATAATTTTCTGTTCCCCCCCCCCCCCNGGGGGCAAAAATATGAGCTTTCATTAGGTTTGTGGGAAAAAAATGAAGAAAAAAGGAAAGAAGGGAAAGGGAAGGAGGAAAGGAAGGGAAAAGAAAAGTGAAAGATGGAAGGGAAAAGGGAAGGAAAAAATGGGAGGAGGGAAGGGAAAAGGGACTAAAGGGAAGGCAAAAGAGGCAAGAGGGAAGGGAAAAGGGACAAGAGGGAAGGGAAAAGGGTGACGGGAATGCTTAAAAAAACTCAGAGGGACCTTGAAGTTGACCTTTTTAGTGCACCAAAACGCTCCATTTTACTACTAAAATCCAAAAAAAATCTTAGCAAGGGGGTTCCGAAATATGATTCTGAAAAGGGGGGAGGGAGGGCAAAAATATGAGTCTCACAACTAATATACACCCCTGCATATCATATAAAAATGGAAAAACTAAAAGGAACTATCAGAGACACAACTGGGGAATTTTTTTTGATGTGAAAATGTAGATGTAATAAATAACACCAGAGGTAATTTTTTTTTTGAAAGAATAAAATTTCACCAGAAATTCTCCTTTTCCATCACTAGTGTAGTGTTTCCCCCCCCCCCTCCCTCCTTTAGTTGAACTATAAAGTGTAAATGAAAAGAACAGGATGTTCCTTGATTTAAAAATCAAAATAAGAAAAACTGATCAGATTTATCTAACCTGATAATCTTTTCCACGAGATACTGAGGGTTTGTACCCTTTACTGTGTGTGCGTCCTTCACTGTCCGGTTTGCCATTCTTATCTGCTAGATTCTGAAACATTAAACTTATTACAATTACAATTAATTTTAAGAAATAGACTTGAATATTTTTTTTTAAAGATTTTGTCTAGAAAAATATATAAAATAAATGCACAATAGATTTAGTTTGTACAGGGCAGGCACTACGAGATCTGATATTCTTATTTCTTGGACGGATTCTGGTGCTGTGTTGTTCTGGATACAGTTGACATACCATCAACAAACTTGGTTCGGAACAGAACATTGGCGTTGTTGAACATTCCGTCCTTGAGAGAGACCAGGATAAACTGGGAGCTCTTGAAGTGAGTCTTGAGCATGTGCCCGATGTTCTGGGTGTGACTAAGATCTAGAGCTGCATCTACCTCATCCAGGATATAGAGCGGAGCTGGTTTGAAGAGTAGAAGAGAGAGAATGAGTGAGAGGGCAACCAAAGATCTTTGACCTCCTGACAGCTCAGTCAAAGACTCTTTCCAAACTCCACCGAAGGCGACCTTGACCTCAAGACCGTCGAGGACGTCCATTCCCTCCGGGGGCTGGAGTTTAGCCGAGGTTCCAGGTAGGATGGAGGAGAAGATTGACCCGAAATCCTTATTGACCTGATCCCAAGCTTTCCTGAGGGCCTCCTTCTTCATGATGTCTAACTCATGAATGGTCTCCATAATCTTGTTTTTATCCGTCTCCACGATACCCTTCTTCTTGATCAGCTCGTTGTACTGCTCCTCTGCCTTGGCCAACATGTTCATGGCTCGCATGTTCACGGATTTTTTTAGTTTCTCTTGAGCTCCTTCAAGCTTATGAATCCGTTTCCCCGCCTCGGTTGGATTGGTTGCTTTAAAATCGTACATAGTGTTCGGTTTTCCAAAGGAGTGTCGGTCGTCTTTGATCCAACTGTAATCCTGGATCATACTCTTAACCCTGCCCTTAGCGTTCTCCAGATCATCCGCCGCCTTCTTAACCTTGTGCGCCAGCTCCTGAATACTCAGCTTTCTCTCCTCGTTCATCTTCAGGATTTTTTCCTTGGCGGAATTCTTGCCACTGATCTCAGTGTTCCTGAGTGCTAGTTCATCCTTCTGGACTTTAACTGCATTCTCTGCTTCCTTCACTTCCTCGCTCATCTTCTCAAGATCCTCTTTAGCAGCTTCAATCTCCTTCTCCCAGCCTTGAATAGCTTTAGCTACACTCTCCAGTTGCTCAACAGCACTGTCAATACTAGCTTTCAAGGTTGTCAGTTCCAGCTTTATTGCTTCTTCTTCTTGTTCCTTGCTGGCCCAATTTTTCTTACTCTTCTCCGCCGCAGCTTTACATTTCTTTAACTCCACCTCCGCCTCCTTCATCTCCTTCGCCTTGAGCTCCGCCGCATTGTTGATCTTGTACTCAAGATCTTTTACCTTCTTGGCTCCGTCCTTAACAATGGTCTTAGCTTTGGCGACACCATCAGTGACCTCCTTGATTGCCTCGGTCAGTCTCTCCACCTCCTCCTGGAGCTGTTGATGAGTATGTTGCTTGAGACGGTTCCTGATCATCTCAAGCTCATGCTGTCTCAGCTCAAACTGCTGAGAAAGCGTGTTCCATTGCTCTGCTACACCAGCAACCCTTCTCAACTGCTGTTCTATCTCTGACAACCTTTGCTGCTTCTGGGACAGCTCCTGCTGTGTCGCCTTGACGTCGAAGAGGTCAAGAAGTAGACATGAGTTCTGTGCCCGAGCTCCTCCGGACATGTCTCCGCCAGGACTGATCTTGCTTCCGTCTAGTGTAATACAGGTTGTCATGACCTCCGCGTGGAAAGCGACCTTGTTGGCAATATCTATATCACGGCAGATGAACAAACCTCCGTACAAATAGTCCATAGCTCCGTTTAAAGAATTGTCATAATCAATTAATTCCTTCGCCCACCAAACATCATTGCTGCCACCAACCCTTTTCGCAGCGTCTATCTTACGTTTGTTTAATACGAACGGAGAGATCTTGTTTAGAGGGATGTATGTCTGATTAGTTTTAATTCCTCCTCTCTCAATTAAAGCCTTGCTAGTTTTCTCATCATCTGTTACGACGTTGTACAACTTGCCGCCCCCGGCTGTGGTGAGAGCCTGGCAGAACCGTTCTTCTTTCACAGTGAAGAGGGTTGCAGCGATACCACGGACCTTTCTCCGGTCAAAGTTAGGATGAGGATCGTTATACTGGAAGTTGATTCGGTGTCGAGTTTCTACTCCTTCCACCTAAAATATGAGTTGATTCCGTAAAATATCTTAAAGGGACTGTAGGCTTAATTTCAAGTTACCGGTCTCCATGTAAAGAAACATCACAGCACGATTCATATTTGAACCTTTGTCTGCGCAACATTAATAGAGATGTCATTTTTTTCTGTCTTAAATTTGTGACTTGTGGATTTATACAGAAAACAAAAGGAAGAAAATAGACAGAATATATCTCATTTCTAGTTAATAAGAAAAGTTGTCCATTTTTCTTATTAACTAGATAAAAATTTAAAGAGCAGGCCACTAGACATTACGCAACTTTTAAAGTTTCATCTTGAACTAGCAAAATTGACAAACTATTATAGAATTATAAAACCCCAGGTCGGTTTTTGCAGTCAGCATTTGTAGAAAAAAGGTTTATTTCGTTAACGAAAAATATTATGGAAATTCAAATTTGAAAGAACAATCGTCCAGAAGTGCTTACCTTGGATTTAAGAGCGTTTACTTCCATCTTCAAACTTCGTTGTTCTACTTCTAACCTAGAGAAAATGTTAAATGTCAATTCTTCCTTTAAGTTCAAGGGCTGTGCAATTTTTAGTTCTTACTGGAACAATTCTTATGGGTATATATTTTCCTGAAAAATCATTTGCAACCAGGGGAATATATTTTTCAAGAATTGATTTTTAGAAGGAAAAAGTTTTCAATGCTGGGGGGGGGGGGGGGGGATATAGACTTGATAGGCAAGCTTTCTTCACTTTAATACACGTGTTAGCAAAATTTTTATTTATTTTCACCCAAGCAATAAATTTACTCCAATTAGTCGAATATAACCATTAAAACCTCTACGCAAACATACGAAATATCTGAAGAAAACAATATATTGAAAAGATGGGGGTGGGGAATAATTTTGAAGAAAACATGAACCGATGACCATCCCCTGTCCTAACCCAACCCATATAAGCAAATATCATTTAACTCCTCCCCCCTCTCCCCCCCATTTCTTAGGAATTTTGTTAAGGGTTTACATAGCTGAATTGGGGGAGAGGAGGGAATAGCATTTTTTGGGGGGTTTTATTTGCTGAATTTGGCAAAAATCATGGGGTGTAATTCTGGAAAATAAACACCCCTGTAATTTTTTAAACTTTTTATAATCTCTACCTCTCCGCGGTTCCTTCTTCATAATCAATCTTTCCCAGCTTTCTTTCCAGCTCTGCCACATCAGACTCTACCTTCCCTAGAACATAGAACACGTCAGAATATTATCTTTTCCCAATACCAAAACTGACTTCTGCTGATCAACAAATAATTAAAAACACGTCTTAAATTGGTTTAATTAAAACAATCAGAAATTGTCTATATTTTCAATCAAATATTTTTTCGAATTAACAAAAAAAAATTGTTGACAATTTTCTGCATCATAATTTTTGCAAAATTAAACGAATTTATTCGTTTCTGATATTTTTTCCTTCGTTTTGTTGAATTGTCTAAAGTAATACGATCAAAACCCGTTTACGCAGCGTAATTCTTAATAGTTAGTGAGATTTCTTTTATATGTTCAGAGGCGGCTTAAGGAGGACTTACCCTTCTTTTCCCAAAAATATAAAAATCTAAATTTAGCGTCACACTTTTCCCCTCCCACCCGGCCCCAGCATGTCATGGTTTTGAGATAAAAAATGTCATGTAGAAAAAATTGAAGGGAGGAGGAAGATTCTTTGTCCGGGAGTATAAAAATGTTTAGCGCTGTATGTATGCAACCCCGTGCTTAACCCCCTGGAATATGGTGTAAGTCAGCACTGCTTGTGTGCAACCCCCTGCTTAACCCTCTTGGAAAATATCGTAAGTCAGCACTGTGTGTGTGCAACCCTGTGCTTAACCTCCTGGAAAATATTGTAAGTCTGCACTGTATGTATGCAACCCCGTGCTTAACCTCCTGGAAAATATTGTAAGTCAGCACTGTATGTATACAACCCCGTGCTAAACCTCATGGAAAATATTGTAAGTCAGCACTGTTTGTATGCAACCCTGTGCTTAACCTCCTGGAAAATATTGTAAGTCAGCACTGTATGTATGCAACCCCGTGCTAAACCTCCTGGAAAATATTGTAAGTCAGCACTGTATGTATGCAACCCCGTGCTTAACCTCCTGGAAAAAATTGTAAGTCAGCACTGTTAGTATGCCACCCTGTGCTTAACCTCCTGGAAAATATTGTAAGTCAGCGCTGTATGTATGCAACCCCGTGCTAAACCTCCTGGAAAATATTGTAAGTCAGCACTGTATGTATGCAACCCCGTGCTTAACCTCCTGGAAAATATTGTAAGTCAGCACTGTTTGTATGCAACCCTGTGCTTAACCCCCTTGAAAATATTGTAAGTCTGCACTGTATGTATGCAACCCTGTGCTTAACCTCCTGGAAAATATTGTAAGTCTGCACTGTATGTATGCAACCCCGTGCTTAACCTCCTGGAAAATATTGTAAGTCTGCACTGTATGTGTGCAACCCTGTGCTTAACCTCCTGGAAAATATCGTAAGTCAGCACTGTATGTATGCAACACTGTGCTTAACCTCCTGGAAAATATTGTAAGTCAGCACTGTATGTATGCAACCCTGTGCTTAACCTCCTGGAAAATATTGTAAGTCAGCACTGTGCACTGGATGTGTGCAACCCCGTGCTTAAACTCCTGGAAAATATCGCAAGTCAGCACTGTATGTGTGCAACCCCGTGCTTAAATCAATACCTAGAGAAGAACTGTCTCTTTTATACTCAGCTTCGGTTTTCTTCATCTCTATTTGTTTCTTGTTCAACTGCTCCGTGTTAGCTCTGATCTTGGAGTCGGCCGTCTTAATCTCCGTCTCTGCAGTCGCAATCTCCTCTTTGGTCTTAATAATCTGATCCTGGAGGGTGGCAGACTCTCCGCTCTCGGAGGAAAACTGCCCAACGTTGATGGCCTGGAGCCGGGCCTCCGCTGCTTTCAGAGAAGATTGACAGTTATCGTCTTCCTTCCTGAGGGTGTCGTACACGTCCTGCATACCACCCAAGGACTCCTCCTTGGCTGCCAGAGTATTCTTGTCACCCTGTAATAATTCATTTATGAAATCAGAAGTGCATTATAATTTGAGACCCCCCCCCCCCTCCACTCCTTTGAATCGAAAAAAAGGTAAAAGGGATTTGGCTCTTTAAATATAAAAACTTTTGCTCTGGATTTCCTCAATGAATAAAAATGAGGAAAATTTTATAACTTCACAAAACTAAGTTTCCTAAAATAATATTATTTTAATTCCATCGGAAAATTAAAAACATTAAAAGGTTTGTTGTACTTAAGCAAAATGACAAATACCCAACATTACTATGATAACGTAAGATCAAGGTAGATCAAGGTAGATCAAGGTAGATCAAGGTAGGTCAAGGTAGATCAAGGTAGATCAAGGTAGTTCAAGGTAGGTCAAGGTAGATCAAGGTAGATCAAGGTAGATCAAGGTAGATCAAGGTAGATCAAGGTAGATCAAGGTAGATCAAGGTAGATCAAGGCATTTTAGGATAGTTGTGAATTCTAATTTTTTTCATGAAAAACTTTGTAAAAAGTACAAGACATCAATTTAAGAGAGAGAAGAATTTACACTGATGATAAAATGATATAAATCCAAAACTAAAGATTAATTTCAAGTTTTCTACCTGTAATTCTTTCTCAATTTGTTTCCGCTTCCGTTCTTCCTGCTTGATATTATCCTGCAGGGTCTTGAGGTGGGAGGAGGCTTTAACCTTGTTCTTCTCCTTCTCCTTTAACTCCTTCTCCTTCTCCTGGAGGTCCCCCTTCACAGCACTCTCCCTGGTTCTGATAAGCTCCGCGATCTGTTGGTCCAGCTGGAGAAGCTCCTCCTCCCCTGCTACAATACTCTCCTGGAGCTCACTAAGTTTCTCCTCAACCTAAACACAGATACATCAAATACAGAGTGTCCCATTATATCAAATACAGGATATTCCAAATATATTGAATACAGGGTGTCCCAACGGATTTAAAACAAGTAGTTAAGATAGAAGAAATACAGGTTAACACATGGTGTTCCAATAGATGATGTGTACAGTTTGTACCAATATAGAAGAAATACATGATGTTCCCGTAGAAGAAATACAGGATGTTCCAATAGATTAAATATAAGATGTTCCAATAGATGAAATACAGGATGTTCCAATAGAAGAAATACAGGATGTTCCAATAGATTAAATATAAGATGTTCCAATAGATGAAATACAGGATGTTCCAATAGAAGAAATACAGGATGTTCCAATAGATTAAATACAAGATGTTCCAATAGATGAAATATAAGATGTTCCAATAGATTAAATACAAGATGTTCCAATAGATGAAAAACAGGATGTTCCAATAGAAAAAATACAGAGCGTTCTAATAGAGGATATACAGGATGTTCCAATAGATGAAATACAGGATGTTTCAATATAATAAATAAAGATTTTTCTAATAGAATAAATAGACTGTAAAAATCAGTGTTTCGGATCCGGATCCGGTCGGATCCGTATCATTTGGTCGGATCCGGATCCGTATCAGGAAACGTTGATATGGATCCGGGTAGCGCCAAAAATTAACCAAAACCATGGAATAAATAAATCAAAATGGTTCGTAAATGTATTATTTACATGACGAAAATTTTTCAAAATTATCTTTAATAATTTAATGTTTACATTTATATAATAGTAATGACGACATTTTTAACTTTAGGATTACTATAGTTTATAAATTATAACCTTGCATAACATTTAATAGGGAAAATCCGATTCACAGAATCAAAAGTTACCTCGGATCCGGATCCATCATCACGGATGCGGATCCGCGGATCCGGATCCGAATCAAAATGATATGGATCCGAAACACTGGTTACAATAGATGAAATACAAGCTGCTACGATAGAAAAAAAACCGGGTGGCCCAAAGTCTTAAATACAGGGTGTAAAACCTGATGTCCCAATATATAAAAAAATACATTGTGTGCCAATAAAAGTGTAGTTTCAGGTAAGGAAATCCTGTAACCCGTTTCAAGACAAAAAATAGTAATAAAAATAAAAACCTGTTTAAATTCTTCAGCTGACTTCGTGGAGGTCTCCTCGGCGCAAACGAACTGGTAAGCCACGTACACCTTGGTAAGGTGCTCCAGCTCACGCTGGATCTTCTGGAACTCGAAGTATGCAGCGCGCTCGTCCTTGAGCTTGGAGAGGGTTGGGTTGATCTCCTCCTCCAGGATGCTGTTGATCTCCTTCAGCTTGGCGTCCTTCTTCTCTATAGTCTTCTCAGCCTTGAATAAAAATGAAGTTCATATGAATACAGTGTCCAAATTTAATGAATTTCAGCCGCGTCTCAAATCCCTCAAAAACCGGTTTCAATTGAGTGCCGGCTTAAATCTTGAAAAATTGAATACAATTCTATGTGGAACCAACCAAATTTGAGATAAGTGAAAATGGTATTTCAACTTCCTGACCATAAACCCAGTTTTCAGCAATTTAGAAATTAAATGATTTTTTTCGGGGGGGGGGGGGGGGTGATGAAATATTTAAAAAATAAGTGTGTATATATATATTTGTTTATCTCAGGTTTCCAGATTTGAGAACCCCCTTTGCATTCAGGAAAGTCCCAATATGTTTTTGAAAAATGCTTAAAACAAAAAAAGGATGGAGGGGGGGGGGGGCAAAATAGTTGATATTTAACCCTGATTTTTACCTGTTGTTTCTTAGCTTCGTACATTCTCGTCCCCGCTGCCTCTTCAATCATTGCCAATATCTCTGGCGGTTTCATGTTCAACACCTTCGTTATCCGTCCTTGCATAATCAGAAAATGAGGATTGTTAACATTAAGCTGAACTGAGCGGAAGAAGTCGCTGACCCTGCTGTTCTGAACATTACTCCCGTTAATCAAATACTTGTTTTTTCCTCCGATAACAACCTGCCGAGTAATTGTAACCTCATCGTAGTGTTCGTAGCCTAGAGGAGACTGTTTCTTGTCCCGGTTATCAAAGGTTATCGAGACGGTGGCCTTGGTAACCCCGGCCTGCCCGTTCTTGTACACCAGCTCCTGCAGGTTCTGAGCTCGTACATGAGATAAGTTGGTTATACCGAGCAAGAAACAGATTGCATCGAGAATATTAGATTTACCGGATCCATTAAGACCCGTGATTGCGTTAAATTGATCGTCAAATCCGTTGATTTCCGTTCGTTGGCCGTAGGATTTAAATCCATCAATAACCATAGACTTCACATACATTCTTTAATGTTTCATTTATTTCTGAAAAGATAACATTAATAATATGAAAAATTAGGGTAATTTTCTAAAGAACTATTNAAGACATGGATTAACTAGGTCATGTGGCCGCAGCGTCCGGCCCCCGAGCCTGTCCTAGCCGCGGCGCTCGTTCCTCTTGTCCTGTACTGGTCACAGCACTCGTTCCCTTAGCCTGTCCTAGCCGCAGCACTCGGGCCAGAAATTGTCTTAACCTTACCTAACCCTTAAATTATACAAATAAATAATAATAATTTTGCTAAAAATTAGTGGTCATGTTGTACATGACCACTATATATGATATAAGTGGGTCGGGCGGGGGTTCCGAAAATCGGTCTCTAGGACGGCCCCAATATTTAGCTGGATTGCCCGACGTTGTCCAGGTTTTATAAACACTTATGCCTATGTATACTCAACCGTTTTAGACTTAATTGATTAATTTAACCAAATAACCGAATTTTAGCATGTTTCCAGGAAAAACAATAATTGGTTCATTTTAAGTGTAGTTCTAGATGGACCCGAAAAATGAAGTGCTACAAGATTCCCTCACATCATGTAGAAGAAGTAATGGAAATTAGCAAAGGTTGATGTGCCACAGTGCAGTGCTGCTCGTCTTTTTTAGAAAATATTTATATTTCTTATTAACTTTTACTTGGTGATATTGCCCGAGATATGAAGAATTTCGTTCAGATTTCGACAATTTTGCTTTTATTTAACAAAATTGAAATTTGAACCAAACTCTTTATATCTCCGGTAATATTGAAAGCACAAAAAACGCAGACCACTTTTTGGAAATGCCAGAGCTAGGAGAATTATGTGATAATTGTTTCAAGAATCATACATGTTAATAAAGTAGATAGAAGACTAAATGTCACAAATATATTCATATATCAAAGACGACTTTCAAGTCGTCTTGCTATTGTCATGTTTCGTGGGACACCCTGTATATTACGTAAATTTCAGTATTTGCGAAAATAATTAAATAGCCATGAATATGCGGGAACAGTTTTAAAGAGTTCCATATAATCATTTAATTAAAAAACTAATATCTGCAACATTCCATTATCAGAATTAAAGTGAAGAATACGACATTTGATGAATTCTTTCGATGTATTCGTTATTAAGGGTTTCACTGTATTTTATCCCTTTTATTATCTTTAATTGGTTCATAATTAAATGACTCCACCTTTTCTGAAGAGAGATGAAGTCATAATTTGGATCGAGTCACCTGCTACCCATTTTTAAATACGAAAGTATAGGGGATTACAATATAACTTATTTTGTGCAAGGCCACGTTTGACATCTATTGTCAGGAAGCCATCTAATTTTATCACTCTCTCGATTATCTAGTATTAGTTACGGTGCTTGTGATTAATGTCATGTTAGATCTAATAAATCTATTATGTACATTAATACCCGGACATTTCTTTTCCCACTTGAAAGGAAATTCCACTTGCCTTTCTATCTGAAGATCTAATCAAGCCATTTACTTTCTATTTATTTCCTAAATTTTGGTTCTACATTATCTTAAAATTTTAGTTTTGTTCATGTTAAGTTGTTGCCTCTAGATGTCTCTAGCATCGTATCAATAAATATAGATTTATAACATTCATAGCATTTTTTAGGTTTGCTTGATTAAACGCTACAACAAAATTTGTTCTGAATTATCATATTTTATCACTTTTATTATTTTTAATTGGTTTATTTAAAATGACCGCAGCTTTTTTGAAGACAGCTGAATTTATATTTTGGATCAAGAATATATATCTGCTAGAATGCCATCACGGAATCATTGTATTCATTGAATTATCTTTATGCAAGGTATCTTGACGTATAGTGTCAATAAACCACCTAATATATTTACTATATAATTTATATTTTGGATCAAGAATATATATCTGCTAGAATGTCATCACGGAATCATTGTATTCATTGAATTATCTTTATGCAAGGTATCTTGACGTATATCTAATTATCTAACTATCTTGACGTATATTGTCAATAAACCACCTAATTATCTAACTATCTTGACGTATAGTGTCAATAAACCACCTAATTATCTAACTATCTTGATGGAAGTGTTCTAATAAGAGCTTATTAGTATCATATTAATTAATATAGATTTATTTCATTTTTTAGGTTTCCTTGATAAAACACTTAAAATAAATTAGTTCTGAATTATCATTTATCACTTTTATTATCTTTGGTTGGATTATATGAAATGACTTAACCTTTTCAAAGACAGATGAAATTATGTTGGATCGAGTTTTCAGCTTTTGATACTTTGGAAATTAAAAGCAATTTTTACTTAATGCAAGGCTAGGTTTAACAGTTCATGCTTATATACTGCCTACTTCACATAGCTTCTCTTATGAGAGAAGGATTAGTATTAAATGTTAAATTGTTTCTGATTTGAGAATACTATCAAATTAAATATCGAAAGTAAAACCCTGACGTATTTTTTTCCTACTTTGAAAGGAAATTCTACTTGCCTTTCTTTCTGGAGATATACTCAACAATTTACTTGCCTTTTATTTTATAGGTTCTACATTATCTTAACATTTTAGTTTTGATCGTAATAAATTGTTAACTCTAGATATACTCAACAATTCACTTGCTTTTTATTTGATAGGTTCTACATTATCTTAACATTTTAGTTTTGATCGTAATAAATTGTTAACTCTAGATGTCTCTCTGCATCTAGTCGATAAATATAGATTTATAACATTCATAGCATTCGTTAGGTTTGCTTGATTAAAAGCTTCATATAGATTTGTTCTGAACTATCATATTTTCTCACTTTTATCATCTTTTGTTGGTTTATTTGAAACGACTAATCCTTAGAGATGAACTTATAAATTGGATTGAGTATTTTCATGAGGTATTTACTACAATCATCTTTTTTCCTTTTCTTTCAGTAACCATCCACTATAAAGAAATATAAACTGGGGTGTACGAGGGGGGGGCGACCACCCCCCCCCCCCCCCCACGACGCCTGCCCCCGAGGAGGGGGGGACTAAAGAAAAGAATTAAAATATATTCACAACAATATACCCTTCAAAGCTTTGTCTGATCAAGTATTGCATTAAAAGTACATGTTTCCCATTTTGAAAACTGAATATTTTTATTTGTGGTTTCTCTACAAAAGGGACTCGCGCATTTCTTGCATTAGAAACGATGGAGAAATGAAGGTTTCAAAGGTACATCGGACATGCCACTCTATAAATGGAGGGTCACTTGAAATTACGCATGTATTCCATTTAAGTATAATTACATCGTATAGAAAAAAAAATACTTTAAAATCTCACTTTTGCCATTAACTAAAAAAGTTTCATTATAAAAAAACTTTAATCAATACCGCCTTCAGTGTAAATATATATTTGATATCATAATTTATCATACAATATGTATGAATCCTATGAAAATATAGATATTTTTTTAAAAACGTTACCATCTATATTTTTCATCCCTTGAAACTTACACCACAGTATGAAGAGGGATTGCCTGGTTTTGTGACCCCCCCCCCCCCCTGGGCAACAAATTGTGCCCCTCCCCTTAAGAAAATTACATAAATTTAAGTTTACATAGTTGAAAAAGGTAGCAATATTTTTTTCTTCAAAAAACGGGGTTTTCAAGGGGGGGGGCACAATTTGTTGCCAAAGGGGACGGCACACAATTTTTTTGTCCCCCCCCCCCTACACAAATCTCTCGTACGCCCCTGTATATAATGACTTAATGTTGTTTTTCATACGAATGAAATGGGAAATCTACTTGCTTTTCTTTCTAAAGATATACTCAAGCTGTTAATTTTCTTTTTCGTTATTTTTCTGACAAGGTCAAATTCAAATACAAGAACCTGATTTAGTTTTGTTTTATGTTAAGTTGTTAACTCTAGATGTCTCACCGTATCACTAAACAAAGATTTATGACATTCAAAACGTTATTTTGGTTTGCTTGAAGAAATTCTAAGGGTTGAATTGTTCTGGAATTATCATATTTTATTACTTTTATTTTCGTTTGTTGGTTTTTATAAAAAGACTTTACTTTTTCTGAACTTACGTTTTGGAAATTGAGTTTGCAACATGTATTCTTCCTATTATTTAATTTAAGGGTTTTGTGCTGGGTAGGACTTTAAATGATTGATAAAAGTACATAAGTGTTATCATTTCTTAAAGTGTCATGTATAGTATTGCTCTTAGCTAGAAAACAATATTAAACATATAAAGTAGTGCCCTGACGTATTTTTTTCTTCTTGTTTTTCCAGGTGTTTTTAAATTGGTTATTTAACTCCAGATGTCTCTAGCATCGTAATGATAAATAAAATTTACAACATTTATAACATTGTTTAGGTTTGCTTGATTATATGCTATAAGGTTGAATTGTTCTGGGTTATCATATTTTATCGCTTTTATTAGCTTCTGTTGGTTTTTATAAAAATGAACAATCGTTTTTGTTTGGGTTAGATAACCGCAGGCCGGTTGGGTTGAATATATAGAGAATAGAATATATTCTATTCTCTATGGTTGAATAACTGAACCCTATATTCCCTGGGTCCGGTTAATTAACTGAACCTGATATTCTACGGGTTTGATTGAATAACTGAACCTAATAATCTCAAGGATGGGTTAAATAACTGAATCTTATATTCTCTGGGTTGGAATGAATAACTGAACCTGATATTCTCTGGATTGGGTTAAACTAAACCTCATATTCTTTGTATTGGGTTGAATAACTAAACTTGATATTTTCCGTGTTGGGTTGATTAACTGAACCTGATATTCTCAAGGTTTGGTTGAATAACTTAACCTGATATTCTCTGGGTTGGGTTGAATAACTGAACCTGATATTCTGTGGGTAAGGTTAAATAACTGAACCTGATATTCTGTGGGTTGTATAGAATATCTCAACTTGATATTCTCTGGGTTGGGTTGAATAACTGAACCTGATATTCTCCAGGTTGGGTTGAATAACTGAACCTGATATTCTCTGGGTTGGTTTGTTTGAATAACTGAACTTGATATTCCC